AGAAGGGCTATTACTAAAAAGACAAAAAATACCAGATGTTGGAGAGGATGCAAGAAAAGGGAACTCATATACTGTTGGTGGGAATATAATTTAGTACAACCTCTATGGAAAACAGTATAAAGATTTCTCAAAGAACTAAAAATAGAACTACCATCTGATCCAGCAATCCCACTATGGGGTATCTTCACAAAGGAAAATAAATAATTGTATCAAAAAGACACCCGCACCTGTGTGTTTATCACAGAACTATTCACAATAGCAAACATATGGAATCAACCTAAGTGTTTGTCAATGGAGGACTGTATAAAGAAAATGTGACACACACACACACAATACAGTACCACTCAGGCACACACACACACAATACAGTACCACTCAGGCACAAACACACACAAAAGAAATCATGTCTTTTGCAGCAACATGGATGGAAACGAAGGTCATTATCTTAAGTCAAACAATTCAGATACAGAAACTCAAATACCACATGTTTTTTTTTTTGTTTTTTTTTGTTTTTGTTTTTTTTTTGAGACACAGTCTTGCTCTGCTACCCAGGCTGGAGTGCAGTGGTGTGATCTCGAGTCACCGCAACCTCCACCTCCCGGATTCAAGTGATTCTCCTGCCTCAGCCTCTAGAATAGCTGGGATCACAGGTGCCCACCACCACGCTGGACTAATTTTTGTATTTTTAGTAGAGAGGGGTTTTCACCAAGTTGGTCAGGCTTGTCTCATATTCCTGACCTCGTAATCCACCCACCTCAGCCTCCCAAAGTGCTGGGACAACAGATGTGAGCCACCACACCCAGCTATCACATGTATTTGACTAAATCGTACATAGACATGTCAATGCTAAATAATGCATAGGCATGGACATAGAGAGTGGAATAACAGACAGCAGAGAGTTGCAAGGGTTGGGTAGTGGAGGAGAGTGGATGATGATAAATTACTCAATAGATACAATGTACATTATTCAAGTAATGAATACCCTAAAAGCCTAGACTTCCCCACTGTTGCATGTATATATGCAACCACTTAACTAGATACAAATGTACCCCTTAAATATATATAATCATTTAAAAAGTGGTTTGCAATATATAGCAGCCACAAGTGGCTTTTTAAATTAAAATGAAAACTTCAGTATCTCAGTTACATTAACCACACTTTAAGCACTTGGTAATCACACATGACTCCTGTGCTGAATGGCACAGATAGAAGCATTTTCTACCACTGCAGAAAGTTCTACTGGGTGGTGTTCATTCAAGGCAAGGTTTGGCAAACTACAGCCCTGGTGGGTCCATGGCCTGTTTTTAGAAAGCCTGTGAGCTGACAACAATTTTTACTTAAAAAAACAAACAAACAAACAAAAAACAAACAAAACAAAAACAAAACAAAAAAAAACCAGTAAAACAAGAAAAGCCTGTGGTGGACATGTGAAAGGCTTATTGATTCTTTTTTTTTTTTTTTTTTTTTGAGATGGAGTTTCGCTCTCGTTGTCCAGGCTGGAGTGCAATGGCGCAACTTCTGCCTCCCGGGTTAAAGAGTTTCTCCTGCCTCAGCCTCTCAAGTAGCTGGGACTACAGGCATGCGCCGCCAAACCTGGCTAATTTTGTATTTTTAGTAGAGACAAAGTTTCTCTATGTTGGTCAGGTTGGTCTCAAACTCCCAACTCAGGTGATCCATCTGCCTCAGCCTCCCAAAATGTGGGGATTACAGGCACGAACCACAGGGCCTGGCCTAAGGCTTGTTGATTCTAAATAATCAACAGTACTTTCTCGAACAACAATAATTCAGAACCAAGGAGAGTGCATGCAGGCATTGGAAGGTCTCATCTAATATGTTAATCACATTTCAGCTGAAAAGAATCTTGTATGAAATCTAGTTATTCCTTCCATAAATAAGAGTATTTATTATGTGCCGGGAAGAATATGGGGTTCTTGGAATACAGTGGTGAAAAAGCAGACAGTTATTCTCTGTTACATTTCTGATACATGGTACAATGCATATAACTATTCTTTGACTGGGCAAATTTGGATATGCAAAGTTGAGCCACCTCGAAGCCATCTCTGGAGGTGGAAAATAGGTCCATCCTATCACATGAGTTGAGGATGAATCACATACAACTTGAAACTGAAAGCCCTCATTGACCTGTAGAGGCAGGAGGATCACTTGTGGTCAGGAGTTAGAGATCAGCCTGGGCAACATAGTGAGAACCTGTCTTTACAAAAAAAATTTAGAAATGAGGAAGGCGTGGTGACATGTGCCTGTAGTCCCAGCTACTTGGGAGGCTGAGGTGGAGGATCACTTGAGCCTGGGAGTTCAAGGCTGCAGTGAAATACATCTGCACCGCTGCACTCCATTCTGGGTAACAGAGTGAGACCTCATCTCTAAAAAAAAAAAAACAAAAACTAGAGCCAGGTGCAGTGGTGCATGCCTGCCTGTAATCCCAGCACTTTGGGAGGCTCAAGCAGGTGGAACGCTTGAGCTCAGGAGTTCCAGGCCAGCTTGGTCAACATGGCAAAACCCCATCTCTAAAAAAAATACAAAAATTATCCAGGTGTGGTGACACATGCCTGTAATCCTAGCTACTCAGGAGGCTGAGGTGAGTGAGCCCAGGGATTGAGGCTGCAGTGAGCCAAGATCATGCCACTGCACTCCAGCCTACACGACAGAGTGAGACCCTCTCTCAAAAACAAACAAACGAACAAACAAACAAACACCACCACCACCACAACAAAAATGAATCAGGGTCATCATTTAATACTGCAGCTGCCTGGGGTGGAGACGCAATCCATCTAGGGCAGGCAAGAGGGGAGCCGAAAACCAAGTGGCTTGCTAAGTACAGAGATAAGAAGTCCAGAGAGGAGATGTGACTCGCCTGAGGTCACTGACCTGGCCAGAAGATGGCAAATGCCTCCCGTATCCCTTGGGTGTCCTTTTCTTTCCTTCAATGATGGGTAAAGCCTAGGAGAACTAAGCCACCTTCTCCCAGTCTGAGAAAGTTCAATAATGAATCACCTCTAAGCCTTCAGATTCCCAGGGAAGAACCCAGGTGAGGAAGTGGGAGCTCCCACCCCAGCCCCAATGACCAGGGAACTTTACCATCCACAAGGACACTGTTCCTGTCCAGGGTGAAGTTCTGCAGCTGGGTGCCATTCTGCGTCATCCGCAGGAATTCCTCATAGATGGCAATTCTGTCTATCCTCCGAGCCGGTGGTGAGAAGTTACACAGAGAGTCCACCCCGGTGTGCTTGCTATTGGGGACAGACCTGGAAAGGGACGAGGGATAAGCCAAGATCCCTGCAATTCTATCAGGATTTTAGGCTTCCTCCTTCTTGGCTCTTTCTGCAGGAACTTTCTGCAATGATGTAAACATTCTATGTCTGCACTACCCAATGCAGCCATCAGTAGCTTCATGTTGTTGTTGAACACTTAAAATGTAGCTAGGATGGGAGAAGAACTGCATTTCTAATTTTATTCTACTTAATTTATTTCAAAATAACCACAGGGAGGTCAGGCGCAGTAGCTCATGCCTGTCATCCCAGCACGTTGGGAGGCTAAGGTGGCTGAATCGCTTGAGATCCGGAGTTCGAGACCAGCCTGGCCAACATGGCAAAACCCCATCTCTACTAAAAATACAAAAATCAGCTGGGTATGGTGGTGGGCACCTGTAATCCCAGCTACTTGGGAGGCTGAGGCAGGAGAATCGCTGGAACCCAGGAGATGGCGTTTGCAGTGTGCTGAGATTATGCTACTGCACTCCAGCCTGGGCAACGGAGTGAGACTCTGTCTCAAAAAAAAAAAAAAAAAAAAATTATAAAAATAACAGTCACAGGGAGAACATTCCTGGAATGCTGGGGTAATGACTTCTGAATACCCATAAAATCAATGAGAACGTTGGCCAAAATAGTCAAAATCAACTTTTCTAGAAGTCTAGAAATGAACCAAAGGCTTGCAAAAATTTGAGGGGTGTTTGATTAAGAAAAGTGTTAAATATCAGTAAAAAAAGCAAGACTTTGTGGCATTTGAACTTGCATTATTTTTATAGTGCTCTTTCAAGATCCTCAGTTTTTTGTTGCTGTTGTTGTTTGTTTGTTTGTTTGTTTATTTAAGACAGCCTGTGGCTCTGTTGCCCAGGTTGGAGTGCATGGCACCATCTCAGCTCACTGCAACCTCTGCCTCCTGGGCTCAAGCCATCCTCCTATCTCAGACTTCTAAGTAGCCAGGACTACAGTGCACACCACTATGCCCAGCTGATTTTTGTAATTTTTGTAGAGATGGGGTTTCACCATGTTGCCCAGGCTGGTTTCAAACTCCTGAGCTCAAGCGATCTGCCTGCATTGGCCTCCCAAAGTGCTGGGATTACAGGTGTGAGCTACTGCATCTGGCTAGATCCTCAGTTATTTTGAAAACCAGCAGCCTCAGAATCATGATACCTGTGAAAACCGGCTGCCTAGCAGTCAAAGTAGCTTTGGAGTTCTCCAGCCATCAGTCCTGTCACTACTTGATCTGTTTGGCAGCTCCTTGAAGGAGCCTTATTCTCATGGCTTATCCTTATTTGTTCTGACTCAGAACTTGCTTAGTGAGGAAAGCCTGTTCTCAGGACACTTGTAAAAAAAAAAAAATTCAATATTCCCCCATTGGAAATAATACCCCTTATTGAAAAGGACAGTTAGGCTGCTGGATACCAAGTCATCTGGTTTTAGTCCCCCGTCTTCCACAATCCTGATTTCAGTAACTGATGTCTTCCCCAACCCCACCCCACCGAGACAGAGTCTCACAATGTCACCTGCACTGGAGCAATCTCAGCTCACTGCAACCTCCACCTCCCAGGTTCAAGCGATTCTCCTGCCTCAGCCTCCCAAGTAGCTGGGATTACAGGCTCCCACCAGCACTCCCAGCTAATTTTTTGTATTTTTAGTAGAGACGGGGTTTCACTATATTGGCCAGGCTGGTTTTGAACTCCTGACCTCATGATCTGCCCACCTCGGCCTCCCAAAGTGCTGGGATTACAGGTGTGAGCCATTGTGCCCAGCCAGCTGATGTCTTAATGTAGTAGATTCTACACTCTAGATTCTACAGCCTCAGCACCATAAAAAAAAAAAAAAAAAGTATGTAAAAATCCACTAACTCAGGTATAATCTTAAGATTAAAAAAAAATCCACTATCAAGGGGTGGGGGTTCAAGAAAGAGATTATTGCAGCTAGCCTACTTATTCCTGGCAGTGTGAGCTGAGCTAGGTTTTCGAAGATGGGATAAAGGGTTTTAGGTAACAGCTCTGTATTGGAAGGAGGGTCTTCCTCCATCCATCTGTCCAACTTGTATCCATCTGCCCATCTACCTGTCCATCTCTCTTTCTACCAAGCCTTGTAAGAATTCCCTACAACGTGGGTGAAAAGAGACTGGGTTTCTCCAGGGGTGCAGTCAGCAAGCTGAGATTTACATCGGCTCTCTTGAGTGTTGAAGCCAGTTGGGCTCCAGCTTTAGGAAAAAGCTGGTTTTTAGGTAACAGTTCTATATTCCTAGGGCTCTCTTCCAACAACCCTATGGCTTAGGGACAGTTCTATTTAAAGGATGGCAGAAGTTCCCAGAGTCATCAGGTCCTGAGTTAGAACTCACCTGAATGTTAAAACTTGACAGTCAGAAAAATAACTCTTGATGCTGCTGTTTCGGAAGACCTGGTTGAGCTGCAAGACAGGGTGATGTTTCTTAGGTCGGATTCCCGGTCCCAGTAGCATCGGAGAATTTTCAAGCCACTGAGCACACTTCTCCATCTATTTTTTTTTTTCTTGTCATGACAAACACTTGTCCAGGTGTGTATGTCAAAGGACATGTTCTTCTAGGGTATGACTTAGCTGTGTGACCTTGGATCAGCTACTGAACCTCTCTGTGCCATCTTAAATGGGAATAAGAACCTGCTTTTGTGGATTATTTTTAAAAGTCACCCTGTGTCTACCCAGTATGCATAAGTGGGTTTCTGCATGGAAATAGAATGAACACGCCACCCCCTTCTCACCGCATCCTCAATATTCCTTTTGTTCCTCTGGTAACTGGTAGGGCCTGGGTGGGCTACGTCCTGGGAATACGGTAGGTTGGTGATGGTGAAATTCAGGGGGAAGTGCTGGGTGCTGGAACTGCTCGTGGGTTGATACACGGATGGCTCCATTTCTAGAATTTAAAAAAAAAAAAGTATGTAAAAATCCACTATCAAGGGGTGGGGGTTCAAGAAAGAGATTATTGCAGCTAGCCTACTTATCCCTGGCAGTGACAGCTGAGCTAGGTTTTTGAAGGTGAGATAAAGGGTTTTAGATAACAGCTCTATATTGGAAGGAGGGTCTTCCTCCATCCATCTGTCCAACTTGTATCCATCCGCTCATCTATGTGTCCAACTCTCTTTCTACCAAGCCTTGTAAGAATTCCCTACAACATGAGTGAAAAGAGACTGGGTTTTTCTGCGGGTATGGTCAGCAAGCGCGGGTGCTGACCAAGCCAGCAAGCATCTACTACACATACTTGCTGAGTCTTCTGATGATCTTTGTTCTTAAAGGGTCTTCCTGCCTTTGCTCTTCTCTCCCCATTCACTCTCCATTCTGCACACAGCACCCAAGGGATAAGCAGAATTCTTTTTTTTTTTTTTTGAGATGGAGTCTCACTGTGTCACTCAGGCTGGAGGGCAGTGGCATAATCTTGGCTCACTGCAACCTCCACCTCCTGGGGTCAAGTGATTCTCCTCCCTCAGCCTCCCGAGTAGCTGGGACTACAGGTGTGTGCCACCACACCTGGCTAATTTCTGTACTTTTAGTAGAGATGGGGTTTCACCATATTGGCTAGGCTGGTCTCAAACTCCTGACCTTGTGATCCGCCCGCCTTGGCCTCCCAAAGTTCTGAGATTACAGGCGTGAGCCATCAGACCCAGCCTCATTTCACTTTCTAAAGCAGAACTCATGACTGAGTCATGTTCCTCCCTAAGCCATTCCAGTACCTAACAAAGTCTCTGCCCATATCTTTGGCTTCAACAGTCACCTCTCCAATATCAAAGTGGATACTCCAGCTCACCAATCTTTTTACAACTTCCCCCAGAATGCCATATTCTATCTTCTAGGTTACAGACGCATGGAGCACAATTCTCCATCTGCTCCCCCTGGCTAGGTCCCATTCTCTGTCAGATCTCAGCTTCATCATCCCTTCCTAGAGACATCTTTCCAATACAAGGTTGTGTGTCCCTCCCTGGGGCGCCTACAGGCTCCTGAAATTCCCTTAGCATAGCAATTATCACACTGTATCATCAGTGCTTGTTTACTTTCATTGTTTATTGAATGAATAAATGAATGCATTGATTTATTGATTCATTCATTCAACACAATTTTTTTTTTTTTTTTACATGTAAAAACAGCTGTTAACTCTTAGGTGCAATGGCTGAGTGTTCTGTTCCTGCCTTGTTAGATAATCTACTGCCAGAAGTCGTCTACGTGGGTCTCCAGGAAGCCTCCCTTTCCCTCTATAGAGCCTCCACCAATTCCACTGATACTGAGAAGCCTCATCTTTCCTTATAACCCCACCCCTTCCAGTTATGAAACCAGCCACCCGCCTTGTACCTGTCACATGCACGTCCGTCAACTGGTAGGTGTTTCCCAGCCAATGAGATGAGGCATTCAGGGTTTTATCTAGAAATACTTGCTCCACCAGGCTGGGATCCAGATTGGAGGAGAACAATGTCTTGACTGTGACCAACATGGAGCCCATCCTAGGGACAGAGATCACAGGAATTCAGCTAGTACTCAGCACCAGCAGCAAATCATGGTTGCTCTTTTTAAAGAGCCAAAGGGCTAGAGGCAACTGGTGGTGGGGGTGGGGGGTGCCCAGCTGCCTAGAGAAGGGTTCTGATAAAAATGGGAACCCTTTGGCTGGGCGAGATGGCTCATGCCTGTAATCCCGGCACTTTTTCCCTCTTGATTTCTACTTTTTATTTTATTGTATTTTATTTTTGAGATAGAGTCTCACTCTGTCACCTAGGCTAGAGTGCAGTGGCTTAATCTTAGCTCATTGCAACCTCCGCCTCTAGGCACAAGTGATCCTCCCACCTTAGCCTCTCAAGTGGCTGAGACTACAGGTGTGTGCCACCACGCCTGGCTAATTTTTGTATTTTTTTTTTTTTTTTTGTAGAGACTAGGTCTCCCTATGTTGCCCAGGCTAGTCTTGAACTTCTGGGCTCAAGAGATCTGCCCTCCCTGACCTCCCAAAGTGCTGGGATTATGGGCGTGAGCCACTGCACCAAGCCTACTTTTGATTGCATTTGTTTTTAATTTTTGTGGGTATATAGTAGGTGTATATATTTATGGGGTACATGAGATGTCTTGATACAAGCATACAGTGCATAATAATCACATCAGGGTAAATGGGATATCCATCTCCTCAAGCATATATCCTTTGTTACAAAAAATCCAAGCATGCACTTTTAGTTATATTTTAAAATGCACAATCAAATTATTTTTGACTACAGTCACCCGATTGTGCTAGCAAATACTAGGTCTTATTCATCCTTTCTATTTTTTGTTCCCATTAACCACCTCCATATCCTCATTTGAAATACAAAAATCCTTGAAGTTTAGAAATATGCAAAGTCAGCCCCGTGTCCTGTGACCCTCCTCTTCCCAAGTGTAGATATCTTCATTCCTTCACCCAGTCATCAGAGACCTGCGTTCAAATCTCAACTTTGATGGATTTGGGAAGTTCACTTTTCTGACCCTCAATTTTCCCATCTGCACAAAAGGGATGATCTTTGCCCTCAACTCATAGAGAATATCGTGAGAATTAAATGAGAGGAGGCTGGCTGATGTTAGTTATTATTATTGGGCTATGATTTTGAGTTCTACATCAAAAAGTTATCTTTTCCCAAGTGTCCAGAAAAAAAAAGAAGGTGGATGCTGAGAGTTGGTGGCTGCATGAGGTTAATCCTCACCCCCTACCTTGAGGATTTATGGGAGGAGTTGGTAGGATTAGCTAACAGGGATGTAGGGGAGAATGGGTACCCCGGTGGGGACGTGCAGCTCAAGGGTGCTCAGAGACATAGCCGCAAGCTTGCCCGCTGCTTGCAACCTTCAGAACTTACGTCAAGTTGGTGACCAGGCAGAAGCGGAACGCATCGTGCAGTTGACTGCCTTTGTAGAGTGTGGTGACCTAAAAGGAGGAGTAGTGGGTGAGATAGAGGTCTCTTGGGTGTGGAGGGGCCACTGATGCCAGTGGAAAAAAAACACAGGACTCAGTGCAATGAGGACCAGAGTTCAAATCCTAACTCCGCTCCTAAGTCACCATGTGACCCTAGGCACACCACTCCCTTTTCTGAACCTCAGTTTGCCCATCTGGAAAATGGGGATGGTAGTCAAGAAAGCACCTTTGGAAACAGAGAGAACCTAGAACACGTAGGTGAAGCGAAGCATTTGAAATCATCACTTAATAGACAAGTCAGGTGGAAGAGGGAGAAAAGCACACAGGGCAGGGGAGATGGGAGGGTGAGAGATGCCTCACCTTGTCCTGGATGTCCCTCAGCAGGGCGATGTACTCTGAGGATGTTGGGTCTGGATTACTGAGGTTCCAGTTGACGATGCGGAAATTTATCTGGTACTCACCCTGGATCGGTGAATTCTGGGGTGCATAGCCTGGAGCCACAGAGAAGAAGACAAGACCACAGACAGGTGGGCAGATGTTGATCACAAAATGCAGAGCCAGCATGGCCCAGGGGTCCCCTCCCTACTGTCAGAATCAGTCAATTTCAGGTCCACATACGGGGTATTGCAGGCTTAGAGGGAAAGTTGTGCCAAAGAGAGGGAAATCTGGAATGTTACATGGATTCTCCTGAGCGGAGCTTTCCAGCATGTGCTACACAGTTTCCACTTCTAGGAATGCATCCTTACTGTTTCCTGCAAAACTTCTGTTCATGCTTCAAGAGCCCAGTGAGAGGGAGCTCCAGGACAGCAGAAGCCCATGTCTGTCTTATTCACTATTGTGTCCTGGTGCTTAGCACAGGGCTGGGCACGTAACACCCTCCTCCAGGAAGCCCTCCTTGATTCACTCCACCCCTCAGCTCCCATAGTACCCTGTTAATAACAGCAATAGGGTCTTTACTGTGCTTCGGATTTTTGGTTCACTCAAGTATGAGTTTGTCAGAGACAGAAAAATGTGTCTTCTACCTCCAGACCCAGCACAAGGCTTGGGGCAGAACAGCCACATATATATGTTTGCTGAATGAATCAATGTGTGTTACAGCAGAGACACTAATCATTTGCTCACACATTCAATGATTCATTCAATACTATGGTGTGCTGATGTGCTGAGAATTGAGGGTACAGTGGCACTCATACTCTAATTTTGTTGAGCTCACAGGGTAAAGGGGAATCAGAAAATTTATATTTTATTTTATTTTATTTATTTTTGAGGCAGAGTCTTGCTCTGTCACCCTGGCTGGAGTGTAGTGGCATGATCTCAGCTCACTGCAACCTCCACCTCTTGAGTTAAAGCAATTCTCCTGCCTCAGGCTTCCAAGTAGCTGGGATTACAGGTGGCTGCTACCATGCCCAGCTTACTGGGTATTTTTAGTAGAGATAGGGTTTCACTGTGTTGGCCAGGCTGATCTCAAACTCCTGACCTCAAAAAATTTAACGAGTAATTACAGTAAAGCATGATAAATGTCAGTCTCGTACCCACCTAGGAACTTTGGGACCATGTACAACAGGATTTCTCACCCTTGAAATTATTGGCATATGGGGCTGGATCATACCCTGGGGTGGGCATCTTCCATGCACTGGAAAATAGGCTACCAACCCACTAGATGTCAGTTGCATCCTCCTTGCCTCCCTGAGTTGTGACAACAAAAATGTTTCCAGATATTTCCTAGAGTCTCTCGGGGGTGGCGTGGAGCAGAAGTGTCGCCCGGTAAGAACTGCTAACACAGAGGATCCTCATATAGAAGGAACTGCTATACTGTCCCAAAGGATGCCACGGCTCAGCCATTTGGGTTTTGAATTGAAACTCATTATGGATGAACCTGGGGGGCATTATGCTAAGTGAAATACACCAGACAGAGAAAGACAAATACCACATGATCTCACTTAATATGTGGAATCTGAAAGAGTCAAATGTATAGAAGCAGAGAATAGCATGCTGGTTATCAGGGGCGTAGGGGTGGTGCTACAGAAAATGGGGAGATCTTGGTCACAAAATACAAATTTTTAGTTACAAGATGAGTAAGTTCTGGGGATTAAGTATAAAGCATGGTGTTTTTTTTGTTTGTTTGTTTTGTTTTTTTTTGAGGTGGACTCTGCCTCTGTCACCCAGGCTGGAGTGCAGTGGTGTAATCTCAGCTTACTGCAACTTCTGCCTGATGCAGCCTCCTGAGTAGCTGGGACTATAGGTGTTCACCACCATGCCTGGCTAATATTTTGTATTTTTAGTAGGGAGGGAGTTTCACCATTTGGCCAGGCTGGTCTCGAACTCCTGACCTCATGATTCGCCTGCCGCAGCCTCCCGAAGTGTTGGGATTATAGGCAGAGCCACCGTGCCCAGCCAAAGTGTGGTGGATTATAATTAATAACGCTGTATTGAAAACCTGAAATTTTCTATGATAGTAGTTCCTAAATGTTCTCTCTCTCTCACTCACTCACACAGATGCACACACACAAACGGTAACTATGTGACATGATAGCAGTGTTAACTAATTTGATCATGGTAATAATTTCATAAAGTATACATACATTAAATCATCACATTACACATCTTAAATACCTACGCTTCTATTTGAGAGTTTGACTGCACCAAGTTTGAAACAAAAGTGAAGGAGAGACAATTTATGACATTAATTTGGTAAGAGAATTCCATGATACTTACTCAAAATAATGGGAAAGACCCTCTCCTTGGTGGTCTGGGGAAGGGTGCCCCCTAGCCAGGCCTTGGGTTGTTTTTTTTAGAGAGGAAAAATAATACAATAGAGACAAATAACAGTTATGGTAGGCTGGGCATGGTGGCTCACGCCTGTAATCCCAGCACTTTGGGATCACCTGAGGTCAGGGGTTTGAGACGAGCCTGGACAACATGGTGAAACCCTGTCTCTACTAAAAATACAAAAAATTAGCTGGGTGTGGTGGCGTGCACCTGCAATCCCAGCTACTTGGAAGGCTGAGACAGGAGACTTGCTTGAACCTGGGAGGCAGAGGTTGCAGAGCCGAGATTGAACCATTGCACTCCAGCCTGGGTGACAGAGTGAGATTCCATCTCAAAAACAAACAAACAAATCCCCAGAAAGTCACTGTAAATCCAAGTTCAGCCTGACACTCACCGTTGATGAAGAGGCTGTCCCTGTCCAGGGCAAAGAAGCCCAGTTGAGTGACACCATGGGTTAGCTCACTTAGCTCCCAGTAAAGCTGCTCTATGTCCAGCCCGGGGCCCACGGGGTCAGGGTTGTAGGAGCAGGTGGTGTTCACGCCAGTGGCTTCCCCATCCTTCTCAGGCCTGGGGAGAGAGGCATTTGAGGATTTGAGAAAGCTCCTAACACCTCTGCAGGTAAAGATCAGAGGAGGGAGGAGCAAGGGAAGGCTGAGAAAGGGGTGGTCACAAAAGGGGTGCTCATTACTTGCAAGTGGCCAGGAAGTGGTCTCACCTGAGGGAGATCAGTTGGCAACCCAAGTAGAAGGGGCCCATGCTGCTCTTCTGGAACAAGGGTCTGAGCTTAAGAGGAAGGAGGAAGAGGGTAAGCAGAGGAACAGAGGTTGGGGTAGGATTTATCCCACCGGGAGCCTGCTGGGACGGGTCTCACCAGGTACTGCAGGACCCTCTCCGTGAAGTTGAATGCAGCTGAGCCGTTGCCCATGCCTGGTGAATACTGGAGATTGGAGACGGTAAAGCTGAGTCTGAGCATCTTCAGGTGGTTCCCTGTGGCTGCAGGAGGGGAGGAGGAAAGACATCTGCACCTGAAGGCTGGTCTGAGACTAGATCAGAGTCTTGCACTCACTATTAACCAGCGTGGCCATCCAAGTCAGAAGCTCTGTATCTCCTCCCCTCCAAGTAACACCGATTCCCTTTGCTGAATATTCATCACATATGTTCTCTCTCTCCTTCCCCATCCCAGTTCAGGCCTCATTTTCTCTCACCCTGATTAGCACCCTGGCAGGCTCGCTGGATGCCCTGTCTAAAGGGCATTCTTCTCTACTGAACACGAGAGGAATCTGTGAACTGATACTCTCACTAGGGCTGCCCCTGCTCTAGTACTATCCACAGCTCTCTATGGCCTTCAGTGTTGAGTTCAAATTTCTCGACGTGGCATACAAGGCCCTTTCCAATCTGGCTCCTGCTGATCTTTCAGTCTCACGTATCCATCCACTCTGGGTTAAGCTTCATGTTTCATCAAACCAAGTTCCTCTCACTTTTCCCTATATTCTATGCTGTTTCTGGCCACTGAGGCTTTGCTGATGGAATCCCCTCTTTCAGTAATACTATTCATGCCCTATTTGCCTGAATCACTCTTACTCATCCTTAAAGACTCAGTTCAGGTGAAACTTTCCCCCTTCTTCCCAATTACGCCAGATGTCTCACTCCAAAACATCTGACATTATATCATAACGATCTATTTATCTCATAAGACTGGGGGCTCCACGAGGGCAGGTGTCTGACTGAACTGCTAGTCTAACAGTTGAGGAGGAAAAGTGGCCCCAGTTACCTGTTGTGGCTTCTGACAGAGGAGGCAGGAATGTGGTGGCTGGCTGGGGAGCTGTGGAAGGAATAGTCCATCAGAGAGGAACAAAGCCCACCACCCAGTGGGAGAAGCTCCCCTGGCCTTCATCAGTGGTCCAAGCCAGGATGACCATTCACGGGTGGTCCATAAATGAGACTGAGGGAAGGAGTGACTGTGTGAGTGGAGGGGTGAGCAAGCCTGTGAGTAAAATTGACCCAAGAGAGTGGCAGGGGTGGTGAACAAGAGAAAGGTTGAACCAAGAGGATAGATGGATGGATGGGCAGGAAAATAAAAGGGATCAAAGAATGGAAAGAAGGTGGAACGTACAACTGGTGAGTCAAAAGAGAAGGCAAGATGGATAAAACTGAGGAAGAGAAGTTGGAGAGATGAAAGAAGGAAGGAAAGAAAGAACAAGGAGGTGAATTGGGCAGGAGGATGGGTAGACATACGAATGGATCTATGGATGGATGGAGAAGAGAATGGGTAGAAGAATTAATAAAATGAAGACCAGAAGGAAGGAAGGAAGGACAATTGGGTGAGTGAGGAGAAGGGTGGGTGGAGAGATGGCTGGGTGGATGGATGGATGGAAGGGCAGAAGGAAGGAAACATAAATGAAGGGGAGGATGGACGGATGGTTGGAAGGATAGAAATAAGGACAAAAAATGAATGGGGAGAAGGATGGATGGATGGTGATGGCTAGACGGATAAAAGGATAGGTGGAAGGAAGGACAAGCAGGTGAATGGGCAAGAGGATGAGTGGGTAGATGGGCAGATGGATGAATGGATGGAAGGAAAGAAGGAAGGAGGGACAAGCAGATAAACAGGCAGGAAGATGAATGGAGAGACGGATGGATGATTGGAAGGGCAGAAAGAAGGATAAACAGGTGAATGGGGAGAAGGATAGGTGGATGGATGATGGACAGATAGATAATGGATGGCTAGATGGGTGGATGAATGGATAAAAGGAAAGATGGAAGGAATGACAATTGGGTGAACAAATGGGGTGGAGAGATGGCTGGGTGGATGGGTGGATGGATGGAAAGACACAAAGAAGAAAACAGGTGAATGAAGAGGAGGTGGATGGATGGATGGATGGAAGGACAGAAAAAGGACAAGCAGGTGAATGGGCAGGAGGATGGATGATGTATGAATAGATGAATAAAAGGACAGATGGAAGGAAGGACAAGAGAGTAAATGGTCAGAATAATGGGGTGGATGGATGGCTGGACAGATAGATGGATGATGTCTGAGAGATGACCAGAAGGACAGAAGAATGGATGGCTGGAAAGACAGATGAGTGGGTCACTGGATGAGACAATGGGCAAATTAAGCTAAAATCACTTGAGTAGTCACCAGAGTTTGCGGCTTGACAATGAGTCCCCTGCTGGGGGCACTTGTAGGAGATTTTGTTATCAGCAGGTATGGACTAGCAAGGTCATCACCTGACCTCAACCTCTATCCCTGTAGGGAATGCTTGTTCAAACTTCTTCCTCCAACCCAGAGGGGCATGGAAAATTCAGAAAGCCAAGACTATGGCTGCAGGTCTGAAAACAGGCCACAGACCCAGCATTCCTTCTCCCACCGAGACGCTGCCCCTCACCACCTCAGGGGACCAGCCCGAATCTGGGGCAAGCTTCCTTTATGAATGAGGAGAAAAGTTTGAACCAAGACCCATGGAGATTGAAATGGGCACTGAATTCAAAAACACTTACTTGTAGGAGGCTCATCTGGACCGGGTTCATTATAACCTAGAAACAAAGAAGTCACATGTAAGAGAAGGTGGCAGAATGGTCCCCGATGCACCATGTTTTTGTCCACATGGAGCCCCTGCCTGGGTGCCCTTCCCTTTGTGTATCTAGAGATTGTGGATACATTTACGTATCATCTAATATTTGACTTAAATGTCTTTACCAGTAAAAATAATTTCCTGATATTTCAATTAGCACTGACCCTTCCCTACATATGACTCCAGCATGCTTCCAATGAGAGACTCTCATTACCTTTGTGTTCACAAGTCTTATCTCTTACATATTCATCCATCCATGCCCCCCACCTCCCCTTCCAGGCCTCCTCCAATCTATTCCTCCACCCAACGAATGTTTATTAAGGGTTTACTATGAGCAGGGCTCCCTTTACATTTGGGGAACATAGGGCAGAATAAAACAGTCTCCGCCCCTCTGGAGATTACATTAAAACAGGATGCACATGTAACCTATCTCTGTCCCTGGTGCCAGACAGGATAATAGTAGCTGCTTGGTAAATCTAAATGAAGAAACAAAATGAAACATATAAGCCATGCAGTTTACAAGGGGGAAAACCGGAACAGGTCCCTGCAGAGGCCAAGTTGAAGGGACTTGATGTCAGCTCAGATCAAGACCCAACCTGCACTTGTGTGTTTATCACAGCACTATCCACAATAGCAAAGATGTGGAATCAACTTATGTGTCCATCAACAGATGAATCGATAGAGAAAATGTGGTATACACACACAATGGAACACTGCTCAGCCACAAAGAGAAATAAAACCATGCTGGCGAGGTGGTAGAGAAAAAGGAATGCTTACACACTCTTGGCTGGAGTGCAAATTAGTTCATCCACTGTGGAAAGCAGTGAGGTGATTCCTCAAAGAGCTAAACATAGAACTACCATCTGACCCAGCAATCCCATCACTGGGTATATGCCCAAAGGAATATAAAGTTTTCTATTATAAAGACACATGTTCACTGCAGCACTATTCACAGTAGTAAAGACATGGAATCTATTTAAATGCCCATCAATGATAGATTAGATAAAGAAAATGTGGTACCTATACACCACGGAATATTATGTAGCTATAAAAAAGAATGAGATCAAGTCCTTTGCAGGAACATGGATGGAGCTGGAGCTCATTATCCTCAGAAAATTAATGCAGGAACAGAAAACTAAATATCACCTGTTCTCACTTATAAGTGGGAGCTAAATGATGAGAACACATGGACACATGGAGGGGAACAACACACACTGGGACCTACCTGAGGGTGGAGGGTGAAGGGTGGGAGGAGGCAGAGGATCAGGAAAAATAATTAATGGGTACTAGGCTTAATACCTGAGTCATGAAATCATCTGTACAACAAATCCCTGTGACACAAGTTTAGTTATGTAAAAAATCTGCAAGTGTGCTGGGCACGGTGCTCATGCTTGTAATCCCAGCACTTTGGGAGGCCGAGGTGGGCGGTCACCTGAAGGTGGGAGTTCAAGACTAGCCTGACCAACATGGAGAAACCCCATCTCTACTAAAAATACAAAATTAGCTGGGCATGGTGGTGGGTGCCTGTAGTCCCAGCTACTTGGGAGGCTGAGGCAGGAGAATCGCTTGAACCCAGGAGATGGAGGCTGTGGTAGTCGAGATCGCACCATTGCACTCCAGCCTGGGCAACAAGAGCGAAACTCCATCTCAAAACAAAACAAAACAAAACAACCTTCAAGTGTATGCCTGAACTTACAAGTTAGTGAAAAAGAATGAATCCATGTCTTTTGCAGCAACATGGATGAAACTGAAGATACTTTAAGTGAAACAAGTCAGACACAGACAGACAAATATCACACATTTTCACACATTTTCACTCAAAAGTGGGAACTAAACAATGTGTGGACAAGAACTCAGAGAGGGGAATGATAGACAATGGAGGCTTGGAAGGGGGAGGGAGTATAATCCCGGTGGGTGATGAGAAGTTACTTACTGGATACAATGTATGTTATTTGAGTGGTGGATACTCTAAAAGCCCTGACTTCACTACTATATAATCTATGCGTGTAACAAAATTGCATCTGTACCCCATAAATATACACAGCCAATGGTGATGATGACAATAGTAGCAATAATAATAAAGAACATCAAGACCCAGACTAGCCAAAAACTTACTGTGGGCATGGACAAGTCCCTTCCCCCTCCGTGCCTCAGTTTCCCTGTAAAATGGGCCCAATCTTGCATGGTGGTAATGGAAGGGTCAGTGGTAATGCCAAGACTTGAACCCCAAGTCTTTCCTTAGAGACCTGGCAAACAGACAACCTCGTGCCTGCAGCAGGGGATGGGGGGTGGGGGGCAGGGAGATGGGGCTGAGAGCTGCTCACCATTAAGGTAGAGGCTGTCTTTGTCCAGAGAGTAAGGGCCCAGCCGGGTGATGCCACGGGTCTGCTGGCTCAGCTCATGGAATACCTGCTTGGTAGGCAGACCTGGGCCGCTGGGGGATGGCAGGTAGGTGCAGAGGATGTCCACCCGTGTCTCAGTGCTGTCCTTCACAGACCTGAGGAGGGAGAGGCGCACCTTTGGGGGATGAAGGCCGCCTGGCACCTCTCCACTTGTGGTCACTGTACAACTCATAGTCCATGTTTTGGTCTCATTGACAGTTTGCAGTTTCTCTACCTGGCCCTATCTATCATCTCAGGATCTTTGTACTTGCTGTTACTTCTGTCTGGAAGCCTCTCCCCATTTCTCCTTACCTGGAAAACTTCCTGGTCATCCTCCAGGTCTCAGCTTAGAGGACTCCCTCCTTCCCTTCCTCCTCCTCCTCCTCCTCCTCCTCTATATCCTCCCCCTCCTCTTCCTCCCCCTCCTGCCCTCCTCCTCCCCATCCCCATCCTCCTCCTCCTCCTCCTCCCCATCCCCATCCTCCTCCTCCTCCTCCTCCCCAACCTCCTCCTCCTCCCCCCCACCCTTCTCCCTCCCCCTCCCCCTCCTCCTATCTTCCTAGGCAAGGTCAGGAGTCTCCTCTGGGTCCCATAATCCTTTACTCTTCCCCTGTCACTGCCCTGGTCACCCTCTATGTAATCATAAATGATTTGTTCCTGTTCCTTCCAGAACATGGTCTCCACGAAAGAGGACATAAACCAGTTTAGCTTACTCTTATTATATTGAAGCCCCAGAACCTAGCACCCCTTGATAACTCCCTGCAAACATCAAAGTACTAAATGAATGGAGAAACTAAATACAGCATGGACATCAAAGAGACATCTGCACATGTATGTTTACTGCAGCACTCTTCACAATAGCAAAGATATGGAACCAACCGAAGTGTCCATCAATAGAAGACTGTGTAAAGAAAATGTGTATGTGTGTGTGTGTGTGTGTGTGTGTGTGTGTGTGTATACATATATGTATTTATATATATACACATTCAGCCATAAAAAGAATGAAATCATGTCTATTGCAGCAACATGGATGGAACAGGAGGCCATTATCTTAAGTGAAACCACTCAGAAAGTACAATACCGTATGTTCTCACTTATAAGTGGGAGCTAATGGACTCCATGTCTATTAGCTCATGGTCAAATGCCATCTGTTCTCACTTGTAAGTGTGAGCATGGACTCCAGGTCCGTGTACACATGGACAGAGAGTGTGGAATAATAGACACTGGATACTCAGAAAAGTGGGAGAGTGGGAGAAGGATGAGAAACCTCACTTAACGGGTACAATGGACACGATTTGGGTGATGGGTAAACTAAAAGCTACTGTCTGGAAATCTATTGTCTGCAGACTTCACTATGCAATATACGCATGTAACAAAAACTGCGCTTAGACCCCTTAAATCCACTTTAAAAAAAGGAACGGTAAGATTAAAAAAAGATACAGCCCACCCCAACCCGAGGGGGCCCTCACAGTCAGAACTCTAAGTTCTTGGTGGTGGGCTGTGGTTTGGGCAGTTTCTCACCTTAGCGCGATGACCCTGCAGCCTGTGTACCATGCGCCCAGGCTGCTCTTCTGGAACAAAGGATTGAGCTGCAGAGGGAGAAGGGAGCTCGGGTTGGCAGAGGCAGGCAGGCAACAGTCCTAGGATGGACATGGCAGGGCTGCAGGGGGAGGCAGGCCTCTCACCAGGCGTTGCATGACGCGGTCTGTGATGTTGAACTTGAGGGAGCCGGGCTGGCCCATGTTCGCCGTATAGCGCAGGTTGCTGATGGTGAAGTTCAGTGTGAAAGGCTCTTTGCTGAGCTCCCCAGCTAGGGCTGGGGGAAGAGAGAGATGAAGCTCTTTTGGAAAGGATGATGGGTGGGTGGGGGGTGGTGTGGGATAGGGTGGGGGCAGTGTGTTCCAAGGACCCCATGTCCACCTCTCAATAAACCCAAGGGTGACTTTTAATGTTGACAACTCCAGCAGCCAGCAAGGGTGTGCTTAACGATTTGGGAAGGGACGATTCTGTAAACAGTACTGATGGTTCTGATCTTTCCCAGGGGAAATGCTCCATATTGCCCCACTGATGCAGAAGGGATGACTCCAGACATTTTCCAAAAATTAATAAATATTATCTCTCTCTCTCTTTCCCTCTTGCCCCCTTGATTCTTCTCTGCCTTTCTCCCATTTCTCTCTCTCTCCCCGGCACTCTCAGCCAGGTGTGCTAATCTGCTATGCACTGGTTAACATGGCCAACAATCCTTGCAGCCATAACCAACCTCTCTGCACCTCGGTTTACTCATCTGTAAAATGGGTTAATGACAATGGCTCACAATAATGAATCCTGCCTCAACGGTTGTTATGAAGCTTAAAGAAGTTAATCTTTGTAAAGTATATAAGCATTGCTGGGCACACAGGTCAATATGGTGTATGTGTTTATTATATAAAATATACCAGCAAATGTTTTCTAATCACTCCCTCTGTGTGGAACTTTAGTGTAAGTATGAGCTAAGGTTTAAGACAAACCTCTGGGAGAAAAGTTTACCTCTCCTTCTCTCCCTGCCTTTCGTCTTTTCATCACTCGTGAACTTCCTTCTGTTCATTCTTCCTTCTCTCCTTCTTTCCTTCCATCCTTTCTTCTTTCCTTCCATCTTTCATTCTATTAATGCATCCTTTCTTGCTTGCTTCCTTCCTTTCATTGTACCTTCTATCATCTGTCTATTCTTCCTCCTCCTTCTCTCATTTCTTTCCTTCCTATCATCCAACCATCCATTTATACATCCATCTATCCATCCATCCATCTACCCACCCAATCACCTATCCATTCATCTATCTATCCATTCATCTATCTATCCATCCATCCACCTTCCCACCCATCTGTCCATCCATCCATCCAACCACTCACCCATCCATCTATTCACCCATCCATCCATCCATCCATCCATCCATCCACCCATCCATTCATCTATCTATCCATTCATCCAGCTACCCACCCATCTGTCCATCCAACCATCCATCCAGTTGCCCATCCATCCATTCACACATCCATTCATCATCCATCTATCCATTCATCCATCCATCCATCCATCCCTTCACCCACCCACCCATCCATCCATCCATCCATTCATCCATCCATCCATCCATTCACCCACCCAGCAATCCATCCATCCATCATCCATATTTCCTTCATTACATCTTCTTTCCTTCCTTCCATCTACTTATCTTTCTTCCTGTTTTTCTCTCATCTATTTTTCTTCCTTCAATTCACTCATTCATTCTCTTTCCCCTCCTCCTTCCATTCATCACTTCTTCCTCCAAGCTGTCACTTCTTCCTTCCATCCAACCACCTTGACTTCATTCCATATATATGGAATGCTACAGTGCTCCAGGAACATTTAAAGAGCTGGATAGTGATAAATAAAACACATTCGCCAGGCGCGGTGGCTCACGCCTGTAATCCCAGCACTTTGGGAGGCCGAGGCGGGTGGATCACGAGGTCAAGAGATCGAGACCATCCTGGTCAACATGGTGAAACCCCATCTCTACTAAAAATACACACACAAAAAAAATTAGCTGGGCATGGTGGCACATGCCTGTAATCCCAACTACTCAGGAGGCTGAGGCAGGAGAATTGCCTGAACCCAGGAGGTGGAGGTTGCGGTGAGCTGAGATCGCACCATTGCACTCCAGCCTGGGTAACAAGAGAGAAACTCCGTCTCAAAAAAAAAAAAAAAAACAAAAACAACAACAACAACAAAAACATTCAATGGAGATGACTTTTTTTTTTTTTTTTTTTTTTTTTTTTTTTTTTTTTTTTTGAGATGGAGTTTCACTCTTGTTGCCCAGTCTGGAGTGCAATGGTGTGATCTCGGCTTACTGCAACCTCTGCCTCCCGGGTTAAAGTGATTCTCCTGCCTCAGCCTTCCGAGTGGCTGAGATTATAGGCACGTGCCACCACGCTTGACTAACTTTTTGTATTTTTAGTAGAGATGGGGGTTTCACCATGTTGGCCAGGCTGGTCTCGAACTCCTGACCTCAGGTGACCCACCCGCCTCAGCCTCCCAAAGTGCTGGGATTACAGGCGTGAGCCACCACGCCCAACCGGAGGTGATATTAACTTATGTTTCCTTCTACCACTTGAGAAAAGATGATCCCTGGAACTGATGGAAATCAGTGAGTTCCTTGGGGGAAAGGAGTGGGAAAAGTGAGAAGTAATTGGGTATGAATTACTTTGCAGGAGTGATTTTGGTATCGATAAGAGCCTGTCTGTGGTCCTGGTTGGGAGGGATAGAGCCAGTGAGGGTGTTGGAATGGATGGGTGGTCACAGCTGCCAAGGAAATAAACACCAGGAATAAAATCCAAAATGCGTTACATCTTTCGGGGAATGGTGGCAGTGGTGGTGGCTCTTGCTATAAAAATTTGTGCTTCTCTGTATTCCATTCAGCCAGGAGTCAGAGCACCATCCCTGGGTGTGTGTGGTGGGGGGATGGGGAGATGGGGAGGGTGGGAGATTGCTGTAACCTCCAGTTGAACCCACATTTCTATACACCTCCTCTGCACTCCTTTCCATCTAAAGTGTGGGTAGCAGAAGGAGGGGTTGGCTGTCTGAGCGCCTTCTATTTTTTTACTGGAAACAAAGTGGTCACAGACACACAGAGATCTGGAATACTCACGGCTGGCAGTGGTGCTTGAGCCCTGATGGGTGTAACCTGTAGGGACAGAGTGCAACGGTGAGGAAGGGGGAAGGGGAGAGATCTTCTATGAAGAGGCAACTTGGCTATTGAAGAGTTGGCCATTCTAGAGATGGTGCGTTAGTGGCTGGACCATCATAGCTGTGATTTATTAAAAGAAAGACAGAGCCCCTACCCGACACGGATTAGAGTCTACTCCCTCATCCATTAATGCATCCCAGAGAGACAAAGACTTTTTTCAATGCACTCTGATGTGAGCTCAGATGGAAGCTGCACTAGGTGCAGGTGCAGGGACCAACCGCAGCAGATCGCACTCAGTGAGGAAGAGGCGGACACTTACACCCCAGCACGGCCCTCTACTGTAGACATGGTCACAGCAGAAGCCGGGGAGAAAATGCCCCTAGCACTTGAGTTGGGGACTCCATTATCCTGGAGGTGCCAGGCAGGAGGTGCATACATCTGGGGCTTTTAGGGAGTATAGTCCTTGTTTGTTCGAGGCTGGAGGTGGGGAGAAGAGAAGGCAGTGAACTCTGGCCTCTTCCATGCCTAAGGGCTGGGACTCAGGTGGAGGCAGCTTACAGGGTTGTAAAGACTTGTAAAGCCTCAGCATACTCACAGATCTGATTTCGTATAAACTGCACAGGTGCAGGGAGAAAGGCTGAGTAGGAGGTGGGATGAGGAAGAGAGAAGAATAAAGAGGGAGGATGTGGGAGCAGCGGAGCTGTAAAATGGATGGTAGCCACTCACCATTGACAAGGAGACTGTCCCTGTCCAGGGTGTAGGGGCCCAGCTCAGTGATGCCATGGGTGAGCTGGCTCAGCTCCCAGTACAGACGCTCTTTATCCAGTCTAAAGCCTATGGGGTTGGGGTGGTAGGTGCAGAGAGCATCCACCTGAGTGGCTGTCGTCTTCTGCTTGGGCCTGAGGAAGGTAGATGAAGGGAATGAAAACAAACGGATTGCTTAGGAGGAGGTCCTGAGATTCCTTGGGGTCATAACACAAAGAGGCCAGAGAAAATCAAAAGCCTGGTAGAGAGGTGAGAAGCCAGACTTAGATCTCTGAGTGCACCAACTCCCAGACAGCTTGGGACTGTGAGCAGAATCATGGATAGAAATTTTCATTAAATTGCAAAGCCCAAACCTGCATCCTCTGACATGGGGACAGGAGAGCTTATATTTGAGAAAGGGGAAGAGTTGGAACTGGAGATTAGAGCAAGCGGAGAAGATGTATTTGTCTTGAGAGAATACTGGGGACAGATTCACGCACATGGATACAGTGCCCTCATTGGTAAAAGGAGCAGCAGGAGGGGATTCCGAAGAATATAAGGGTAGGGGTCCGATCCTGGTGATCAGCCCTGCAGAATCTCTGAGTTGAGGTGGGCAGGTGATAGCACCAGGAGACACGTTGGTCCTGGATCCAGCACCTACTGACTGAGAACATGCACAGGGAGGATAGGAAGGAAGAAGCCCAAATGCTTAGGGCCTGGAAACCCTTGGGAAGGCCATACTGGCTTTTCTGAGCTCTCACCTGAGCAAGGCCAGTCTGCAACCAGAGTACAGAGGACCGACACTGGTGTTCTTGAACAAGGGGTCAAGCTGCGAAAGAGAGGGAGGAGAGAGTAGTCAGAGAGGTGGGGCAATATGGTTATCCGTGGATGGGACGGACAGCAGTGGGTGTGGCAGAAATGAGATGAGTGTGGTAAGAGTAAAGTGGGTGTGGCAGGAGTGCAGTGGGCGGGGCAGGTGTGAGGTGGGTGGGGCAAGAGTGAGGTGGGCGGGGCAGGAGTGAGGTGGGCGGGGCAGGTGTGGTGGGTGGGGCAAGAGTGAGGGATGTGGTGGGAGTGAGGTGGGCAAGTGTAAAGCTTAGGCATGGTAGAAGTAAGGTGGGTGTGGCAGGAGTGAGGTGGGCGTGGCAGGTGTGAGGTGGGCGGGGCAGGAGTGAGGTGGGTAGGACAGGAGTGAGGTGGGCGGGGCAGGAGTGAGGTGGGCGGGGCAGGAGTGAGATGGGTAGGACAGGAGTGAGGTGGCAGGAACAGGAGTAAAGTGGGCATGGCTCTCACCAGGCTCTGAAGCACCTTCTCAGTGTTGTTGAAAGTCACAGAGTATGAAGACAGCATGTCTTTCCTGTACTCCAGGTTGGTGATGGTGAAGCTGAGGAGAAACAGCACCAGGGGTGGTCCTACGGCTGCAGTAGGGAAGGGAGAGGAGAGGGCAGACTGAGTCATGTCTGGGAGAAATATAGGGCATCTCGCATGTGTGTCTTGAAGTCTTGGGGAGGGTTTCCCTCCAGGGCGGGCAGTTTCCTCAGGAAGGAGACCCCAGACATCAGCCTTAAATGAGAATCACTAGAAATAAGTAAAAAATTGCCCTCGGTCGATAAATACATTGCCAAGCAGAAAGCAATCATCTCTGACCCTTCAGTTGGCTAAAATTCCAAACAGACATTCTTGTTTTTTTATTCTTTTAGCCCAAATTGTTTGAGATCCATGCATTTGTTGATTGTTTAAAAAAAAACTGAAGAAACACTTATATTGCATTTTTTATGTGTCAGGCCCTGTTTTAAGTGCTTTGCTTACATTTTAACTCATCTAAACTTGGAGGCAAAATCTTTAGAGGGAGACAGTACTATTTAATCCCCATTTTACAGATGTAAAGACCGAGCCAAAGGGAAGCTAAATAATGTACCTGTGGTCAAGCAGTGTCTAAATGGCAATGCCAAATTCAAATCCTGGCATTCTGGTCCCAGAGTCTGTGCTCCTAACACATCCACCTAGGACCATGGGCAGGTCTAGTCTCTAGCGCCCGCTTGTTCTAGCCTGAGTGGTCTGAGTTCAGAATGCCTTCAGGAGGCCCTAGCTGATAAATAACTAGAGACTTGAGATCCTGGTTCTCGCCAGACCCTCAGCAGAGCCAATGAGTGGTATGGAAATTGACCTTGGGCCAGCGGGAGTCCAAGAATGGGAAGCTGCCTTTCAGCCCAACCCGTCTGTCCAATTCTCTGAGCCCAACCTGAGCATGACCTGACAGAGGGCATAATTCCAGGGACTCTTGAAGCTCATACTGTGCCCTCCCTTCCTGGAAATGAAAATTAAATACTCTCGAGAGAAAAACCCCTTCACACACCTGCGACACTCACCCCAGCACCATCCTGATTGTAATTCAGTGCTTATCTGTACAGACACATCCTTCTTCTCTGTCTTCCCTGCTGGGAGCCCATCCAACTAGGGCCCTTCTATTTTGCTTATTGCTGCATTACCAGGGCCTCTCAGAGGCTTAATAAATACTTATAGAAATGAGCGAGGAGTCCTGGCTTTCCCAGGCAATACCTCCCACTAGCCAAGGGTACTAGACTTGTTGGAAACACCGAGAGGAAGCTCTTACCTGTGGAGGTTGGAACTGGGGTCCCAGAAGCAGATGCCATCACAACTAAGAAGAAAATGCAATGAGGCTGATGTGGAGAGAGGGAGAGATCCCTAGCCGAGTTGGCTCACCAAAAGACCTCAAGACCCTTTTATTGCTTGGCTCAAGCCTGTACCGGCATGTCCTTTCTGGGCTGGGAAACGCAGATAACAAAAGACCAGAGAAGGGATGGCCCCTAGGGCAAAATAGTCAAAGAACCCGTGCTACTTACTGCTGGGGGTGGAGGTCAGGACCTGGTGAGTGTAACCTGAAGAAAGAGAGGGCGAAGATTTCTAAGAATGGAGGAATGGGAAGAGGTGGCAAGGATCTAGAGCACAGTGAGTTCTGATGGTTGCATTCATTTATTTTTACGGAGTGCCCTCAAAGTGAAATCCTGTAGACAAACCCCAGAAACGATGGCTGGAGCACAGGGAAGAACTTCGATGTTGGGTTAGCCGCAGGTCATCCTTCCATAGTCTGTCCACCCCCATCACCTTCTGTAGGAATCTGATCTTTCGTTGTTATCTCCAGAAAAGCTTTGAAGACACAGCTTTCTTACTCAATATGAGCCGAGACTCATTACGAAACTGCAGAGCATGCACTCTGCAAGAAGACCCATGGACAAGCAGAACTTCCTATCTCACCATTGACATAAAGGCTGTCCCTGCCCAGGGTGTAGAAGCCCAGCCGGGTGACTCCGTGGGTCTCACGACTCAGCTCCCAGTACAGCCTCTCTCTGTCCAGCCCAGTGCTTGTGGGCTCAGAGCTGTGGGTGCAGACGGCATCCACTCTGGTAGCAGATCCATTCTTCATGGGCCTGGGAGGAGACACAGGGATGGGGACATATGCAGGGCTGACGATGAGGGCGAGCAAGAATAATAATAATCTGGAAAAGCCACAAAGCTGAAATCAACTTTGGTAAATGATCAATAGATGAAGAAGAGGAAATGGGACTGGAGTTGTCACAATGCTTGTTCAGCATCCACATACCAGCCTTCTATCACGCTACTCCCAGTTTAAGCCAAGGGGAAAGAAAAGCAGGTGGGAGACAGCCTCCAAGACCTTGCAAATCCCTTGGGTGCATCACCTTTGAGGACTTTAAATGTAGGTTAAGAAATGTGCATGCAGGCCGGGAATGGTAGTTCATGCCTGTAATCCCAGCACTTTGGGAGGCCGAGGTGGGTGGATCACCTGAGGTCAGGGGTTCGAGACCAGCCTGGCCAACATAGTGGAACCCCATCTCTACTAAAAATACAAAAAATTAGCTGGGAGTGGTGGTGGGAGCCTGTAATCCCAGCTAATCGGGAGGCTCAGGCAGGAGAATTGAACCTGGAAGGTGGAGGTTGCAGTGAGCTGAGATGGCGCTATTGCACTCCAGCCTGGGTGACAGAGCAAGACTCTGACTGACTCAGGAAAACATTGGAAATTGACCCTGTCCAATATGGTAGCCACAAGCCTATGTGAGTATTTAAATTAAAATTTTAATGATGTGAAATTACATAAAATTTACAACTGTACAGTTAAAAATGGTTAAGGTAGTAAGTTTAGTGTTACACATATTTTGCCATATTAAAAATAAAAAGGAGCCAGGTGTGGTGACTCTTGCCTATAATCCCAGCACTTTGAGAAGCCAAGTCAGGTGGATCACTTAAGGTCAGGAGTTCAAGACCAGCCTGGTCAACATGGTGAAACTCTGTCTCTACCAAAAATAGAAAAAAGTAGCTGGGTGTGGTAGCAGGTGCCTGTAATCTCATCTCATGGGTCATGAGAGCAAGATTCCATCTCAAAAGAAAAGAAAAGAAAAGTGCATGCTATAGGGACTTTTCAGTTTTGCTTTTAATTTTTTCCTTAGTGCAAAATCATTTCGGAAACTGCAAGGCATTCACTCCTGGGGAATGTTAATTTTGTTGGTTTTTTTGTTTTTGAGATGGAATCTTACTCTGTTTCCCAGGCTGGAGCACAGCAGTGCGATCTTGGCTCACTGCAAACTCCACCTCCCGGGTTCAAGTGATTCTCTCACCTCACCTCCCAAGTACCTGGGATTACAGGCTCCTGCCACCACACCCAGCTAATTTTTGAATTATTTTTTAGTAGAGAAGGGGTTTCACCATGTTGGCCAGGCTGATCTGGAACTCCTGACCTTAGGGTATCCACCTGCCTCGGCCTCCCAAAGTGCTGGGATTACAGGCGTGAGCCACCGTGCCCAGCTAGGGATGTTCAGCTAGATTAGAACCCAACGGAAGACAGAACAGAGGAATGAGAAGACAGGAACTGGGGAGTGGGCTCGGGAGGTTCAGCATCACAGGTGTCCACAGCCTGCTACACCTGGGCAGGTGGGGAGCAAGGTGGATCCCGGAAGTGAATGTGAGAGGAGTAGGAGTGTGAGCATCCACACCTGGGTATAGCTGGAGCTCAGAAGACAGTACCCCAAAATGAAGGCCTCAGACGCAGCCTCAGAAGTAAAAGTTTTTCTTTACCTTCTGCCCTCCTATCTCTGTTTTATTCTCCCCTGAGGCCAGCCTTAGAACCTAGAATCCTTCTTCCCCAAGGTGGCTCTTAGAAACCAGAACTTCTGGCCAAGTGTGGTGGCTCAACGCCTGTAATCCCAGCACTTTGGGAGGCTGAGGTGGGTGGATCACCTGAGTTTAGAAGTTTGAGACCAGCCTGGTCTGGTCTAAAAAATAATAATAAAATAATAAAATATTATTTTATTATTCTAAATAATAAACAATAAGTTAAAAAATAATTATTAAGTAATATTAAGAAAAATTTATCAAACTATAATAAAATAACAAAATTGTTAATAAATAATAATTATTGCATTATTAATACATAATAATAATAAATTAGCTGGGCATGGTGGCACACACCTGTAGTCACAGTTACTTGGAAGGCTGAGGCAGAAGAATCCTGGAACCCGGGAGGCAGAGGTTGCAGTGAGCTGAAATCATGCCACTGCACTACAGCCTGGGCGACAGAGCAAGACTTCATCTCAAAAAACAAACAACCCCTGAAAAAAAACCAAAAACCAAAACAAAACAGAAACAGCTCAGTTCACTGTAACCTCCACCTCCCAGGTTCAAGCAATTCTCCTGCCTCAGCCTCCAGAGTAGCTGGGATTACAGATATCTGCCACCACGCCTGGCTAATTTTTGTATTTTTAGTAGAGACAGGGTTTCACCATGTTGGCCAAGCTGATCACTAACTCTTGACTTCAGGTAATTCACCCACCTCGGCCTCCCAAAGTGCTGGGATTACAGATGTCAGCCACTGTACCCAGCCTGCATGCACATTTCTTAAACTACAGAGTGCAGATCATACACTGCACTCCAGCCTGGGAAACAGAGTGAGACTCTGTCTCAAACAAACAAAGAAAAACAAGCAAACAAACAAACAAAGAAAAACAAGCAAACAAACAAACAAAGAAAAACAAGCAAACAAACAAAGCAGAAACTGGAATCTCTTTTCCTTAAAGTTAACAATAAAACTTAAAAATATGACTCTAACTTTCCCCTCTGCCTTTCTGTGTAAAAACTGGCCATAAGGAAATTATGGACGTACCTTGTTTGACCGTAAAATATAAGACCCCCACTTGCAAAGTGGGTCCTACCCCATACCCAGAAGGAAGGAATGCAATCTCGGCAGGCCAAGAAGAATCTAGACAGACAGGCTTTGCTAGATTTCCCCACTTAGTCTATCAGCACTGGATCATACCCTTTTTATCTAATCATATTTCTACACATTCCTCCATGCTGGAGATATGTAGGTTCAGCACAGCATGGACAGGACAGCCATGTACAAATAGATGTATCTTTAGGTCTTCATTCAGAAGGCTCCTGTGTATACACGTGAAATCAATTCATATGCCTTTTCACCAGATAATCTTCCTTTTGTAAGTTGATTTTTCAATGAACCTTCAGAAGGCCAAGGTTTTGCAACCTACAGCATCTCACCTGAGCGAGATCAGTCTGCAGCCAGAGTACAGTGGGCCAATACTGGTGTTCTTGAACAAAGGGCCAAGCTGGGGAGGAAGGAGAGGGAGGTGAATTGAAGGGCTGAGGGGCTCTGAAGAGGTGAGAAGGGGCGAGCTTTGAGCATCTCAGGACTCTCACCATGCGCTGCAAGACCTCCTCAGTTGTGTGGAACACTGCAGAACCTGTATACTTCATGTCCGGCATGTACTGCAGGTTTGTGATGGTGAAGTTGAGGATAAAGGTCACCAGGGTAGGGCTTGTGTCTGTAACAGGGGAGGCAGATCAGAGGATCTGTTTTGAGCCCGCTAGAGCTCTCTGTCCAACCCTCACCCAGGTGGGCTCTAGTTCTCTCCACCAGAGGCCTTCACTTCGCTTGGTACTTGGAGCAGTCAGGAACCACCATTTAAATCCTACCCAAGGGCTCCTGTTATCTGGAATTGGCTCTTCTCCCAGGAACCCTGATTTGGGGTACCTATAGTGACCCCCAAACTTCTCCCACATTGGCAAAGTTATGTGACCCAGACTCATGCTCAGGCCCTGGTTGCGATTTTAGTTCCTTCCTTCTGTTAGTCAACAAATATTTATTGAGAACCAGCTATATGTGAAGCACTGTCAGGGATTTGCACATCTATTTTGAATTAGGAAAATAGGATTCATGTTAGCCATTTCAATAGGGGGAATTTAATACCAAGAAAACACACACAAAACCTGGAAAGGTAAGAAATTAGCAATTAGCAAAATCAGGAATCCACTCATACCATAGGGCTAAAATGAGAAAGGACTAGGGAGTGATATACAGAGTTTGGTGAGACCATAGAGGAGACACAGCCCCTTCCAAAGATGCTACATGAAGTCTGGGTGCCGGGGCTGGGAGGAGCAGGAGGGCAGGGTAAAGAAACAGTCTGGCCCTTCCACAGCCCCACCCACCATTGTCCCACCAATGCCTCTTATTGGCTGAACCTAACAAGAAGTTAGTTAGCATGGGACCCTGGGATATGTACTTTTCATAGGTCAGACGTCTAGCCCACAGAGCACAGGAACGTTGGAGAATGGATCCGAGGACAAAAACAAAACAAAAATCCACATTCGGTGTAATAGAGAAAGCCCATAAGAAGTTACATTCCTATAAAAGAGAAGCAGACGGGCTCCGAGCTGACCCTGATCTGGGCCGAGTCGTCTCGGCGGCGCTGCCGAGACCTCCACCCTGGACAGTCCCCCTCCCCGGGCCTCTCTCCACCTTCCTGCGAGTCCCCTCTCCTCGCAGGCCTCTCGGATCTGATATCGTGGGGTGAGGTGAGCAGGCCCGGGGAGGGTGGTTACCGCTGAGGAGCTGCAGTCGCCGTCGAGATGATTGAGGTACTGACAACAACTGACTCTCAGAAACTGCTACACCAGCTGAATGCCGTTTTGGAACAGGAGTGTAGATGTCAGCCAAAGGTCTGTGGCTTGAGACTAATTGAATCTGCACACGATAATGGCCTCAGAATGACCGCAAGACTAAGGGACTTTGAAGTAAAAGATCTTCTTAGTTTAACTCAGTTCTTTGGCTTCGACACAGAGACATTTTCTCTAGCTGTGAATTTACTGGACAGATTCCTGTCGAAAATGAAGGTACAGCCCAAGCACCTTGGATGTGTTGGACTGAGCTGCTTCTATTTGGCTGTAAAATCAATAGAAGAGGAAAGGAATGTCCCATTGGCAACTGACTTAATCCGAATAAGTCAATACAGGTTTACGGTTTCAGACTTGATGCGAATGGAAAAGATTGTATTGGAGAAGGTGTGTTGGAAAGTCAAAGCTACTACTGCCTTTCAATTTCTGCAACTGTATTATTCACTCCTGCAAGAGAACTTGCCATTTGAAAGGAGAAATAGCATTAATTTTGAAAGATTAGAAGCTCAACTTAAGGCATGTCATTGCAGGATCATTTTTTCTAAAGCAAAGCCTTCTGTGTTGGCATTGTCTATCATTGCATTAGAGATCCAAGCACAGAAGTGTGTAGAGTTAACAGAAGGAGTAGAATGTCTTCAGAAACATTCCAAGATAAATGGCAGAGATTTGACCTTCTGGCAAGAGCTTGTATCCAAGTGTTTAACTGAATATTCATCAAACAAGTGTTCCAAACCAAATGTTCAGAAGTTGAAATGGATTGTTTCTGGGCGTACTGCACGGCAATTGAAGCATAGTTACTACAGAATAACTCACCTTCCAACAATTCCTGAAATGGTTCCTTAATTGGATTATTACAGCACCAAAAAACTTCTTTGAAGCCTTTCTCCGCAACCTTGTTCTATGGATTCCATAATGTTACAATGGATTTAAGCTATGAAGCCTCAAAACATGAGATAAGCATGATGCTCTCAGACTTCAGAAAACTGCCTATTAATGTTTATGCTGTAGTGGAATTATGTTTAGATTTGAATTCATCTGTGAAGCATTCAAATCAAAGCTAAAAGCCTAAATGTGAAACGCTAATGACAAGCCTGAGAAGGTAAACTGTGAATCTTCATTTCTATCATTGATCTAACTTTAGGTATTAGATCATTTATCTTTAGGTGGTATTGAAAATGGTATTGGAGGAGCCACACTAATACCATCAACTATCAGTCTTCCCACAGCTTCAATCACTTTCATTATTCTAATCCTACTCCTACTTAATTTAAATATTAAATTTTAAGTTATGAAGTTTACGTCAAAAGCAACATTTCACAAATGCACTTTTAAGGCATAATAAGGGTTAACGTTCTAGGCAGTATAAACACACCCCATAATGTAAGTAATAGATAATCCAGAAATGTGGACTTTATTGCTATATGGGAATTACATTTAAATTTGAGGGCATTTTATATAAAGAAAAATACAGACCTAGAAAATTTGGCATATTCATTAAGGTGTCTTTAATATTTTTTTCTAGAAAACAGGTGACATTTGTATCTACGATAAAATTTTTATACAGAACCTACTGCCTCAAACTGAATCCCATCAAGAAAATTAGTTTCTATTGTATTAGTAACTCAGAATAAATTATCACTTCGAAAATTTGCTTTCCCACACCAAGGTAAGTTCAGGCTAGATTCAACATTCCAGAAGTTTTTTTTGACTAAAGACTGTTTTTAAATTAGAAGTGATGGCAGTTTTATAAAGAGAATGTACTTCCACTGATGCCCTTACTGTGCTAAAACAGTCTTAAGAAAGCAAGTAGACACCTTCATAACTATGAATGAGGCTGCTGAGGTAGTGTTTAGGATTCTCCATGTCAGTGAATGTAAGAAATACAGTGTTAAAGTGTTGTAAACAGTTACTCAGTGCAATGTATAGCCTGAGTCCATCCAGAATGGCTGTAACCAATTTGACATCATGTTATGGATCAATACACAATGAAAAACCAAAGAACCACAGTATATCTTAACTTTTATAAACCATGTAACTTTTTAGTTTTCCCAAAAGGCTGATAAATCTCAATATTTTGAATATGTCATTGTTAATTTTGAGTTGGCAGAAGTAAACTAACCAACTACCATTACATTTTAGTACTAAGGGATATACCTTTCAATAAAGTTACTGAAATGCAAAAAAAAAAAAAAAAAAAAGAGAAGCAGACAACAGAATATAAACAAATAAGTACAAAAAGGTGGGAGAAGTATTGTGAAGGATTAACAAAAAACCCAGGTCTCATTTGGATGTAGGAGTGAGACAAATTCCTATAAGAAATTGAGTTTAGCTGGCCGCAGTGGCTCACGCCCATAATCCCAGCACTTTCCGAGGCCAAGGCGGGCAGATCACCTGAGGTTGGGAGTTTGAGATCAGCCTGACCAACATGGGGAAACCCTGTCTCTACTAAAAATACAAAATTAGCTGGGCATGGTGGCACATGCCTGTAATCCCAGCTACTCAGGAGGCTGAGGCAGGAGAATCACTTGAAGGCAGGAGGCCAAGATTGCAGTGGCCCAAGGATGTGCCACTGCACTCCAGCCTGGGCAACAAGAGGGAAACTTCATCTCAAAAATAAATAAATAAATAAATGGACTTTTCCTTCACAGTCAGCAGAGTAAACAAACAATCCACAGAGTGGGAGAAAATCTTCACCATCTATACATGCAACAAAGAATCTACAATTAACTCAAACAAATTAGCAAGAAAAAAACAAACAACCATATCCAAAAATGAGCTAAGGACACAAATAGACAATTCTCAAAAGAAGACATACAAATAGCCAATGAACATATGAAAACATGCTCAACATCACTAATGATCAGGGAAATGCAAATCAAAATTGCAATGTGATACCACCTTACTTCTGCAAGAATTGCCATATCAAAAAATAAAAAAAAATAATAGATGTGACTCGAGGGGCAACATGGCTGACTAGAAGCAGCAGCGCTCAGAGGCTCCCATTGAAAAAGACCATAAGTGTGTGAATCTGTCCCTGGCAACCAAGGTATCCAGGTTCTCTCATCAAAATTGACTAGAAGGCCGGCAGTGACGCATGGAGAGAAGGAATAGCAATGTGGTGCAGTGGCCCACCAGAGAGACACACATGGAAGGAGAACGCCCTCCCCTAGCCGAGGGAGGTGGTGAGTGAGCGTGCTACCCAGCTAGAGAAACTGTGCTTTATCCACGGAACTGTGCAACCTACGGATTGGAAGATCCCACTCGCAAACCCATGCCACTACCCAGCTGGGGAAACTATACTTTTTCCAGAGAACTGTGCAACTTATGGATTGGAGGATCCCACTTGTGAATCCTCGGCACTGGGGCCTAGTGTCCCAATCTCAGAACATACAGATTCTTACAGGTGGAATCTGCCTAAGCTTACCGAATTCACCGGGGCAACCAGCACTGGCTGTGGCAGCCTAGTGTCTAAGTCCTTTGAGCTCCTTGTGGGAGGAGCAACAGCCCGCACTGGGACTCATAACTGCCTAAGGCTAAGCTCCCTGGGTGGGGAAGGGCGGTACCCATTTCTATAGCTCCAGGCTGGGCATTTCCCTGCTGGAGCCAGGAGGGCTGCATGGCTTTGTCCCAAGACTTGTCCCCACAGCCCAACACACCAGCTGTGGCAGTCTGCAGCCAGAGTGCCTCTTCAGGCCTAATCCTGACTCATCCTTCCTCAGTGGGCAGGGCTTCCCTGCAGGATCTTCAATAATGCCAGCCAGAGGCTCAGGGACAGAATTCCGACTCTCTGGACTTGAGCCTCTAGGGTGAGGGGTGGCTGTAGTCTCTGCAGACCAGCAGACCTAGCCTCTCCTCTTGGTGGTTCTGAAGAATCCAGGCAGCCCAGATGAATGGGTTTCCCTCCAGTGAAACATACCCTCTCCACTAAGGGAAAAAGTGCTTCATTAAATGAGTCCTGCTCCCAACTGGGTGAGACTCTCCAACAGGAATTGTCAGGCACCCTATACAGAAGTGATCCTACTGGTATCAGGTTGGTGACCCTCGAGATCAGAGGTCCCAGAACACCCATCTTTGCTGCTCTCCAGCCTCCCTGAGTGAAGTCTCCAGGCATGGGAGTGAATCAGATCAATAGGGCCTGAAATGAACTCCCAGCAAACTGCAGCAGCCCTACAGAAGAGGGAACTGACTACTGAAAGAAAAACAGGCAGAAGTGACAATAACAGCATCAACAACAACAAAAAGGCCCCCACACAAACCCTGTCCAAGGATCAGTAGCCTCAAAGATTGAAACTAAAACTCACAAAGATGAGAAAGAATCAACAACAACAAAAAAATGCTGAAAACCCAAAAGGCCAGAGTGCCTCTTCTCCTCAAAATGATTGCAACATCTCTCTATCAAGGGTGCAGAACTGGATGGAGGATCAGATGGATGAATTGACAGAAGCAGGCTTCAGAAGATGGGTAATAAAAAACTACGATGAGCTAAAGGAGCATGTTCTAACCCAATGCAAAGAAGCTAACAACCTTAATAAAAGGTTAAAGGAATTACTAACAAGAATAACCAGTTTAGAGAGGAACACAAACGACCTGATGGAGGTGAAAAACACAGCACGAAAACTTCATGAAGAATACACAAGTATCAACAGCCAAATCAACCAAGTGGAAGAAAGGATATCAGCCATGACCAAGCTGAACCTGAGTTGAGCCTTCTAGGAAAACCAAAGCGCCAACTACACATCATCAAGGAACCTAACTCTCTTGAATTCTGTCTGATAATCCCGAGTCAGCTCGAAGTAAATTGGTAGTGACTGATGGGTTTTATTTTTTGGTAACCGTTCTGAAGCTGTTTTGAACTGAGAGAGAATGAATGCTATTATCAATTAGTGATGTCTGCCATGAATGCTGCCATCAATTAATGATGTCTGCCATGGATGAGGGAGAGGAGCAGATACCATATAGTTTTCCAGGATAGACTCTGGCAGGCACCAAAGTTGAACCAGGGCAGGAGAGGAATGTTTCCATACATTATAAGAAAGCATACTTCATTCCGTCCTTCCCTGGGGAAATCCATATATTTCCTGTAGATATAAATCTGTAGATCTACCATGTACAAGGTCCTGAAGTAGATACTGTGGAAGCACGAGAGAGTAAGACACAGTTGCTCCAACCAGCTGGTTTACTCACTATTGGGGTGACCGGAAATAAATATAAACACAATGTTCAAAGCAGAGAAAATGTGTTTGCAATTGAATATATATATACATACATATATTTATATATATATATATATAATATATACATATATATATACATATATATACATATATATACATATATATACATATATATAAATATATGTGTGTATATATATACATATATATATGTATATATATATGCAACAGGATTGAAAGTGAGTGATAAAATAAAAGGTTCCCATGATTCTTTTGCCCATAATAATTCAAGGTTTTTTAGAAATCATGTTAAATAGTACTAGCTAAACACTGAGCATAGCGCTTTGGTGAATATTCAGTACCCAATATGGTCATATATTATTTTACCTTTGTTATCACCCCACCATCATAATCATCACCCTCCCTGTCACCATCACCATCATTACTGTCATCGTCACCACCGTCATTACCAACATTACCATTATCATCACCATTGTCACCACCACCATCACTATTGCCATCATGATCATAATCACCATCATCATCACTATCATCAGCATCATCACCATTCATATCATCATAAAAATATTAGGTATCTGAGAGGAGACATTTTTAATTGTTTCATGATGCCTGCCATATCCCCAGGATTTGGTACAGAGTCCCTAGGCTCTGTACCAAATAAATAAACTCAGTAAAGTTTATTGGTTGGCTCATCATCACTGGATTTACAAAGAATTTCCATCTTTATTTGGGTGAATAATGGAAGAGATGTTTACATTCATCAGCCATCCTCTAACAGAGGTGCCATTGGCTGGTACTTATCCAAGGGACCAGTAGAAGGGAGGGAGCCCCAGAGTTTTCTAGGTCCACTGTGGTCCCAAGAGCTATGGAGAAGGCCTCCTCAGTGGAAGCAACCAAACCTCTCATGGCAGAAAGGTCAGCAAATAAAACTATCTACAGGCCTTGCTGCATATGGGGCTTGAGCTGAGTCTCTCTCTGGAGCTGGACAGAAAGGAAAAGAAAATAACCTGTGCCCTCTCAGCTCCTTCCCCCATGAAGAGGACATAGGGACATAGGAGGAGGGGTCAGCTCCCACCCTGCTTGGCATAGAATTGGGGCCACTGGAGCATCAGTTGAATACTCACTGCTGGTGGTGGGCACAGAGCTCCGATGGGTGAAACCTGAATAGAGAGGGAGGGAGAAGAGTGGGTAAGGGTTAAGGGGAGGTTGGGGATCAAATAGGGGTCACAAATACCCTAGTGAAATGGAAGGAGTTTCAAGGAACAGGGGCCTTTGAAGACTCTCTATCAGCATCCTTAGATCAGGGAAGAAGATACCGAGGATGAACTCAGTCTAAGATGAAAAAGAAATTGAAGTCCAGACATAAGTCATCACACACAGACAACATAGCCAAGACTTCAATGGCCAGTCAGGGAATGTGATCTCAAGTCAGAGGGTGAGAGCTGCCCAACAAAGAAGAACCTCCAACCACATCACAGCTGCTCACCATTGACATAGAGACTGTCCCTGTTCAGGGCATAGGGGCCCAGCTCAGTGAAGCCGTGGGTCAGCTGGCTCAACTCCAAATACAGCTGCTCTCTGTCCAGCCCAGGGCCTGTGGGGTCAGGGCGATGGGTACAGATGGCGTCCACTCTGGTGGCTTCCCCATCCTTCTCAGACCTGTTGGGGGGCGGGGAAGGGAATGACATTAAATAGATTTCCTACAGGGAGGCATTCTGAGATTCCTGGGGGCAGGACAGGAAGGGGACAGAGGGAATGAGAATCTCGGTAGACAGGTGAGAAGCCACACTAAGATTCTCTGAATGCACCAACTTCGAGGCAATCTGGGAATATGAGTAGAGTCAGGAATGTAAGAATTTTATAAAATTGCATTCTCGTGGCATGGGTACAGGTGAGCTCAGACTTTAGAAACATTAGAACTGGAATTGGGGATGAAAGCAAGTGGATGGGGCATGTTCGTCTTGAGAGAAATTTTGGAAGAGAAATTAACACCTGAAGGAGAGGGAGGTGGGGAGAAGTAAGAAATTCAGAGGGATGACCAAGGGAGAAGCCCATTCTGGCTGATGGGCCCTCCAAGTCCTCTCAGTTGATGGGGGAAGTGGTAGGATCAGGAGACATGTTGGTCCCGGAGCCACCACCACCTGAATTCCACTTGTGCTGAGGACTTCTCTAGGGAGGGCAGGAAGAAAGCTGACCAAACTCCTTGGGACTGGAAATACTTGGGGCAGCCAGACTGGTTATTATCAGCTCTCACCTGAGCAAGGTCAGTCTGCAGCCAGAGTACAGAGGGCCAACACTGGTGTACTTGAACAAGGGCCTTAGCTGTGGAGGAGGAAGAGGGAGGTGAGTAGGATGGCTGAGGATGTAGGGATGAGGAAGATGTAAGGTGGGAGGGGCTGTAATCAGGAGGCAGGGCTTGCAGGTCTCAGGTGAGGGGAGGTGGGTGAGATTGTCCATGCCTGGGCATGGGTGATATAGGTGGAACTAGACAAGGTGGGCAGGGGAGAGTGAGGTGGGCAGGGCTCTCACCAGACCCTGAAGGACCCTCTCTGTAGCATTGAACTTCCTGGAGCCAGGCCACATGTTCTCCTCATACTGCAGGTTAGTGATGGTGAAGTTGAGGGTGAATGGTATCAGGAGATGGCTGGCAGCTGTAGTGGAGGTGGGAAATACACACTATGTTTAAAAGTAGAGAACATTTAAGAGTTTGTAATGGACTTATTTCTAAACATATACAAGTGGATTTAAAGAAAGTGATAAAATAGAAGGTTTTCATGCCTCCTTTGACCATAATGATCAAAGTTTTTCATAGAATACAGTAAATAATAATAGTCAGATGCCGAGCATAACCTTTGGTGCATCTTCAGTGTTGTTCCATAATATTAGATACTATTTATTACGTTTGTTATCACCACCATCATTATCATCACCAACACCGTGGCCATCACTTTCATTATTGCCATCACCATCACTATCTGGACCAAAACCATGATCATCATAATCCCTATCATTCCCACCACCAGCACCATCATCATCCACATCATCACCTGCACCATCACCACCATTGTTTCATCCTTACCATCATAACCATCACCACCACCACCACCACCATCTTCATCATCATCATCATCACCAACACCACCACCATCATCACCATCACCAACACATCATCACCATCACCACCACCACCACCACCGTCATCACCACCAGCACCACCAATATCATCACCATCATCACCACGATCATCATCATCACCACAATCATCATCACCACCACCATCATCAACATCACCACCACTATCATCATCATCATCAACGTGACTACCAACACCACCACCATCATCATCCACATCATCACCTTCATCATCACCACCATTGTTTCATCCTTACCATCATAACCATCAACACCACCACCATCATCATCACCACCAACACCACCATCATCATCATCACCATCTCCACCACCACCACCATCACCATCACCACCACCATCATCACCACCATCATCATCATCACCACCACTATCATCATCATCACCACCACCATCATCATCACCACCACCATCATCATCACCACCACTATCATCATCAACGTGACTACCAACACCACCACATGATCACCTGCATCATCACCACCATTGTTTCATCCTTACCATCATAACCATCACCACCACCACCATCATCATTATCATCACCATCACCATCACCACCACCACCACCATCATCATCATCACCACCAACACCACCATCATCACCACCATCATCATCACCACAACCATCACCACAACTATCATGATCCACATCACCACTAGTACCATGATCACCAACACCATGATCACATCATCCTTAACCTTCATAACCATGGCCACCACCACTATCGTTATCATCCTTATTGCCAACATTACCATCACGTTGTCAATCACCACCACAACCATCACCACCACCACCACCACTGTCACCCTTCCCATAATCACCACCACTATCATCATCATCATCATTACATTGTCATTACTGTCAAAACCACTACCATCATCAATATCATCTTCCTAATCACCATCATCATCACATTATGGTCATCAGCATCAGCATCATTACTGCAATCATCTCCAGCAACATCATCACCACCACTATCCCACATCATTCTCAAAATAAAATAAGCTCTTTGAGGGCAGAGATTTTTACCTCTTTTGTGTTCCCTGCCTTATTCCTAGGGCCTGGCAGAGTGTGGGTGCTCAAAAAAGTCTGTAGGGTGACTCATCATCAGTAGATTTGATATGATTTTTAATCTTTATTTGAGCGAAAAGGACAGAGATGTTGACACTCATCAAGCATATTCTACTAGAGGTACCATTGACTGGTACTTACCTGAAGGGCCAAGTATTGAGGCTGGAGTCCTAGACGTTCCCAGATCTACTGTGGGGGTCCCAGGAGCTGAGGAGAAGCCTCATTAATTAAAGCAGCAAATTCTCACGTGGCAGAAATGCCAGCAAATAGAAGTATTTTTACATGTGGAGCTTGAGATGAGTATCTTTCTGGAGCTGGGCCAGAAGGAAAGGAAATAACTGTGCCCTCTCAGACCCTTCCCTCATGAAGAAGATATAGGGGCATAGGGGAAGGGGGTCAGCTCCTGTCCTGCTTGTAGTAGTATTGGAGCCACTGGAAGGTTAGTAGAATACTCACTGCTGGTGGTAGGCACAGAGCTTCGATGGGTGAAACCTGCATAGAAGGGGAAGGAGGAGAATGGGTAAGGGTTAGAGGAGAGGTCGGAGGCCAAAAGGGGCCAGGGTTATCCCGGTGCAATTGAAGGAGTTTCAGGGAACATGGGCTTCGGGGATTCTCTATCAGCACCCTCTGATCATGGAAAAAGGTCCTGAGGATGCAGGTCTTCAGTGCAAGATGAAGAAGAAACCATGAAGTTCAGATCAATCGTCAAATGCCGACAACATGGCCAAGCCTTCAATGGCCAGGCAGGGAGTGTGACCTCAAGACAGAGAGGAGAGGCTGCTCAGCAAGGAGGAAGAGACTCCAACCATATCACAGCTGCTCACCATTGACAAAGAGCCTGTCATTGTCCAGGGTATAGGGGCCCAGCTCTGTGATGCCGTGGGTCAGCTGGCTTAGCTCCCAGTACAGCTGCTCTCTGTCCAGCCCAGGGCTTTTGGGGTCGGGGCGGTGGGTGCAGATGGTGTCCACTCCAGTGGCTTCCCCATCCTTCTTAGGCCTGGAGAAGGCAGATGAGGGGAATAACAATAAAGGAGGAGTCCCAAGATTGCTGGGTGAAAGACAGGGAGGGGCCAGAGGAAATGAGAGGCCTGATACACAGATGAGAAGCCACACTTAGATTCTGAGTGCACTGACTACTGTCCAGCTTGGGATGGTGAGCACAGTTGCAGATACAACAATTTTTCTAACATTGTAGTGTGGCTCTTGCATTCTCATGGCATGGGGACAGGAGAGCTTAGACTTGAGACAGGTGAAGAGCTGGAATTGGGAATTAAACAAATAAATGAGGCATGTTTGTCTTGAGAGAAATCCTAGTTAGAGGATTTAACACCTAAAGGCAAGGTAGGTGGGGAGAAAAGAGGGAATTCAGAGGGATGGCCAGGGTGGAAGTCTAATCCTGCTGACGGACCCTGAGGAATCTCTCAGTCGACTTGGGTGGGGCTGCAGGGGGTAGTGGTAATATCAGGAGACAGGTTAGTCTTGGAGCCACTGTTTCCTGAATTCCATCTTTGGTGAGAATAAACACAGAGAGGGCAGGAAAAAAGATGTCCAAACTCATAGAGACTGGGAACAATTGGGGCGGCCAGGCTGGCTATTCTAAGTTCTTACCTGAGTAAGATCAGTCTGCAGCCAGAGTACAGAGGGCCAATGCTGGTGCTCTTGAACAGGGGCCTGAGCTGTGGGGGAAGGAGAGGGAGGTAAATAGGATGGCTGAGAGGGTAGGGGCAGGGGACTAGTCATTGAGGCTGGCACCAGCGGGTGGGTGTGTCCTCAGTGGAGACAGCCTTGGGTCTCTGGGACTGAGGGGAGGTGGGTGAGATCTTGTTTCATGCCCTGTTATGACTGAGATAGGTGGGACGAGACAAGGTGAACTGTACAGAGGGAGACAGGCGGGGCTCTTACCAGGCCCTGAAGGACCCTCTCTGTGGTGTTGAACTTCCTGGAGCCAGGGGGCTGCATGTTCTCCTCATACCGGAGGTTGGTGATGGTGAAGTTGAGAGTGAACGGCACCAGGAGAGGGCTGGCACCTGTAGTGGGGAGTGGAAAATAATCTGTTCAAAAATAGGGAACATTATAAGTGTCCAAAAGACTTAGTTCCAAACATATGCAACAGGATTTTAAGAGAGAATAAAATAAAACGTTGCCATGCTTCCCTCAACTATAATGATAGACGTTTCAAACAGATCCTACTAAATAATAGTAGTTGGATGCTGAGCATAGGTCTTGGTGCATATTCAGTGTTCTGTAATACTAAGTATTATCTACTGCCTTTGTCCTCATCAGTATCACCAACACTGTTACCCTCACTATTATTGTCATCACCACCAGCATCAGCACCAAAAGCATAACCATCTTAATCCCTATCATCCCCACCATCATCATCATCACCATCACCAAAACAAGCATCATCTACATCATCACCACCGGCACTATAATCACCAACATCATTATCATGTCATCGTTAACATTATAACACCACCACCATCATTGTCAGCATCACCATCACTACTGTCAATCACTACCACAACCACCATCACCACACCAGTATCATTCTTCCTATAATCACCATCAACACCATCATCATCAGTACCATCTTCATAATTATCATCTTCATCACCATCATTATTATCATCATCTCCAGCAACCTCACCACCAACAATCCCATCCACTCACAATAAAATAAGCTCTCTGGAGACAGAGATTGTTACCTCTTTTGTGTTCCCTGCCTTATTCCCAGAACCCTGCAGAAACTAGGTGCTAAATAAAATTTATTGGTTGACTCATCCTCACTAGATTCACTAGGACATTTCATCTTTATTTGAGTGAAAATGGCAGAGATGTTGACATTCATCAGGTATGCTCTAAAGGAGATGTGATTGACTGGTACTTACCTGAGGGAACAGATATAGAAGCTGGAGTCCTGGATGTTCTGAGGTCCACTGTGGACATCCCAGGAGCTGAGAAGAGGACCTCATTAGTGAAAACAGCAAACCCTCTCATGGCAGAAATGCCAGCAGGTAGGAGAATTTATGGACCTTGCTGGGTGTGGGGCTTGAGCTGGGTTTCTCTCTGAAGAGACTTGGGCCAAAGGGGAAAGGGAATCACTTGTGCTCTCCTAGCTCCTTTGCTCATGAAGAGGCCATAGGGGAATAGGATAAGGGGTCAGCTCCTGCCAGGACTGGCGTAGGGTTGTGGCCACTGGAACATCAGTGGAATACTCACTGCTGGTGGTGGGCACAGAGCTCCGATGGGTGAAACCTGCATAGAGAGGGAGGGAGAAGAGTGGGTGAGGATTAAAGGAGAGGTAGGGGACCAATAAGGGGTCAGGGCTACCCTGATGCAACTGAAGAAGTTTCAGGGAACATGGGCTTTGGAGATTCTCTTTCAGAACCCTCAGATCAGGGAAGAAGGTCCTGAAGAGGAAGGTCGTCAGTGCAAAATGAAGAAGAAACCATGAAGTTCAGATCAATTGTCAAATGCAGACAATGTGGCTAAGCCTTCAATGGCCAGGCAGGGAGTGTGACCTCAAGACAGAGAGGAGAGGCTGCCCGGCAAGGAGGAAGAGACACCAATCACATCATAGCTGCTCACCATTGACAAAGAGGCTGTCCCTGTCCAGGGTGTAGGGGCCCAGCTCAGTGATGCCATGGGTCAGCTGGCTCAGCTCCCAGTATAGCTGCTCTCTGTCCAGCCCAGGGCTTTTGGGATCAGGCTGGTGGGTGCAGATGGCATCCACTCCAGTGGCTTCCCCATCCTTCTCAGGCCTGGAGAAGGCAGATGAGGGGAATAACAATCAATGTTTGTCTAGGGAGGACTCCCAAGATTGCTGGGTGAAGGACAGGAAGAGGCCAGAGGAAATGAGAGGCCTGGTACACAGATGAGAAGCCACACTTAGATTCTGAGTGCACTGACTACTGTCCAGCTTGGGATGGTGAGCACAGTTGCAGATACAACAATTTTTCTAACATTGTAGTGTGGCTCTTGCATTCTCATGGCATGGGGACAGGAGAGCTTAGACTTGAGACAGGTGAAGAGCTGGAATTGGGAATTAAACAAATGAATGAGGCATGTTTGTCTTGAGAGAAATCCTAGTTAGAGGATTTAACACCTAAAGGCAAGGTAGGTGGGGAGAAAAGAGGGAATTCAGAGGGATGGCCAGGGTGGAAGTCTAATCCTGCTGATGGACCCTGAGGAATCTCTCAATTGATTTGGGTGGGTGGCAGGGGGCAGCGGTAATACTGGGAGAAAGGTTAGTCTTGGAACCACTGTTTCTTGAGTTCCATCTTTGATAAGAATAACCACAGAGAGGGCAGGAAAAAAAAGTCCAAACTCATGGAGACTGCCCCAATTGTTCTACCTTGGTCATCCCTCTGAATTCCCTCCTTTCCCCTACCTGCCTTTCCACCAGTTGTTAAATTCTCTTCCCAAAATCTGGAACAATTTTGGGGCAGCCAGGAACAATGGAACAATTGGGGCAGCCAGGCTGGCTATTCTAAAGTCTCACCTGAGCCAGGTCAGTCTGCAGCCGGAGTACAGAATGCCAACACTGGTGCTCTTGAACAGGGGCCTGAGCTGTCGGGGAGGGAGAGGGAGGTGAGTAGGATGCCTGAGGGGGTAAGGGCAGGTCAGTAGTAATTGGGCTGGTGCCAGTAGGTGGGCCTGGCATCAGTGGATTAAGGCTCATGTCTCTGGGACTGAGGGGAGGTGGGTGAGATCTTGTTTTATGCCCTGTTATGAGTGAGATAGGTGGGACCAGACATGGTGTTCAGGGGAGAGCGAGACAGGCGGGGCTCTTACCAGGCCCCGAAGGACCCTCTCAGTTGTGTTGAACTTCCTGGAGCCAGGGGGCTGCATGTTCTCCTCATACCGCAGGTTGGTGATGGTGAAGTTGAGAGTGAATGGCACCAGGAGAGGGCTGGCAGCTAGTAGCCCAGTGGAGGTGGTAAAGAAACAGTGTGTTCAAAAGTAGAGAACATTATATGTTTCCAAAAGGAATATTTCTAAACATATGCAACAGGATTTAAAGAGAGAGTAAAATAAAAAGTTTCCACGTGTCCCTTGACTATAATGAGAGAAGTTTCTAACAGAGCCTACTAAATGGTAGTAGTATTTGGTATACCTTTTGGTGCATATACAGAGTTCTGTAATACTAAAGATTACCTTTGTTATCACCATTGTCATCATCAATATCACGAACACTGTGACCCTCACTATTATTATTGTCCTCACCACCAGCATCAGCACCACCCACATCTACACCAAAATTACGACCAAAAAAACACGGTCATAATGACCCCTCCATGGTCATCATTCCCTCCAACATCATCATCACCATCACCATCTTCATAATTATCATCCTTATCACCATCATCATCACTAGCCTATAACCTCATCACCAACAACCCCCATCACGCTCACAATAAAATAAGCTTTCTTGCAGTGAGATTTTTATCTCTTTTGTGTTCCCTGCCTTATCCCTAGAGCCCTACAGAAACTAGGCACTCAATTAAGGTTGTTAGATGACTCCTCATTAGTAGACTCACTAGGATTTTTAAATCTTTGTTTAAGCAAAAATGGCTGAGATGTCGACACTCATCAGGCATGCTCTAACAGAGATGTGACTGATTTGTACTTACCCGAGGGACCAGGTTGAGAAGCTGGAGTCTCAGATGTTCCCAGGTCCACTGAGGAGATCCCAGGAGCTGAGGAGAGGGCCTCATTAGTGAAAGCATCAAATACTCTCATGGCAGAAATGCCAGCAGATCAGAGTATGTATGGACCTTGCTGCATGTGGGGCTTGAGCTGGGTCTCTCTCTGAAGAGACTTGGGCCAGAAGGGAAAGAGAGTAACTCTTGCTGTCCTAGCTCCTTTGCTTATAGAGGACATAGGGGCAGGTGAGAAGGGTTCATCTCTTGCCCTGCATGGTGTAGGAACAGGAGCACTGGAACATCAGTGGAATACTCACTGCTGGTGCTGGGCACAGAGCTCCGCTGTGTGAAACCTGTGTAGAGAGGGAGGGAGGAGAGTGGGTAAGGATTAAGGGACTGGTGTGGAACTATATAGTGGTCAGAGTGCTCTGGTGCAATGGAAGGAATTTCCTAGAACACGAGTCATTGAAGATTCTCTATCAGCACCCTCAGATCTAGAAAGTGGATCCTGAGGATGAACTCAGTCCAAGATGAAAAAGAAACCATGAGGTTAAAGTTCCAACCTCAGCCATCACATACAGACAACATGGCCGAGTATTCAATAGCCAGGCAGGGAGCGTGACCTTAAGGCAGAGAGTAGATGCTGCTCAGCAAGGAGGAAGAGACTCCAGCCACACCAAAGCGACTCACCATTGACATAGAGACTGTTCCTGCCCAGGGTGTAGGGGCCCAGCTCAGTGATGCGCTTGGTCAGCTGGCTCAGCTCCCAGTATAACTGCTCTCTGTCCAGCCCAGAGTTTTTAGGGTCAGAGCGGTAGGTGCAGATGGCATCCACTCCGGTGGCTGCACCATTCTTCTCGGGCCTGGAGAGGGCAAGATTGGGGAAAGACAATACATGGATTGCCAAGGGAGGGGTCCTGAGATCCCAGGAGGCAAGACAGGAAGGGTCCAGAAGAAATGAGAAGCCTGATACAGAAGGGAGAAGCCACGCTTCCATTCTCTGAGTGCACTGACTCTCAGCCAGCCTGTGACTATGAGCAGAATCATGGATGCAAGGATTTTTATAAAATTGCAAAGTGGAAATGGCATTCTCGTAGCATGGGATCAGGAGGACTCATACTTGAGACAGGTGAAGAGCTGGGATTGGGGATGAAAACAAGTGGATGAGGCGTGCTTTTCTTGGGAGAAATTTTGGGAAGAGAACTTAACAACTGGTGGAAAGGCAGGTAGGGGAAAGGAGGGAATTCAGAGGGATGACCAAGGTAGAAGCCCAGTCCTGCTGATGGGCTCTGTACATTCTCTCAGATGAGGGGAGAGGTGGTAGGATCAGGAAGCATGTTGGTCTTGGAGCCACTGCCCGCCTAGATTCCACCTGTGCTGTGGACATCTCCAGGGAGTGCAGAAAGGAAGCATGTCAAACTTCTAAGAGCAGTCAGACTGGCTGTTCTCAGTTCTCACCTGAGCAAGGTCAGTCTGCAGCCAGAGTACAGAGGGCCAATACTGGTGTTCTTGAACAAGGGCCTGAGCTGTGGAGGAGAGAGGGGAGGAGAGTGGGAGGACTGAAGTCATAGAGGTATGGTAGAAGGGAGGAGGGCATGGCTGGCAACAGTTGGCGGGGCTGGCATCAGTGGTTGGGGCAGGCATATCTGAGGGCAGGATGAGGTAGGTGAGATCTTCCATGCCTTCCCACCTTCCACAGGTGAGGTGGACAGTGCTAAACAAGGTGAGTGGGGTAGAATGAGGTAGGTGGGGCTCATACCAGACCCTGAAGGATTCTGTCCGTGGTGTTAAACTTTCTAGAGCCAGGGTGATGCATGTTCTCCTCATACTGCAGGTTAGTGATGGTGAAGTTAATTGTGAATAGCACCAGGAGACGGCTGGAGGCTATAGTGAAGGTGGAAAATAAATGCTATGTTCAAAAGTGGACTAACATTGAAGAATTTGTGATAGAATTATTTCTAAATATATGGAACAGGATTTAAAATGATAAAAGGTTTTCATACCTCCCTTGACCATAATGATAGATAGTTTTCATAGAGCATGCTAAATAATAGGAGCTAGATGCTGAGCACAGCTCCTGGTGCATCTTCAGTATTCCATACCACTAGACATTATCTACTACCTTTGTCAACACCGTGATCATCAGCAACACTGTGACCATCACCATTATTATTGTCATCACCACCAACATCAGCACCAAAACCATGACTATCATAATCCCTATCATCCCCACCCCATCATCATCATAACACCACCACCATCACCATCATCGTCACCATCATCATCATCATTGTCAACATCATGATCACATTGTCAATTTCCACGAGAACCATCACATCACCACCACCACTATCATCCTTCCCATAATCACCACCACTATCATCATCATCAAAATCACTACCGCCACCATCATCATCATCACCAACATCATCAGCAACACCATCATTATTGCCATGTGCACCACCATCATCACCACTACCCCTATCATCATCATCATCATCATCATCATCATCATCACCATCATCTTCATCATCATCATCACCACAATGATATAACCTTCCTGACGTCAGAGATTTTTATTTCTTTTGTGTTCCCTGCCTTATCCCTAGGGCCCTGAAGAAACCAGGTGCTCAGTAAAATTCATTGGTTGACTTTTTATCACTAGATTCACTAGGACTTTTTATCTTTATTTGAGTTAAAATGGCAGAGATGTTGACACTCCTCAGGTATGCTGTAATAGAGATGCCACTGAATAGTGCTCACCCGTGGGTCCAGACAGGGAGGCTGGAGTTCTAGAGGTTCTCAGGTGCACTGTGGAGGTCTCAGGAGCTGAGGAGAAGGTTTGCTGTATGAGTGAAAGTAGTAAACACTCTCATGGCAGAAATACCAGCTGGTAGGAATATTTACGGGCCTTGCTGCATGTGGGGCTTGAGTGGGATCTCCATCTGGAGCTGGGCCAGATGGAAAAGGGAATAACTCGTGCTCTCTCCATTCCTTCCCTCATGAAGAGGATATAGGGGCACAGAAGGAGAGGGAAGCTCCTGCCCCGTGTGGCATAGGATCAGGAGTACTGGGACATCCATTAATACTCACTTCTGGTGGTCATCACAGAACTCTGATGGGTGAAACCTGCATTGAGATGAAGGGAGAAGAGCGGGTAAGTGTTAAGAGAATGGTGGAGTACCCTGGTGCAATGGAAGGAGTTTCCCAGAACACAGGCCATTGAAGATTCTCTATCAGCACCCTCAGATTTAGAAAACAGGTCCTGAGGGTAAACTCAGTTTGAGATGAAGAAGAAACCATGAAGTTTTGACCTTATCCACCACATACAGACAACATGGCTGAGCCTTCAGTAGCAAGGCAGGGAGTGTGACCTCAGGCCAGAGAGTGGAGGCTGCCCAGTAAGGAGAAAGAGACTCCAGCCACATCCAAGTTGCTCACCATTGACGTAGAGACGGCTCTTGTCCAGGGTGTAGGGGCCCAGCTCAGTAATACTCTGGGTCAGCTGGCTCAGCTCCCAGTATAGCCGCTCTCTGTCCAGCTCAGGGTTTTTTGGGTCAGGACGATGAGTGCAGACAGCATCTACTCTGGTAGCTGCCCCATCCTTTTCAGGCCTGGGGAGGGCAGATGAAGCAAATAACAATTTAAAAATTGCCTCAGAAGTTCTGAGGAGTTCCGAGATTTCTTGGGGCCAGACAGGAAGGGGCCAGAGGGAATGAGAAGCATGGGAAAGAGGTAAGAAGTCACATTTAGATTCTCTGAATGTCCTGGCTGCCAGCCAGCCCAGGACTGTGAGCCGTGGCACAGATGCAAGAACTTTCATAAAATTGCAAGGTGAAGCCTGCATTCTCATGGCATGGAGACAAGAAAAAAGCTCACTTTTGTCAGCTACCAGTATCCCATCCCTGACTACATAACATACCTCCCTTTACCTATCCTAAATAAACCCCAGCTCAAATCAAAATGATGCTTATGACTATATGTGGTACTCAGACATGAGACGGATGAAGAGCTGGAATTGGGGATGAAAGCAAATGGATGAGGCATGTTTGTCTTAAGAGAAATCCTGAGTACAGAATTTAACAACTGGTGGAAAGGGAGGTGAGTGGAAAGGAGGGAATTCAGAGGGAGGCCCAAGGTTGAAACCCAATTCTGCTGATGGTCTCTACAGAATCTCTCACTTGATTGTGAGTGGTGCTGATGGTATCAGGAGACAGATTAGTTTTGAGGCCATTGCCTCCTGAATTCTATCTGTTATGAGGACATTCACAAGGATGGCAAGAAAAAAAAAAAAAAAAAACAGTCCAAACTCTTTGAAACTGGGAACAACTGGGGTAGCCAGGTTGCCTCTTATAAAGTCTCACCTGAGTAAGGCCAGTCTGCAGCCAGAGTACAGAGGGCCGACACTGGTGTTCTTGAACAAGGGCCTGAGCTGTGGAAGAGGAAGAGGGAGGTGACTAGGAGGGCTGGGGACATAGTGGTGGGGCACAAGTGTGGCAGGTGCAGCTGGCACCAGTGGGCAGGGCTTGTGCCTCTGGGGGAGGTGGATGAGATTCTCTTCCATATCCCTGGCATGGGTGACATTGTTGGGACCAGGGAAGGTGGGCAGGGCAGAGTAAGGTGGGCAGGGCTCTCACCAGACCCTGAAGGACCCTCTCCGTGGTGTTAAACTTCCTGGAGCCAGGGCGATGCATGTCTTCCTCATACTGCAGATTAGTGATGGTAAAATTGAGGGTAAATGGCAGCAGTAGGGGGCCAGTGGCTGTGGCAAAAGGTGAGAAATAAACCCTATTGTATTTGTTTGTATTTTTAATCTGTTGCATATGATTAAAAATAAATCTACTGCAAACTCTTCAAGGTTCTCTACTTTTGCAATAGACTTGAAGAGTTTGCAATAGATTTATTTTTAATCATATGCAACAGAATTTAAAATGAATGGCAAAATAGAAGTTTTCTGTGCCCTTCTTGTTAGAAATTATTTTTCAAGGCATATTAAATAATACTGGTTAGATTCTGAGCCCAGCTTTTGGTGCATATTCAGTGCTGAAAAATATCAGATAATACCTGTTACCTCTGTAATCACCATTATCTTCATCACCATCATCATCACCATTATTGTCACCATCAGCACCACCACCACCACCACCATGATAATCCCCATCAACACTACCACAAACATCATCATCACCATTGTCATATCATCATCACCAACATAATCACCATCACTGTCATCTGAATAATCATCATGATCACTGTCATCATAATCACCATTGCCATCATTATTGTCATCCTCAGTAACACCACCATCACCAGTGTCCTAATCTGCATGAACACCACCACAAACATCATCACTACAATCACATCATCATTACCATCATAACCAGCAACACTGCTGTCATCATCCAAACAGCCATCATCATCTTTACCATCATCATCACCATTGCTATCATCATCACCACTCCAACATCATCACCAAAACCAACACAACCATCATCATCATAATTGTTACTATCATTATTGCCAACATACCCATAACTATTGCCAATTGTAATCCCCACCCCCACCCCCATCATCCCACCATCACCACGACCATCATTTTTCCCATGATTACCACCAACATAACCATCATCATCACAACCATCACATTATCCTTACCATCATCACCACTGCCACCACCACCACAACCACCCCCATCATCATCATCACAATGATATAAGCTCACTAAGGGCAGTGCTTTTTCTTTTTTTCTTTTTCTTTTTTTTTTTTTTTTTTTTGTTCCCTGATGTATATCTAGGTCCTGATACAGAGGCAGTGCTCGATGAAGTTGGTTGGTTGGCTTATTGTTACTAGATTTACTGTGAATTTCCATCTTTGAGTGAATAATGGCAGAGGTGTTTACACTTACCAACCATGCTGTAACAGAGGTGCCATTGCGGTACTTACCTGCGGCACCAGGGAGAGATGATGGAGTCCTAGAGGTTTCCAGCTGTACTGTAAAGGTCCCAGGAGCTGAGGAGAAGCCCTCATTAGTGAAAGGAGCAAGCACTCTCATGGAAGTAAAGGCAGCAGGAAGGACTATTCATGGGGACTTTTGCATGTAGGGATTCAGCTGGGACTCTGGTTAGCTGAGGCAGTGGGGAAGGGAATAATTTGTGCCCTCTATGTTCTTTCCCTTATGAAAAGGACATAAGGGCTTATGAATAGGGGCTAGCTCCTGCTAAACTTGGTGTAGGATTGGAACCACTGAAACATCAGTAGAATACTCACTGCTGGTGGTAGGCACAGAGCTCCGATGGGTGAATCCTGCATAGAGAGGAAGGGAGGAGGGTCGATAAGAGTCAAGGGAGAGGTGGGGGAATCCAACAAAAGTCAAGGTTACCCAGGTGGAATGAAAGGGGTTTCATGAAACAGGGGCCTTTGGAGATTCTCTGTCAGGACCTATGTATAAGAGAAGAAGGTACTAAGGATGAAATCAGTTCAAGATAAAGAAGAAATCATGACATTCTGACATCAGTCACCACATACAGACATGTCCCAGCCTTCAATGTCCAGGCAGCGCATGGGACCTCAAGCCAGAAAGTAGAGGCTACCCAGCCAGGAGAAAAAGACTCTAATCACATCACAGCTGCTCACCATTGACATAGAGACTCTTCCTGTCCAGGGTGTAGGGGCCCAGCTCAGTGATGCTGTGGGTCAACTGGTTCAGCTCCCAGTACAGCTGCTCTCTGTCTAGCCCAGGGCTTTTGGGGTCAGGGTGATAGTGGCAGACGGTATCTACTCTCGTGGCTGCTCCATCCTTTTCAGGCCTGGGGAGAGGCAGTGAGGAGAATGGCAATAAACGAATTGCTTAAGGAGAAGTTCTGAGATGGCAGAATGAAGGATAAGAAGGACAGAGGAAATAAAAAGTCTAATACAGAGGTGAGAAGGAACAGTTAGGTTCTCTGAGTGCACTGGCTGACCTGGGACAGCAAGCATAATTGTGGACATAATAGTTTTCCTAAAATGTCAGGGTGGATCATGCATTCTCACAGCAAGGAAACAGGAGAGCTCAGACTTGAGATTGGTGAAGAGCTGGAATTGGGTATGAAAGCAGGTGTTTGAGGCATGTTTGTCTTGAGAGAAATCCTGGTTACAGAATTTAACACCTAAAGTCAAGGGACATGGGGGGAAAACCAGGAATTTGAAGGGATGGCCACAGTACATGTCCAGTCCTGCTGATGGACTCTGGAATCTCTAAGTCAGTTTGGAAGTGGGGGCAGGGGCATGGCTAGTACCAGGAGACAGGTTGGTACTGGAGCCACTGTTTCCTGAATTCCATCTTTGGTAAGAATAACCACAAAGGGGACAGGAAAAAAGAAGTCCAAACTCATTGAGACTACAAACAATTGGGGCAGCCAGGCTGGAAATTCAGAGATCTCACCTGAGCAAGGTCAGTCTGCAGCCAGAGTACAGAGGGCCAACACTGGTGCTCTTGAACAAGGGCTTGAGCTGTGGGGGAGGCAGAGGGAGGTGAGTGGTAGGGTTGAGAAAGTAGCGGCAGGGCAGAGGTGAGGTAGGTGGGGCTGGCTCCAGTTGGTAGAGCTGACGTCAGTAGGCTGGGTGGGGCTTTTATCTCTGGGGGTGAGGGGAGGTGGGTGAGATCTTCCCTGGCCATGTAGGTGACATATAGGTGATATAGGTAAGGTGGGTAGGGCAGAGTGAGATAGGTGGGGCTCTCACCAGACCCTGCAGAACCCTTTCTGTGGTGTTGAACTTCCTGGAGCCAGGGTGTCCCATGTCCTCCTCATACTGCAGGTTAGTGATGGTGAAGTTGAGTGTGAATGGCAGGAAGAGAGGGCTGGCGGCTATAGTGAAGGTGGGAAATAAATGCTCTGTTTAAAAGTGGAGAACATTTAAGAGTTTGCAATAGACTTATTTCTAAACATATGCCACAGGATTTAAAGTGAGTGATAAAATATAAGGTTTTCATACTTCCTTTGGCTATTATGATAGATGTTTTTGATAGAGCACACTAAATAATTGTAGTTTGATGCTAAACATAGACTGTGGTGTTCCAGCATGCCAGATCCCATCTATTGCCATTGTTAACACCACCTTCATTTTCAACATCACTGTGATTGTCTCCATGAGTATTATTACTGTCATCATCACCACCATCAGCGCCAACCCCACCACCAGCCCCGTCATCATCACCATCTTCATTAACATGAGTGCCAACATCACCATCATTTTTGTCAATCACCACCACAATTATTACTATCCTTACATAACTATTACCGTCATAACCACCATCCCCAGCACTGTCATCATAATTATCATCACCACTACCATCAACTTTATCATGATCATTTTCATTATCACCACCATCACCTACATCACCATCATCACAGGAATATAAGCTATCTTAAGCAGAAAACTGCTATCTATTTCTATGTTCCCTGCTGTATCTCTAGGGTCTGGCACACAGTAGGAGCTCAATAAAGTTTGCAGGTAGACTCCTCATCACTACATTTACTATGACTTTTATCTTTATTTAAGTGCGTGATGGCAGAAATGTTTACACTCATCAGGGATGCTCTAATGGAGGTGCTGTTGGCTGATAGTTACCTGTAGGTTTAGGGAGGGAAGATGGGATCCCAGAGGTTCCCAGGTGCACTGTGGAGGTCCCAGGAGCTAAGGAAAAGCCCTCATTAGTGAAAGCAGCAAGCATTCTCATGGCAGAAATGCCAGTAGGTAGGACTATTATGAGGCTTGCTGCAGGAGGGTCTTGAACTGTGTTTCTTTTTGGGCATAGGGGAGAGGGAATCACTTGTGCTCTCCCAGCACCTTCTCTCATGAAGAGGACATAATTGTTTATAGGGAGGGCTCAGCTCCTACCCTACTTGGAGTAGAATTGGGGGTACTGGAGCATCAGTTGAATACTCACTGATGGTGGTTGGTATGGAGATCCAATGAGTAAAACCTGCAGAGAGAGGGAAGGAGGATAGTGGGTAAGGGTTAAGGAGAGGTGGGGGACCAAACAGGAATTAGGGCTACCCTGGTGGAATAGGAGTTTCATGGAACAGGAGCCATTAGAGGTTCTCTATCAGCACATTCACTTCAGAGACCAGGGTCTGGAGAATGAACTCAGACCAAGATACAGAAAAAAAAACAATGAAGTTCTGACATCAATCATCACATGGCAGAAGCTTCAACGTCCAGTCAGGAAGTATGACCTCAAGCCAGAGAGGAAGGGCTGCCCAGCAAGGAGGAAGAGACTCAACCACATCAAAGCTGCTCACCATTGACATACAGACTGTCCCTGTCCAGGGTGTAGGGGCCCAGCTCAGTGATGTCATGGGTCAACCGGCTCAGCTCCCAGTACAGCTGTTCTCTATCCAGTCCAGGGCTTTGGGAGTCAAGGTGGTAGGTACATATGGCGTCCACTCCAGTGGCTGCCTTGTCCTTCTCTGGCCTGGGGAGGTTAGGTGCAAGGATGGGAGATGACAATGAAAGAATTGCCCAGGAAGGGGTCCTGAGATTCCTGAGGGAAGGACAGGGAGGGTACAGAGGAAATGAGAAGCCTGGGAGATAGGTGAGAAACCATAATTAATTTCTCTAAATGCACTGACTCCCAGCCAGTCTTGGACTGGGAGCATAGTCATGGACATAAGAATATTTATGAAATTGCAAGGTGAAACCTGCAGTTTGACACCATGAAGACGGGAGAGCTCAGACTTTAGACAAGTGAAGAGCTAGAGTCAGAGATAAAAGCAAGTGGAAAAGCCACCTTTCTCTTGAGGGAAATCTTGGGAACAGAATTTTAAAACTTAAGGAAAGGGATATGGGTAATGGATGTTATTGAGAAGGATGAGTGGAGTAGGAAACCAATCTTGATGATGGATTCTGCAGAATCTGTCACTTGAGTGGGGAAATGCTAGGATCAAGAGACACACTACTTCTGAAACCACTTTCTGAGGACACTCACAGATAGGACAAGAAGGATGCTGAAAAAACTCCTGGGGCCTGGGAACACTTGAGGAAGCCCTGATGGGTTATTCTAAGATCTCACCTGAGCAAGGTCAGTCTGCAGTTGGAGTACAGAGGGCCAATACTGGTATTCTTGAACAAGGGCCTGAGCTGTGGAGGGAGAGGGAGTGGGAGGTGACTGGGAGGGCTGATGAGGAGGGGCAGGGCAGAAATGAGGCAGGTGGGGATGATAGCAGTGGGTAGGGCTGGTGTCTCTGGGTTGAAGGTGATTCATGTGGGATCTTCATCTATATCCCTGGTATGGATGATGCATGTAGAATCTGATAAGGCGGATCAGGCAGAGTTAGATGGGTTGGACTCTCACCAGACCCTGTAGGACCCTCTCCGTGGTGTTGAACTTCCTGGAGCCAGGACGTCGCATGTCCTCCTCATACTGCAAGTTGGTGATGGTGAAGTTGAGGTTGAATGGCATCAGGAGAGGTTCAGGCACTGGAGTGGGGGTTAGAAACAAACACTATGTTCAGAAGTTATGGGTTTGCAGTATAATTATTTTTAAATATACACAGCATTAAACGGATGGACAAAATGATTTTCCATGCCTCCCTTGCCTATAATGATAGAACTTAAAAATAACATAGTATATCACATCAGTTGGATGCTGAGCCTAGCTTTCATTGTATGTTCATTGCTCGATAATATCATACGTTACCTCTTACATTTGTTACCATCATCATAATCACCATAATTGTCACCTACAGCATCATTATTGTTATCATCATTGCCACCACCACCACAGTGATAATCCCCATCATCATCACCATCATCATCATCTCTGCCACCACCACCACCATGATAATCCCCATCATCACCACCATCATCACCACCATTACTGCCGCCACCACCAACATAATAATCCCCATCATCACCACCATATCATCATCATCATCATGACTGTCGTCATCATACTACCACCACCACTACCATGATAATCTCCATCATCATCACTACCACTGTCAGCACCATGATAATCCCCATCATCGCCACCATCATTACTGTCATCATCACTGCCACCACCACCACCACGATAATCTCCAGCATCACCACCAGCACCAGCACCACCATCATCATCATCACCCACACCATCACTGTTGTCACCACCACTGCCATGACCACCACCATGATAATTCCAACAATACCACCAGTACTATCCCACACACAACACATCATCGTTACCATCATAACCTCCACCATTGTCATCATCCTCTCTACCCTCATCACCATCATCATCAAAACCACCACCACTATCATCATCACCGCCTGCCAGTCAATATCACAAGAATACAAGCTCTCTGACAGTAGAGATTTTCATGTTTTGTATACCTGCTGTATCCCCAGGGCCTGGCATAGAGGAGGTGCTCAATAACGTTTGTGGGTGGACTCATCATTACTAGATTTACTATGATTTTTACTTTTATTTGTGTAAATAATAGCAGAAATGTTTCTGCTAATCAGTCATGCTCTAACAGAGGTGCCTTTGACTGGTACTTACCTGTGGGTCTAGGTAGGGAGGATGGAGTTCCAGAGGTTCCCAAATGCACTGCTGAGGTCCCAGGAGCTGAGGAAGAGACCTCATCAATGAAAGCAGCAAGTGCTCTCCTGACAGAAATGCCAGCAGGTAAGACTATTTATGGGCCTTGCTGCATGTGAAGCTGGAGCTGGGTCTCTCCTTGGGGTACAAGGTAAAGGGAATAACTTGTGCCCACCTAGCCTTTTTGCTCATAAAGAGAATATAAGGGCATATAAACTGGGTTCAGTTCCTGCCCTGCTTAATGCAGGATTGTGGACACTGGAATGTCAGTTGAATACTCACTGCTGGTGATGGATACAGAGTTCCAATGGGTGAAACTTGCAGAAAGAGAGAGAGGAAGAATAGTGAATAAGAGTCAAAGGAGAGGTGGGTGACGTGACCAAATAAGGGTCAGGGTACCCTGGTGTAATGGAAGGAGTTTCGTAGAACAAAGACCATTGGAGATTCTCTATCACCACCCTCACATCAGGGAAGAAGGCCCTGAAGATATAGTCAGTGCAAGACGAAGAAGAAACTGAAGTTTAGATGTCAGCAATCACAAAAAGACAACATGGCAGTGCCTAAAATAGTCAGGCAGGAAGTTTGACCTCAAGCCAGAGAGTAGAGGCTGCTCATGAAGAAGGAAAAGCCTCCAACCACATCACAGGCACTCACCGTTGACATAGAGACTGTCCCTGTCCAGGAGGTAGGGGCCCAGCTCAGTGATGCCATGGGTCAGTTTGCTCAGCTCCCAGTACAGCTGCTCTCTGTCCAGTCCACGGTTTTTGGGGTCAAGGTAGTAAGTGCAGATGGCATCCACGCTGGTGGCTGCTCCATGTTTCTCAGGCCTGAGGAGGATAGGTGAGGGGAGTGACAATATACGGATTGCCTAGGAAGGGGTCCTGAGGTTCCCGAGGAAAGGACAGGCAGGGGCCAGAGGAAATGGTACAGAGGTGAGAAGCTACATGTAGACTCTGTGAGTGCATCAACTCCCAGCCAGCCTGGATCTGTGAGCAGAGTCATGGACACAAAAATATCTGTAACATTATAAAGCAGATCCTCCATTCTTGGGGCATGAGGACAGGAGAGCTCAGACTTGAGACAGGTGAAGAGCTGGAATTGGGGATCAAAGCAAGTGGATGAGGCATGTTTGTGTTTGAGAGAAATGCTAGTTGTAGAGCTTATTACCTGCAGGAAAGGGAGGTGGTGGGAAAGGAGGCAATTTAGAGGGATGACCAGGGTAAGGGCCCTATCCTGCTGATGAGCTGTGTAGCATCACAGTTGAGTGGAGAAATGTTACTATCAGGAGACACCTTGGTCCTGGAGCCACTGCCTCCTGGATTCCACCTGTGCTGAGGGGACCCCCCCGGGAGGCAAGAAGGAAGTTGTCCAAACTTCTTGGGACTGGGAGCAACTGGGGATGGTAGGCTGGCTCCTCAAAGGTCTCACCTTAGCGAGATCAGTCTGCAGCCAGAGTACAGAGGGCCGATGCTGGTGCTCTTGAACAAGGGCTTGAGCTGCAGAGGAGCAGGGACGGTGAGTGGGAGAATTGAAGTGCAGGGTCAGGGCAGACATAAGGTAGGAGGGGCTCACATCAGTAGGCCAGGCTTGTATGTCTGAGACCCAAGGGTGGTGGGTGAGTACTTCCATGGCCCTGGCAGAGGTAATGTAGGTGGGACTGGCAAAATGGTAGGGCTCTCACCAGACCCTGCAGGACTGTCTCCGTGGTGTTGAACTTCCTGGAACCAGGGTGACGCATGTCTGCTTCATACTGCAGGTTGGTGATGGTGAAGTTGAGGGTGAATGGCACCAGGAGAGGGCCAGGGGCTGCAGTGGGATTGGGAAGTAAACACCATGTTCAAAAGTAGAAAAAATATTATATTGAAATAGACTTATTTTTAAACATATGTAGCATTTAAAGTGAGTGACAAAATAAGTATTCTCTATATCTCTCTTGCCTATATTGATAGAATTTTGTTAAAAGCACACAATAGTAGGTAAACACTAAGCATAGATGTCGGTGCATATTCAGTGCTCAATATTGCCAAAAATTATCTATTCCCTTTATTCCTACTGTCATCATCACCACCATCGTCCTCATCACCAGCATTATTCTTGTCCTTCTCATTACCACCACTATCATCAACACCACCATTATCATCATCATCATCACCACCACCACTGTCATCATCGTCATTATCACTACCACCCACTTAATCATCACCATCACAGAAATAAAAGTTCTCTGAAGGCAGAGATTTCATGTCTTTTCTGTTCCCTGCTATATCCTTGGGCATTAAAGTTTGTGAGTTGACTCACCATCACTAGATTGACCGTGACTTTCCATCTTTATTTGAGTCAATAATGGCCGAGATGTTGGCATGCTCAGGCATGGTCTAACAGAGGTGCCATTGATGGGTGCTTACCTGTGTGGCCAGGGAGGAAGGCTGGAGTCCCAGAGGTTCCCAGGTACACTGCAGAGGTCCCAGGAACTGAGAAGAAACCCTTATTACTGAAAGCAGCAAACCCTCTCGTGGTGGAAATGCCAGCAAGCAAAACTATGATGGGCCCTGCTGCATTTGGGGTTTGAGCTGAGCCTCTCCATGGAGCTGGGGCATAGGGGAAAGGGAATAACCTGTGCCTTTCAAGCATTTTCCCTCATGAAGAGGACATAAGGGCTTAAGAGGTAAGGTCAGCTCCTGCCTTGCTTGGTGTGGGATTGGGAGCACTGGAACATCAGTAAAAATATACTCACTGCTGGTGGTTAACACAGAGCTCCGATGGGTGAAGCCTGCAGAGAGAGGGAGGGAGGAGAGTGGGTGAGGGTTGAAGAGATCACCAAATAGTGATCAGGGTTACCCTAGTGTAATGAGGAAAGTTTCATGAAGACTGGTCATTGAAATTCTTCACCAGCACCCTCACAAGGGGGAAGAAGGCCTTGAGGGTGAAATCCATGTTAGACGAAGATGAAACCATGAAGTTTAAAACTCAATCATCATATATAGAGCACATAATTAAATTTTCAATGGCCAGACAGGTCATGTGACCTCAGGACAGAGAATAGTCTGCCCAGCTAGGAGGAAGAGCCTCTAATCACATCACGGCTGCTCACCATTGACATAGAGACTGTCCCTGTCCAAGGTGTAGGGGCCCAGCTCTGTGATGCTCTTGGTCAGCTGGCTCAGCTCCCAGTATAGCTGCTCTTTGTCCAGTCCAGGGCCAGTGGAATCAAGGCGGTGGGTGCAGATGGCATCCACTCCAGTGGCTGCCCCATCCATTTCAGGTCTAGGGAGGGTAAGAGTGGGAAATAGCAATAAATAGATTGCCTAGGGAGAGGTCCTGAACTTACTAGATGAAGGACCGGAAGGGGCCAGAGGAATTGAGAAGCCTGGAACAGAAGTAAGAAGAGCCACACTTTGATCCTCTGAGTGCTTTGACTCCCTGCCAGCCTGCGACTGTGAGCAGAGTCATGGATGCAAGGATGTTCAGGACATTGCACGGTGGAACTTGCATTCTCACAGCACGTGGAAAGAAGAGTTTAGACCCGAGATAGGGGAAGAACAGGAATTAGGGGTGAAAGCAAGTGGATGCGGCATGTCTGTTTGGAAAGGAATTCTGGGGACAGAGTTTAACTGGAGGAAAGGGAGGTAGAGGGAATTTAAAGGGGTGGTGAGGGCAAGGGCTCAATCCTGCTGATGGACTCTGCAGAATTTGTCAGTTGATGGGGGAGGTGGTAGAATCAGGAGACAAGTTGGTTCTGGAGCCAACTTGTGAATTGTGCCTCCTGAATTCCATCTGTGCTGAGGCCATCCCTTGGTAGGGCAGGAAGGAAGCTGACCAAACTCCTTGGGCCTGGGAACAACTGGGGAACCCGGACTGGCTCTTCTAAAGTCTCACCTGAGCAGGGTCAGTCTGCAACCAGAGTACAGAGGGCCGACACTGGTGTTCTTAAACAAGGGCTTGAGCTGTGGAAGAAGGGGAGGGAGGTGAGTGGGTGGGTGAGGTGTAGGGATGGGGCAGGTGCAGACATGCGGTGGGAGGGGCTGGCGTCATTAGACAGGGTTTGCCTCTCTGGGGCCAAGGAGTGGTGGGTGAGATCTGTGAGACCTTCCATGGCCCTGGCATGGGTGATACAAGTGGGACTAGTAAGGTGGTGGGGCTCTCACCAGACCCTGTAGCACCCTATCTGTGGTGTTGAACTTCCTGGAGCCAGGGTGTTGCATGTTTTCCTCATAATGCAGGTTGGTGATGGTAAAGTTGAGAGTGAATGGTATCAGGAGAGGGCCAGGGGCTGTAAAGGGGTTGGAAAATAAACACTGTGTTCCAAAGTAGAGAAATAGTTAAGAGTTTGCAATAGACTGATTATTAAGCATATGAAATAGCATTCAATGTGAATGAAAAATAAAAGATTTTCATGCCTCTATTGACTACAATGGTAGAAATTTTTCATAAAGAAGCATATTATATCATTGTAATTACATGGTGAACATACCTCTTGGTGCAGATTCAGTGCTCAATAATGTCAGATGTTATTTTTTACCTCTGTTATTGCCACCTTCATTATCAACATAACCATAGTTGTCACCATGGCTATCATCACTTGCATCACTATCAACATCAGCACCACCACTACCATCATCCTCATCACCATCACTACCATGGTGATCATAATCAGCATCATCACTGCCACCATAACCATATTATCATTACCAGGATAACCACCACCACAATCATCATGATCATCATTATCCTCATTGTCAACATCACCATTATCACTGGCAACCACCATCACCATCATCACCACCACCACAATCATCTCAAACATTGCCACTATCACCACAATCATCCCAACGTCACCACCATCACATCATCATTACTGTTATAACCAGCACCACCATTATCACCATCATCTTCATCACCATCTCCATAATCATCATCACTATCACCAACATCAGCAGCAGCATCACCATCTTTATAGTCATCTCCATCACCACCTCCATCATCATCACCGCCACCCTTATTCTCATCATCACAAGAATATAAGCTCTCTGAAGGAAGATATTTTTTTTATCTCTTTTGTATTCCCTGCCATATTCCATAGACCTAGCACAGAGTAGGTAGGTACTCAATAAAGTGTGTTGGCTGCATCAGCAACACTATGATTTTTCATCTTAATTCACATGAAAATGACAGAGCTGTAGACACTCGCCATTGACTGGTATCATTGGCTGGTGCTCACCTGTGTGGCTGGGGAGGGAGGATGGAATCCCAGAGGTTTCCAGGTGAACTGTGGAGGTTCCAGGAGCTGAGAAGAAGTTCTCATCATTGAAAGCAGCAAGTACCCTCATGGCAGAAATGCCAGCAGGTAAGACTATTATGGAACTTGATGCATATGGGGCTTGACCTATATCAGTCTGTAGCTGGGGCAGAAGGGAGGATGAATAACTTCTGCCTTCCCAGATTCTTCTCTTAAGAAGAGGAGTTACGGATTTATAAGGAGAAGGGTCAGCTCCTACTCTGCTTTGTGTAGGATCGGGGCACAAGTAGTTGAATACTCACTACTGGTTGTGGGCACAGAGCTCTGATGGGTGAAACCTGCAGAGACAGGGGGAGTAAACTGGGTAAGGTTAAGGTAGAGGTGGATAACCAAGTAGGGGTCAGGCTACCTTGGTGAAATGGAACAGGGGCTATTGGAGGTTTCTATCAGGACCCTCACATCAGGGAAGAAAGACCTGAGGGTAAACCCAGTCTCCAACATAAAGAAGAAACTATGAAGTTCTGATGTCAACTATCAAATATAGACAACATGGTCAAGCCTTCAATGGCCAGGCAGTGAGTGTGACCTCAAGCCAGAGAGTAGAGGTTGTCCACCAGAGAGGAAGAGCTTCCAACCACATCACAGCTGCTCACCATTGACATAGAGACTGTCCCTGTCCAGGGCATAGGGGCCCAGCTCAGTGATGCTGTGGGTCAGCTGGCTCAGCTCCCAGTACAGCTGCTCTCTGTCCAGCCCAGGGCTTTTGGGGTCAGTGTGGTAGAAGCAGGTAGCATCCACTTCAGTGGCTGCCCCATCCTTCTCAGGCCTGGGGAAAGGAAGTGCGGGGAATGACAATGAAAAGATTACCTAGAACAGGTCATGAGATTGCTGATGGAAGGACAGCAAAGGACAAGAGAAAACGAGAAACCTGGGAAAGAGGTGAGAAGCCACACACTTAGATTCTCTGAGTGCCCACACTACTGGGTTGCTTGGTACTGAGCAGTCATGGATACAATGATTCTCAGGCTGGGTGTGGTGGCTCACACCTATAATCTTAGTACTTTGGGAGGCCAAGGTGGGCGGATCACCTGAGGTCAGGAATTTGAGACCAGCATGGCCAACATGGTGAAACCCCGTCTCTACTGAAAATCAAAAAATTAGCTGGTAGTGGTGGCATGCACCTGTAATCCCAGCTACTTGGGAGGCTGACGCAGAAGAATCGCTGGAATCTGGGAGGTAGAGGCTGCAGTGAGCCGAGATCGTGCCACTGCACACCAGCCTGGGCGACAGAGCAAGATTCCATCTCCCCCCACCCTCCAAAAAATTAATAAATAAAACAATTCTCATAAAAGTGCAAGGGCGAAACTTGCATTATCATGGCATGGGGAAAAGAGCCCAGACTTGAAACCAGTGAAGACCTTGAAATGGGGATGAAAGCACATGGATGAGGCATAATGGTCTTGAGAGAAATCCTGGGAACAGAATTTAACACCTAAAGGAAAGGGACAGGCAGCGAAAAGAGGGATTCAGAGGGATGATCAGTGTATGAGCTCAATCCTGATGATGGATCATGCAGATTTTCTCGGTTGAGGTAGGATGTGGGATGTTACTATCAGGAGATACACTGGTCCTGCAGCCAGTGACTCCTGAATCTCTCTATCGGTGAGGGTACGCCTAGGAATTGTATAAAGGAAGTGGTGCAAAGTCTTTTGGAGTGAGAACAATTGGAGCAGCCAGGCTGGCTATTCTAGTCTCACCTAAGAGAGTTCAGTCTGCAGCCAGAGTACAGAGGGCCGACACTGGTGTTCTTGAAAATGGGACCAAGCTGTAGAGGAGGGAGAGAGATGTGAGAAAGAGGGCTAAGGTCCCTGTGTGGGGGGCAGAATTGAGGTGGGTGAGGTAGGCACCAGGCACCAGTGGGCATGGCTGGGCTCAGTGGGTGAGGCTTGCATCTCTGGGATGAGGGCAAGGTGGGTGCGGTCTTCTTCCATCGCCCTGGCATGGATGTTGTACAGGGGCTGGGCATCTGGGGCAGGGCAGAGTGAAGAGGGCAGGACACTAACCAGACCCTGCAGGACTCTCTCTGTGGTTTTGAACTTCCTGGAGCCAGGACGATGCATGTCCTCCTCATACCACAGGTTGGTGATGGTGAAGTTCAGGGTGAATGGCACCAGGAGAGGAACAGCTGCTGTAGTGGGAGTGGGAAATAAATACTATGTTCAAAGCAGAGAAAATAGGAGTTTGCAGTAGACTTGTCTTTAAACATAGGCAACATTTAAATTGAATGACTAAATAAATATTTACCTTGCGCCCCTTGCCTATAATGACTATTTTATAAAGGATATTTTATAATAGTAGTTAGATGCTGAGCATTGCTCTTGGTGCATATTCAGTGCTTAATGTTGTCTGATGTTATCTGTTATCTTTTTATTGCCATCATCATTGTTGCTGTCATTGTCACCATCACCATTATTATCATCACCACCATAATCCCAAGCATAACCACCACAAATAGCAGCAGCAGCACACTCAACACATCACCATCATCCTCATAACCATCACCACCATCATCATCACCACGTGAACACAAGCTCACTGAGGGCACAGATGTTTTTATTGGTTTTGTTTTCCTTGCTGCACCCTTTGTGGCTGGCACAAAGTAGGTGGCCAATAATTTTTTTTAGTCCACCCACTATCACCAGATTCACTATGATTTCTATCTTTACTTGAATGAAAAGGGCAGAGTTGTTTACATTCATCATGCATGCTCTAATAGAGATGCCACTGACTGCTACTTACCCGTGGGGCTGGGAAGGGAGGATGGAGTCCCTAGGGTTCCGAGGTCCACTGTGGAAGTCCAAGGAGCTGAGGAAAAGTCCTCATTAGTGAAAGCAGAAAGCACTCTCATGACAGAAATGGCAAGAGGGGAGACAATTTATGGAGTCTGCTGCCTGTCCTGATCCTCCTAGAGACGGATCCGTTTTTGGAGCTAGGGCAGAGTGGAGCTTGAGCAACTTCTACCTTCCTGTCTCTTTTGCTGAAGAAGAGGATCTATGGGTTTATGAGGGGAGCCAGATTCTGCTACACTTGGTGTAGGATCAGGGGCATGTGGACATGAGTTGAATACTCACTGCTGGTGGTGGGCATGGAGCTCCGATGGGTGAAACCTGAATAGAGAAGGAGGGAGGAGAGTGTGTAAGAGTTAAAAAGACACTGACAATTAAATAGGGGTCGAGTTGACCCTGGTGCAATACAATGAATTTCATGGTACAGAAGCCATTGAAGATTTCCTATCAGCATCCTCACATCAGGAAAGAATGCCCTGAAGAACACAGTCCATGATGATAAGGAAACCATGAAATCCAGACCTGAGACATCTCATGTAGAGCGCATGACAGAATTTTCAATTGCCAAGCAGGGAGTGTGACCTCTAGTTAGAGATTAGAGGCTGCTCAGCAAGGAGGAAGAGATTTCAACCATGTCACAACTGCTCACCATTGACATAGAGACTGTTCCCGTCCAGGGTGTAGGGGCCCAGCTCTTTGATACCATTGGTCAGCTGGCTCAGCTCCCAGTACAGCTGCTCTCTGTTAAGTCCAGGACTTTTAGGGTCAAGATAGTGAGTGCAGATGGCATCCACTCCAGTGGCTGCCCCATGCTTCTCAGACCTGGGGAAGGTAAGTGGGGAGAATGACAGTGAAAAGATTACCTAGGACAGTCTTGAGACTGCCGAGGGAAGAACAGCAAGGGACTAGAGGAAATGAGAAACCTGGGAAAGAGGTGAGAAGCCACACTTAGATTCTCTGAGTGCATGGACTACTGGCTTGCTTGGGACTGTGAGCAGAGTCATGGATACATCAGTTTTTATAAAAGTGCAAGGTGAAACCTGCATTCTCATGGCATGGGTACAGGTGAGTCCAGATTTAAGACCAGTGAAGAGCTGAAATGGGGAAGAAAGCACACGGATGAGGCATGATTGTCTTGAGAAAAATCCTGCAGGCAGAATTTAGGACCTAGAGGAAAGGGAGGGGCAGGGAAAGGAGGGATTCAGAGGGATGAGCAGAGTAGGGGTTCAATCCTGATGATGGACCATGCAGATTCTTTCTGTTGAGGTGGGGTGTGTGGAGGTTACTATCAGGAGACAGACTGTTCCCAAATCCATTGACTCCTGAATCCCAAGTTTGGTGAGGCTATGCCTAGAAGTGTAGCAAGGAAGCAGTACAAAGTCTTTTGGAGTGAGAACAGGTAGGGCAGCCAGGCTGGCTATTCTAGTCTCACCTAAGAGAGGTCAGTCTGCAGCCAGAGTACAGAGGGCCGACACTGGAGTTCTTGAACAAGGCACCAAGCTGTGGAGGAAGGAGAGGTGAGTAGGAGGGCTAAGGTCTCTGTATGAGGACAGAAATAAGGTGGGCAGGGCAGGCCTAAGTGGGTGAGGCTGGCCTCAGTGGGTGTGGCTTGCATTTCTTAGGGAGAGGGTGAGGTGAGTGCATTCTTCTTCCACTGCCCTGGCATGGGTGTTGTAGGAGGGACTGAGTATCTGGGTTGGGGCAGAGTGAGGGGGGTGGGGCACTAACCAGACGCTGTAGGACCCTCTCTGTGGTGTTGAACTTTCTGGATCCAGGGTGATGCATGTCCTCCTCATACCACAGGTTGGTGATGGTGAAGTTGAGGGTGAACAGCACCAGTAGAGGAACAGCTGCTGTCGTGGGAGTGGGAAATAAATACTATGTTCAAAGTGTAAAATATAGGAGCTGGCAATAGACTTACGTTTAAACATATACAACATTTAAATTGGATGACTAAATAAATGTTTAACATGCCTCTCTTGCCTTCAATGACATAATTTATTTTTTAAAGGATATTACATAATAGCAGTTAGATGCTGAGCATTGCTCTTCGTTCATATTCAGTGCTCAATATTGTCTGATGTTATCCATTATCTTCTTTGTTGCCATCATCATCATTGCTACCATCACCATCAACATTATTATCATCACCACCACAGTCCCAAGCATGACCACCACAAATATCATCAGCAGCACACTCAACACATCACCATTATCATCATAACCCCACGACCATTTCTGACATCATCCTCATCACCATTATTGTCACTGTCATCAGTATCACCAGTCTCATTATCAACATCATAAAGAGCACCATCGCCACCACCACCGTCACCACCACCATCATCATCACACTCAACACATTACCACTAACATCATAACCATCACTGACATCATCCTCACGTCCATCATCATGGTCGGCAACATTATCACCACATTATCATCAACAGCATCACTATCATGATCATCATCAACAACACCACCACCACCACTATTATCAATAGCATTGCCATCATCATCATCATCATCGACATCATCAACAGCAATTAGCACCACCACCACTATTATCATCATCACATGAATATAAGCTCACTGAGGGCAGAGATATTTTTTAATTGGTTTTGTTTTCCTTGCTGTATCCCTAGGGTCTGGTACACAGTAGGTGGCCAATAAACGTTTTTGGTTCACTCACTATTACCAGATTTACTATAATTTTCCATCTTTATTTGAGTAAAAATGGCAGAGATGTTCACACTCATCAGGCATGCTCTAATAGAGAGGTCTGGTACTTACTCGTGGGGCTGGGGAGGGAGGATGGGGTCGCTGAGGTTCCAGGTCCCACTGTGGAGGTCCCAGGATCTGAGGAAAAGTCCTCATCAGTGAAAACAGAAAGCACTCTCATGGCAGAAATGGCAAGAGGGTAGACTATTATGAGGTCTGATGCATGTGAGCTTGAGCTGGGTCTGTCTTTGGAGCTGAAGCAGAGGGGGAGTTTGAATGACTTCTGCCTTCCCAGCTCCTTTGGTCATGAGGAGGACTTATGGGTTTATAAGGAAGGGCCAACTCCTGCTTCACTTGATGTAGGATCAGGGGCATGTGGACATGGGTGAATACTCACTGCTGGTGGTGGGCACGGAACTCCTATGGGTGAAACCTGCATAGAGAAGAAGGGAGGAGGTAGGGTTAGGGTTAAGGAGATGTGGAGGATGTAATAGGGGTCATGGCTATCCTGGTGCAATTCAATGAGTTTCATGGGACAGGGGCCATTAAAGATTTCCTGTCAGCATCCTCACAACAGGGAAGAGTGCCCTGAGGGAATGCAGTTCACTATGACGAAGAAACTGTGAAGTCCAGAACTTAGTCATCCCATGTAAAGCACGTGACAGAATATTCAATGGCCAGGCAGGCAGTGAGACTTCAAGCCAGAGATTAGAGTCTGCACAGACTCCAGGAGGAAGAACCTCCAACCACGTCACAGCTGCTCACCATTGACATAGAGACTGTTCTTGTCCAGGGTGTAGGGGCCCAGCTCTTTGATGCCATTGGTCAGCTGGCTCAGCTCCCAGTACAGCTGCTCTCTGTTGAGTCCAGGGCTTTTGGGGTCAAGATGGTGGGTGCAGATGGCATCCACTCCAGTGGATGCCCCATGCTTCTTGGGCCTGGAGAACGTAGGTAGAGAGAATGATGATGAAAGGATTACCTAGGTTGTGTCTTTAGACTGCCGAGGGGAAGACAGTAAGGGACCAGAGGAATTGAGAAACCTGGGAAACAGGTGAGAAGCCACACTGAAATTATCTTAGTGCACAGACCACTGTCTTTTTTAGGACTGTGAGCAGAGTCATGGGTATAATAATTTTTATAACAGTGCAAGGTGAAACCTGCATTCTCATGGCGTGGGGAAAGAACAACTCAGACTTGAGACCAGTGAAGATCTTGAAAGAGGGATGAATGCATGTGGATGAGGCATGATTGTCTTAAGAGAAGTCCTGGGACAAAATTCAACACCTAAATGAAAGGGAGGGGCAGGGAAAGGAGGGAATTCAGAGGAATGATCAGGGCAGAGGCTCAATCCTGATAATGGACCATGAAGATTCTGCCTGTTGAGGTGGGGTGTAGGGGTGTTACAATCATGAAACAACTGGTTCTGAAACCAGTGACTCCTGAATTCCCCTTTTGGTGAGGATATCCTTAGGAAGAGCATCAAGGAGGCAGTGCAAAGTCTTTTAGGCTGGGAACAATTGGGGCAGCCAGTCTGGCTCTTCTAAATTCTCACCTGAGAGAGGTCAGTCTGCAGCCAGCGTATAGAGGGCCGACACTGGTGTTCTTGAATATGGGACCAAGCTGTGGAGGAGAGGGAGGAAAGTGAGTAGAAGGGCTAAAGTGTGTATGTGCGTAGGGGCAGACATGAGGTGGGCAGAGCAGGCACCAATGCGCAGGGCTGGCCTCTGTGTGTGGGGCTTGCATCTCCTGGGGGTTGGGGGAGGTTGGTGCTATCTCCTTTCATCACCCTGGCATGGATGATGTAGAAGGGACTGGATGTCTTGGGTGGGGCAAAGTGAGGGCAGGGCTCTCACCAGACCCTGCAGGACCCTTTCTGTGGTGTTAAACTTCCTGGAGCCAGGTTGATGCATGTTCTCCTCGTACTGCAGGTTGGTGATGGTGAAGTTGAGGGTGAATGGCACCAGGAGAGGGACAGCAGCTGTAGTGGGAATTGGAAATCAACACTATGTTCAAAGTAGAGAAAATAGAGGTTTGGAATAGACTTATCTTTAAACGTATGCAAAATTTAAGTTGAGAGACAAAATATTTACTGTGTCTCCCTTGCCTACAATAATACAATTTATTTTTATAAAAGTATATTATATAATAGTAGTTAGATGGTGAGCATAGCTAGTCATGCATATTCAGTGCTCAATATCATCTGATGTTATCTGCTATTTTTGTTATGGCCATCATCACCATCACCATCATTATTATCACCATTACCACCGTGATAATACCACCATCATGACCACCACAAATGTCATCATCACCACACTCAACATATCATCATAGCCACACAACCATCACTGGCATCATCCTCATCACCATCATTGTTACTGTCATCAAACTCACCACTACCATCATCAACATCATCACCAGTACCATGGTTGCCATCATAAAGAGCACCACCACCATCATCATCATTATTACACTCACACATCATCATTATCACCATAACCTTCACAACCATCACTGACAACATCCTCATGTCCATCATCATCATCGTCAGTAGCATCATCACCATCATCATCAACAGCATCACAATAATCAGCAATCATCATCACATTCAACATGTCATTATTACTATCATAACCACCACGACCACCATCATCATGACATGAACACAAGCTCACTGAGGGCAGAGATGTTTTTACTGGTTTTGTTTTCCTTGTTGTATCCCTAGGGTCTGGTACACGGCACGTGACCAATAATTGTTTTTGCTTCACTCAATATCATCAGATTCATTATGATTTTCCATCTTCATTTGAGTGAAAATGGCACAGATGTTTACATTCATCAGGCATGATCTAACAGAGATGCCATTGACTGGTACTTACTTGTGGGGCTGGGAAGGGAAGATGGAGTCCCTGCAGTTCCAAGGTCCACTGTGGAGGTCCCAAGAGCTGAGAAAAAGTCCTCATCAGTGAAAGCAGAAAGCACTCTCATGGCAGAAATGGCAAGAGGATAGACTATTATGAGGTCTGCTGCATGGGGGCTTGGGCTGGATCTGTCTTTGGAGCTGGGGCAGAAAGGAGCTTCAATAACTTCCACCTTCTCAGCTCTTTTGCTTAAGAAGAGGACTTATGGGTTCATTAGGAGGGGCTCCACTTGATGTATGATCAGGGACATTGGACATGGGTTGAATACTCACTGCTGGTGGTGGGCACAGAGCTCTGAGGGGTGAAACCTGCATAGAGGAGGGAGGAGACTGGGTAAGTGTTAAGGAGTTGTAGGGAACATAATAGGGTTCAGGGATACCCTAGTGCAATTAAATGAGTTTCGTGGGACAGAGGCCATTAAAGATTTCCTATCAGCATCCTGACAACAGGGAAGAGTGCCCTGAGGGAATGCAGTTCACTATGACGAAGAAACTGTGAAGTCCAGAACTTAGTCATCCCATGTAGAGCACATGACAGAATATTCAATGGCCAGGCAGGGAGTTAGACCTCAAGCCAGAGATTAGAGTCTGCCCAAACTCTAGGAGTAAGAACCTCCAACCACATCACAGCTCCTCACCATTGACATAGAGACTGTTCCTGTCCAGGGTGTAGGGGCCCAGCTCTTTGATGCCATTGGTCAGCTGGCTCAGCTCCCAGTACAGCTGCTCTCTGTTGAGTCCAGGGCTTTTAGGGTCAAGATGGTGAGTGCAGATGGCATCCACTCCAGTGGCTGCCCCATGCTTCTCAGACCTGGGGAAGGTAGGTAGGGAGAACGACTATGAAAAGATTACCTAGGTTGTGTCTTTAGACTGCTGAGGGAAAGACAGTAAGGAATCAGAGGAAATGAGAAACCTGGGAAAGAGGTGAGAAGCCACACTTAGATTTTCTGAGTGCACAGACTATTGGCTTGCTTGGGACTGTGAGCAGAGTCATGGATACAACCATGCTTGTAAAAGTGCAAGGTGAAACCTGCATTCTCATGGCATGGGGACAGGAGAGCCCTGACTTGAGACCAGTGAAGAGCTGGGGATGAAAGCACGTGGATGAGGCATGATTGTTTTGAGAGAAATCCTGGGGACAGAACTTAAGACCTAAAGGAAAGGGAGGAGCAGGGAAAAGGGAGAATTCAGAGGAATGATCAGGGTAGAGTTCAATCCTGATGATGGACCATGCAGATTCTCCCTGTTGAGGTGAGGTACTGAGGTGTTACTATCAGGAAACACACTGGTTCTGAAGCCAGTGATTCCTGAATTCCCCTTTTGGTGAGGCTACGCCTAGGAAGTGCAGCAAGGAAGTTGTACAAAGTCTGTTGAAGTGGAAAAAATTGGGGCAGCCGGTCTGGCTTTTCTAAGGTCTCACCTGAGAGAGGTCAGTCTGCAGCCAGAGTACAGAGGGCTGACACTGGTGTTCTTGAATATAGGACCAAGCTGTGGAGGAGGGAGGAAAATGTCAGTAGGAGGGCTAAGGTGAATGTGCAGGGGGCAGAAGTCAGGGGGTGGAGCAGGCACCAGTGGGCAGGGCTAGCTTAAGTGAGCAGGGCTTGCACCTTTTGTGGGAAGTGATGAGATGGGTGCTATCTTCTTCCATAGCCCTGGCATGAATGATGTAGGAGGGATTTGGTATCTGGGGTGAGACAGGAGTAAAGTGGGCAGGGCTCTCACCAGACCCTGCAGGACCCTTTCCATGGTGTTGAACTTCCTGGAGCCAGGGCGATGCATGTCCTCCTCATACTGCAGGTTGGTGATGGTGAAGTTGAGGGTGAATGGCACCAGGAGAGGGCCAGCAGCTGTAATAGGAATTGGAAATAAACACTATGTTCAAAGTAGAGAAAATAGGGGTTTGGAATAGACTTATCTTTAAACATATGCAAAATTTAAATTGAGAGACAAAATATTTACCATGCCTCCCTTGCCTATAGTAACAAAATTTATTTTTATAAAAGTATATTATATAATAGTAGATGCTGAGCGTAGGTCTTGGTGAATATTTATTGCTCAATACTGTCCAGCATTTTCTATTAACTTTGTTTAACACCATCATCACCTACCACTGTCACCATCATGATAATCCCCATGATTACCACCATAAACATCATCAGTCTCAACACTTCATCATTACCATCATAACCCACCACCAACACCAGCATCATCCTTATCACCATTATCATCATTGTCATCAATATCACCACCACCATCATCAATGTCACCACTATTATCATTATTATAAACAGCAACACTATCACCATCATCATCATCACACTCAACACACAATCACTACCGTCATGACAGCACCACCATCACAGTATCATCCTCATCATCATCACCATTGTCATCAACATCGCCACCACCATCATCATCACCACTATCATCATCACCATCACAAGCTGCAACACCACCATCATTACACTCAATACATCATAATTAGCATCAGAACTTCCACTGCCATCACCAGCATCATCATCATCATCATCATCACTACTGCCATCATTAACAGAATGACCATCATCATCATCATATCAGCGCCACCACTGCCATCATTATCATCCCACTCAACACATCATTATCACCATCACAACTACCACTACCATCATCATCATCATCATCACAAGAATACAAGCTCATTGAGGGCGGAGTTTTTTTTTTTAATTGATTTTCTTTTTCTTATTGTATCCCTGGGGTCTGGTACACAGTAGGTAGCCAAAACATTTTGTTTGTCTACTTACTATCACGAGATTTACTATGATTTTCCATTTTTATCTGAGTGAAAATGACAAAGATGTTTACATTCATCGAGCGTGCTCTAATAGAGATGTCATTGACTGATACTTACTTGTGGAACTGGAGAGGGAAGCTGGAGTCCCTGAGGTTCCAAGATCCACTGTGGAGGCCCCAGGAGCTGAGGAAAAGTTCTCATCAGTGAAAGCAGAAAGCATTCTCTTGGCAGAAATGGCAAAAGGGGAGACTGTTCACGGGATTTGCTGCATGTGTGGCTTGAACTGGTTCAGCGTTTTGAGCTGGGCAGAGGGGCACTTGAATAACTTCTGCCCTCCTTTGCTCATGAAGAGGACTTATGGATTTATGAGGAAGGGCCAGCTCCTGCTCCTCTTGGTATAGAAACCAGGGCATGTGAACATGAGTTGAATACTCACTGCTGGTGGTGGGCACAGAGCTCCGATGGGTGAAACCTGCATGGAGAAGAAGGGAGGAGAAGTAGGTAAGCGACAAGGAGAGATGGGGGACCAAATAGACGTCAATGCTACCCTGGTACAACAAAATGAACTTCATGGTACAGGGACAATTGAAGATTTCCTATCAGCATCCTCACATCAGGAAAGAAAGCCCTGAGAGAACACAGTCCACGATGATAAGGAAATCATGAAGTCCAGACCTGAGTCATCCATCCCATGTAGAGCACATGGCTGAATTTTCAATTACCAGGCAGAGAGTGTGACCTCTAGTTACAGATTAGAGGCTGCCCAGCAAGAAAGAAGAGACTTCAACCACGTCACAGGCACTCACCATTGACATAGAGACTGTTCCTGTCCAGGGTGTAGGGGCCCAGCTCTTTGATGCCATTGGTCAGCTTGCTTAGCTCCCAGTACAGGTGCTCCCTGTTGAGTCCAGGGCTTTTGGGGTCAAGGTGGTGGGTGCAGATGGCATCGACTCCAGTGGCTGCCCCATCCTTCTCGGGCCTGGGGAGGGTCAGTGGGAAACATGACAATGAAAAGACTACCTAGTTTGTGTCTTGAGACAGCTGAGGGAAGGACAGTAAGGAAGCAGAGGAAATGAGAAACCTGGGAAAGAGGTGAGAAGCCACATAGATTCTTAGTGCATGGACTATTGGTTTGCTTGGGACTGTGAATGGAGCCACGGATACAAGAAGTTTTATAAAAGTGTAAGATGAAACCTGCATCTTCATGGATGGGATGGACAGGGGAGCCAGACTTGAGCCCAGTGAAGAGCTGGAAATGAGAATGAAAGCATGTGGATGAGGAATAATTGTCTTGAGAGAAGTTAACATGTAACAGAATATAACATGTAAAGGAAAGGGAGGGGCAGGGAAAGGAGGGAATTCAGAGGGATGATCAGGGTAGGGGCTCTGTCCTGATGATGGGCCATGCAGATTCTCTCTGTTGAGGTGGGGTGTGGGGCTGTTACTAGCAGGAAACACACTGGTCCTGAAGCCAGTGACTCCTGAATTCCACCTTTGGTGAGAATATTCGTAGGAAGTACAGCAAAGAAGCAGTGCAAAATCTTTTGGAGTGAGAACAATTGGGGTAGCCAGACTGGCTCTTCTAAGTTCTCACCTGAGCAAGATCAGTCTGCAGCCAGAGTACAGAGGGCCAACACTGGTGTTCTTGAACAGGGGCCTGAGCTGTGGAGGAGGGAGAGGGAGGTGAGTAGGAGGGCTAAGTTGTAAGAGCCAGGCAGAAGTGAGGTGAGCAGGGCTGGCCTCAGTGGGCAAGGTTTGCAGTTTTTTGTTTTTGTTTTGAGACAGAGTTCCGCTTTTTTGCCTAGGCTGAAGTGGTACGATCTTGGCTCACTGCAACCTCTGCCTCCTAGGTTCAAGTGATTCTCCTGCCTCAGCCTCCCAAGTAGCTGGAATTACAGGCATGCATGACCACACCTGGCTAATTTTTGTATTTTTAGTAGAGATGAGGTTTCACCATGTTGGTCAGGCTAGTCACAAACTCCTGACCTCAGGTGATCCACCTGCCTCAGCCTCCCAAAGTGCTGGGATTATAGGCATGAGCCACTGCGCCCAGCTTAGGCTTTCATCTGTTGGGGCAAGAGTGAGTTAGGTGTGATCTTCTTCCATCACCCTGGCATGGATGATGTAGGAAGGACTGGGTATCATGAGCAGGGCGGAGTGAGAAGGGCACTAACCAGACCCTGCAGGACCCTCTCTGTGGTGTTAAACTTTCTGGAGCCAGGGCGATGCATGTCCTCCTCATACTGCAGGTTGGTGATGGTGAAGTTGAGGGTGAACGGCACCAGGAGAGGAACAGCAGCTATAGTGGGAGTGGGAAGTAAATATTATGGTCAAAGTAGAGAAAATGGCACTTTGTAATAACCATATGCAGCATTTAAACTGAATGACATAATAAATATTTTCCATGCCTTTCTTATCTATAATGATACAATTTATTTTTTAAAGTAGATTATATAACAGTTGTTAGATGCTGAGCATAGCTCTTGGCACATATTTAGTGCTCAACATTGTGAGATGTTAACTGCTATCTTTATTATCACCATCATCATCATCACTGTCATTGTCACCATCATCGTTGTCATCACAAGTACCACCAGCACAGCCATGGCAATCTCCATCATGACCACCACAAACATCATCATCATCACATTCAACATATCATTACCATGGTAACCCCACCACCATCACCGACATCATCCTCATCACTATCATCCTCATTGTCATTGACATCACCATCATCAACGTGTCTAGCATAAAATAATCACCATCATAATCAACACCACCATCATCACACTTAACATATCATTATTACCATAATAACCCCTGCCACCATCATGAGCATCATTTTCTTCAACATCATCTTTGTCATCAACATTACTATCACCATCATCAACAGCAGCAGCAGCAGAACCACCACCACTAACATCATCATCAACACAAGAATATAAGCTCACTGAGAGCAGAGATTTTTTATTGGTTTTATTTTCCTTGCTGTGTCCCTAGGATCTGGTACACATTAAGTGGCCAATAAATTTCACTGGTTCACTCACTATCAGTATATTTACTATGACTTTCCATCTTCATTTGAGTAAAAATGACAGGGGAAGCCTGCTCTAATAGAAATGCCATTGACTAGTACTTACTCGTGGGGCTGGAGATGGAGGGTGAAGTCACTGAGGTTCCCACATCCACTATGGAGGTCCCAGGAGCTGAGGAGAAGTCCTCATTAGTGAAAGCAGAAAGCATTACCATGGCAGAAATGCCACGAGGTGAGACTTTTGCAGGGTTTGCTGTTATGTGGGCTTGAGCTGAGTCTGTCTTTGGAACTGAGGCAGAGGGGAGCTTGAATAACTTCTGCCTTCCCACTTGCTTTGCTCAAGAGGAGAACTTATGGGTTTATGAGGATGGGGAGCTCTTGCTTTGTTTGATGTAGGATCATGGGCATGTGGACATGAGTTGAATACTCACTGCTGGTGGTGGACTCAGAGCTCCGATGGGTGAAACCTGCAAAGAGAAGGAGGGAGGAGTGTAAGTAGGTGAAAAGGAGATGTGGGGGACCAAACAGGGGTCAGGGCTACCCTGGCACAATGTAAGGAGGCTTATGGAACAGGGACCATTAGGCATTTCCTATCAGCATCCTCACATCAGGGAAGAATGTCCTGATGGAATTCATTCTAGGATGATGAAGAAATCATGAAGTCCAGAATGTAGTCATCCCATGTAGAGCACATGGCTGAATTTTCAATTGCCTGGCATGAGTATGTCCTCAAGCCAGAGATTACAGGCTGCCCAGCAAGGAGGAAGAGCCTCCAACCACATTACAGCTGCTCACCATTGACATAGAGGCTGTTCCTGTTCAGGGTGTAGGGGCCCAGCTTGTGGATGCCGTTGGTCAGCTTGCTCAGCTCCCAGTATAGTCGCTCTCTGTCCAGTCTGAGCCCTGCAGGGTCAGGGCGATGTGTGCAGATGGCGTCCACTGCCGTGGCTGATCCATCCTTCTCTGGCCTGGATGAGAACCTACAGATGCTTAGTCAACCCACGTCACCAAGCTTTTGTCCTTCCTTTCCACTCTTCGTCAGTCCCTAATGAGAACTCTGGGGAAACTGTGGCTAACAAGAATGCAGCTCTCATCAGAGAGATGCCCATCCTAAACAAATGAATAGGATTCTTAGTGGAAGCAGAAAGCACTACCATGGCAGAGGTAAGACTTCTTCTTTTTTTTTTTTTTTTTTTTTTTGAGACAGTTTCATTCTGTCACCCAGGCTGGAGTGCAGTGGCATGATCTGGGCTCAATGCAACTTCCGCCTCCTGGGTTCAGGAGATTCTCCTGCCTCAGCCTCCTGAGTAGCTGAGACTACAGGCACCTACCACTACACCAAGCTAATTTTTTTTTTTTTTTTTTTTTTTGGTATTTTTAGTAGAGACGGAGTTTCACCATATTGGGTAAGCTGGCTTGAACTCCTGACCTCACGATCCACAGGGTGTCCTATGTCCCAGGGTTGTGAGTAGCTCTATAGTAGGAATGACTTTAGAGTAACAACTACCATTTATTAAATACTTCCTATGCAGCAGGCCCAGCATTTTGTATTCATAATCACATTATTTCATCCTCAAAGCATCCCTGTGGGTTGGTACTGCTCAATTCTCCCAGTCAATACCATACTAACATAACACAAGTATATATATTATATTATATATATCTATAATATATATATAACTGTGTATATATATACAATTATATGTATATTGTATAACACAATTATATATATAACATAAAATATATAAATATGTAGATTTGTAAATATAAACTTAATATAGAAATATATGTGATATCTTTTGTATGTTATACATTATTATATAATATACAAAATATATTATTCTACCTCTACCTAACATATATTAAACTGGTTTATATATAACTATTTTATATAATTATATAACTTTTTTATATAACTACCATATACCTCTACTTAACATATATTAAACTGGTTCACATATAACTATTGTATATAACTCTATAACTATTTTTTGCATAGCTACCACATACATTTAGATGCTCCTTGACTCATGATGGTGTTATGTCCTGATAAACCTAGGATTGTTTATTTATTTATTTTTTTGTTTTGTTTCGTTTTGTTTTTGGAGATGGAGTCTCACTCTGTCACCCAGGCTGGACTGCAGTGGCATGATCTCGGTTCACTGCAAACTCTGCCTCTCTTGCCTTAACCTCCTGAGTAGCTAGGACTATAGGCACCCACCACCAAACCCAGCTAATTTTTGTATTTTTAGTAGAGCTGGATTTTCTCCATGTTTGCCAGGCTGGTCTTGAATTCCTGACCTCAGGTGATCTGCTGCCTGAGCCTCTCCAAGTGCTAGGATTACAGACACGAGGCACATGCCTGGCTTGTTTTTAGTTTTTTGGAGACAGAGTCTCACTCTGCCATCCAGGCAGGAGTGCACTGGGGCAATCTTGGCTCACAGCAACCTCCACCTCTTGGGTTCAAGTGATTCTCATGTCTCAGTCTCCTGAGTAGCTGGAACTACAATTGTCACCAACATTCCTGGCTGATTTCTTTATTTTTAGTAGACAGGATTTTGCAATGTTAGCCAGGCTGGTCTTGAATTCCTGGCCTCAAGTGATCTACCCGCCTTGGCCTCCCAAAGTGCTGAGATTACAGGTGTGAGCCACTGTGCCCTGCCCTGATAAACCCATTTTAAGTTAAAAATATAAGCCAAAAATGCCTTGTGGCCAGGTGTGGTGGCTTATGCCTGTAATCCCAGCATTTGGGGAGGCCAAGGTAGGAGGATTGCTTGAGCCCAGGAGTTCAGGGACACCTGGGCAACACAGCAAGACCCCCCTCCACAAAAAAGTTTTAAAAATAGCCAGTTGTATATATTTTGTTTTGTTTTTGTTTTATTTTCAGAGACAGAGTCTCACTCTGTAGCCCAGGCTGGAGAGAAGAGGTGTGATGTTGGCTCACTGCAATCTCTGCCTCCTGGGTTCAAGCAATTCTGGGCCCAGGTACATATATGTTACAGATCACATAATGTATGTTATATATAGCATATACTATATGTTATAACATATATAACATGTACACAATATAACATGTATAATATATACATATATAACATATATGTTATATATGTGTATAACATATGTATATAAAACACGTCTATAAACATATGTTTATAAAACTGAGGTCTGCCTCACTTCACCAATGCTCCTAGCTACTAGGGCCCTCCTACCTCTTCTGCCTCCATCCCCGGAAGGAAAGGAAGCTGGAGGTAGATGACTGATGAAATGGGACTCTTGAGAGAGCCACACTTGGAGATTCAGGTGTGGAAGGTGAGAATGTCAGGCAGGAAACGATTACAACCAACATCTACCCTAAATGACCTGCCCTTTCTAGCACTCGGGGACAGTGTCCTTGGTGCCTCTCAGTCAACCTCAGACAGGCCAGGCCCCCTGTGGCTGCATCTGAGACACTTAGGAGCTCACCTCTTGCCTGTAAGGGTTCTATGCTTCCCTTTCCTCCCCTCTGAGATTCTCTGGGCAAGTTCCTTCAGAGGAGGAGTCCGATTAGGATTTTCCGCATGCTACAAGGCCGTAATAGGGGCAGAGGAAGCAGTGCCACCTAAGGAACAGGCGTTTGGATCTGGAACCTGAAGTGCTGGAGTTACTTTGTGTGCCCTGGCACAAGCCACTGCCTCAGTTTCCCCTTCTGCTCCTACTTCATGAGGCTATTGCAAAGACTGATGAGGCATTAAATATTAAATATAAAGTACATAATGCAGTGTCTTGGGTCTTAGTGAGCTGAGACTGTGCCACTGCACTCCAGCCTTGGAGACAGAATGAGACACCGTCTCAAAAACAAACAGACAAAAACGTGGAACTGCTGATGTTGCCAGAGACAAGCTTTTGCCATAGACAAGAGCCCTTGGGCCACATCTCCTTCTAAATCTTTGCAGACAAAATTCCAAAGACAGGAAAAAAAAAAAAAAAGTTTGTGCTTTGAACAATGGAGAGAAGGGATTTAGTTACAAGGGTTCCTGCTTTCACAGAATTATTCCAGGCTTTGTGTCAGGGTGGTGGCTTCACAGACCATGATGGCACTGGTGGCAACTACCCCTAAGTCTTTATGTGAGCTCTTCTTCCTGGGTGTCATTTGCTTTTTCTGTCTCATTTGGGCATCCAGGACCACCCTCCCTGCCGCCCACCTCCTTAAATCCAGGGCTGTTCCTTAGCCAATCTTCTTTTGGTCTCCGTTTATTTTTCATTTATTGGTTTCAAGTCTTTGTTCCAACCACTTGCTCTTACAGCACTCCCTGTCCACCCAGGAAGGTGTGGGAAGTAGAAAAGTTTCTCTTTAAAGTTTCCTTTCTTGTTAAAGAATAAATCGTAAGTGTGTTAATAAATCTTTGTGAAGCTCTAACCTACGTAGCTGTTAGGCATGCCATGCTTACAGGCACACGGTATATTTGATGTCCTTGTACTTTAACCAAGATATCTGTGCTGGATGAGCTCACAGGCATGTCCCAGATCTCCATTGCTTTTATTTGTTTAAAAAGTTTTAAGTTATTAGCCAATCGGGTTTTGGTTTAGATTGTGAGGTCTGGCACCAGCCAATGTAGATCGAACACAGCAGTAAGGACGACCCCAAATGCATAAAGAATAAATATGTCTGCTTTCCTTTGTTCATTGCACTCTGTGGCAAGATGGCTAGCAAGGTACCTTCCTGCAGTCCAGGAAGTAACAACTGCGTTGCTGAAAAATCCTTTGTCTCAGTGCTAATTTTTCTTTGTGGCACTGAACATCTATTTCCAACAAAGGTAAGGACAGATGGTGTCCACTGCAGGAATAGCCAAGTCCTGCTTGGGCCATGGGATTGGGAATGTGGAGCTCCCAGGGAGAAAATTGAGCCCCCTAGGGCCAGGCAGCATGTGCCAGGGAAAAGCCAGAGGGCTGGGGACCTTCGGGGAGGTGAGTGAACACCTCCTTGGCTGTCCTTGACATTCTGCAACCACCATCATGGAACCTAAGAGGGGGGTTTTATTGAAAGTTGGTGAATCCCAAGGTCCAACCTACTGGGAACACATTTTAGGTAGGCAACCAAGTTTAAGAAAAACAGAGAAAATGAGTTAAAAAACAGTAAGAGGCAATGTGTTTCCAAATTATCTTTGTCATCGGCTTAAGCTAACCCTAACCCTAACCTACAGTGATTTCCCCTGAAGAACAGAGAACTCTTTCCTCCCTTGCCTGAGAATTCTGCTGGCTACTATTCATATGATTCAAAGTGCTCCCATTTCATGCCCATATAATATAACATAGTGCTTCTCAACGTATGGTCTAGAGACTCCTGATGTCCCCAAAATTCTTACAGGGAATCCACCAAGTAAAAAATATTTTTATCATAATACCAAGATGTTATTTTGACTTCCATTCTCTCTGGAGTATACAGTGGAATATTTTCGAGGGCCACATTGAAATATCATAATGCATCTTTATAGTAGAATGATTTATAATCCTTTGGGTATATCCCCAGTAATGGAATTTGCTGGATCAAATGGTATTTCTGGTTCTAGATCTTTGAGGAATCACCACACTGTCTTCCACAATGGTTGAACTAATTAACACTCCTACCAACAGTGTAAAAGTGTTCCTATTTCTCCACAGCCTCGCCAGCATCTGTTGTTTACTGATTTTTTTAATAATCACCACTCTAACTGGCATGAGATGGTATCTCACTGTGGTTTTGACTTGCATTTCTCTAATGGCCAGTGATGATGAGGCACATATACACCATGGAATACTATGCAGCCATAAAGAAGAATGAGTTCATGTCCTTTGCAGGGACATGGATGAAGCTGGAAACCATCATTTGCAGGAAACTAACACAGGAACAGAAAATCAAACAGCGCATATTCTCACTCATGAATGGGAGTTGAACAATGAGAACATATGGACACAGGGAGGGGAACATCACACATCAGATCCTGTCGGGAGGTGGAGAGCAGGGACGGGGAGAGCATTAGGACAAACAGCTAATGCATGCAGGGCTTAAAACCTAGATGATGGGTTGACAGGTGCAGCAAACCACCATGGCACATGTATATCTATGTAACAAACCTGCACGTTCTGCACATGTATCTCAGAACTTAAAGTAAAAATTTTTTAAAAAGTTAATGGATTTTCCCTTTGATTCAGTAAGACTGACTTTGGGAAAGTCTTTCTCTCTTTTCAGGGAACAAACTGCAGAGCTGTGGTGTCCAGAGTTTGACTCTAATATGGTAGAGATGGGCTGGGGCAAGGAAGCTGTCAGGGATTCTGGGGATACTGGTAGCAAAGACACTATATCAATTGCTGCTACGAGTCCTAATTAACTGAACATTCACAATGGTCCAGGCACCTTGCTGAATGATTCAGGAGGCTGGGGCAGGAGAACTGCATAATCGCTTGAACCCGGGAGGCAGAGGTTGCTGTGAGCTAAGATCGTGCCACTGTACTCCAACCTAGGTGACAGGTGACAGAGTGAGTATCCATTTAAAAAAAAAAAAGAGAGAGAGAGAGAGAAGAGCAAAAGACTGTTATTATCACCATTAGAATAAGAGACTGTTGGCCAGGCGCAGTGGCTCATGTCTGTAATCCCAGCACTTTGGAAGGCTGAGACAGGTGGATCACGAGGTCAGCAGGTAGAGACCATCCTGGCTAACTTGGTGAAATCCCATCTCTACTAAAAATACAAAAAATTAGCTGGTCATGGTGGTGCGTGCCCATAGTTCCCGCTACTTGGGAGGCTGAGGCAGGAGAATCGCTTGAACCCAGGAGGTGGAGGTTGCAGTGAGCCGAGATCGCGCCATTGCACCCCAGCCTGGGCGACAGGGTGAGACTCTGTCTCAAAAAAAAAAGAAAGAAAGAAAGAAAGAAAGAAAGAAAGAAAGAAAGAAAGAAAGAAAGAAAGAAAGAAAAAAGATTAAAGACTATTATTATCACCATTTTATAGATAATGTGATTGAAGAACAGGGAGGTTGTGTGTCTTGCCCAGGGTCACACAGCTAGCAAATTGTGGAGCTGGCATTGTAACCGAGGCACTTTGAGTCTGCTATACTATACGGCCTCACAGCTAAAGCCCAAGTAGCTGTGGCTGCTAGGGGTGTAGGAGTCTAAGAAAGGACTGAATTGGGGTTGCTGTAGGTGCTGTGGAGGGGAGTGAGTCTTACCTGAGCGAGGTCAGCCTGCAGCCAGCATAGAGAGAACCAGTACTGCTGTTCTGGAACAAGGGCTTGAGCTGGGAAGGAATGAGAGATGATGAGGAGGAGTGAGGGCGGCCAAGACTTTGGAGGAGTGGGGATTGGTTGGGGGGGCTCTTACCAGCTGCTGCAGGATCTTCTCAGTGGCATTGAATATTTCAGAGCCCGGGTGCACCATGTCCTTCGTGTACTGCAGGTTGGTAATGGTGAAGTTGATGGTGAAAAGCATCAACAAAGGCATGTCAGCTGCAGAAAGGGAGGGCAAGAAGAGACCAGTCCTAAGTCAGGCCCTGGGCAGCGAGGCACAGGAGGAAAGGCTCTGAGGACACATTTTAACTCCAGTGTTCATTTGGGGTCCAGGCTGAGCCATCCTACTTGAAATTCCTTATGTAGCAGTCACTTTCTGAGACCTTCCTATGTGGAGTGACCAACAACTCCAGTTTGTTAAGGCCTGTAGGGGCTGAGATGGCCAGGTGTGGTGGCTTACATCTGTAATCCCAGCACTTCGGGAGGCTGAGTTGAGCAGATCATGAGGTCAAGAGATGGAGACCATCCTGGCCAACATGGTGAAACCCTGTCTCTTCTAAAAATACAAAGATTAGCTGGGTGTGGTGGCATGTGCCTGTAGTCCTAGCTGCTCGAGAGGCTGAGTCAGGAGAATCGCTTGAACGTGGGAGGTGGAGGTTGCAGTGAGCAGAGATCACACCACTGTACTCAAACCTGATGACAGAGTGAGACTCCATCTCATAAAAGGAAAGTGAGACAGGGCCAGATGCAGTGACTCATGCCTGTGATCCCAGCACTTTGGCTGGCTGAGGTGGGTGGATCACCTGAGGTCAGGAATTTGAAAGCAGCCTGCCCAACATAGTGAAACCTTGTCTCTGCTGAAAACACAAAAAATTAGCCAGGCATGGTGGCACCTGTGGTCTCAGCTACCCAGGAGGTGGAAGCAGAATTGTTGGAACCCCAGAGGTCACGGTGAGTTGAGATTGCACCACTGCACTCCAGCTTGGGCAAGAGGGCGAGACTCTTTCTCAAAAAAAAAAAAAAAGAATGGAAAATTATTGCTTTATGGGTACAGAGTTCCTGTTTGAGGTGATAAAGTTTTGAAAACCGATAGTGGTGAGGATTGCACAACAATGTGAATGTATTAATACTCCTGAATCATATACTTAAAATGGTTTAAATGGCAGATTTTATATTATTTATATTTTACCACAATAAAAAAGTTATTCTTACCTGTTCTTGAGGTCACACTCTCAGAGGCCAAGGTGGAGATCCCAGGTGTGGTCAGAGGAGCAAAGGAGCTTCCAGTCAGTGTATTGAAGGTGGTCGTGGTCTTGACCACAGTGGAACTGGAACCTGTGGCAGCTAAATTAGTGGTCTCAACTGTTGTAGTTCTCAAGATACTGGTTGGACTCACTCCTTCTCCATGACTGGTTTTAGGTGATGTTGGTGTTTCTGATGGTATCAAGGTCATAGTGGTATCTGTGACAGTCCTGGAAAATTCTGGGGGTCCAAGTGAAGCTACAGATGGCGAGGTTCCTGTGTGCCTGGAGGTCACAGTTTGGGGCTTACCAGTTGTTATAGAGGCACTGGGAAGCCCAGAGACAGCAGGGGAAATGCTCAGAGTGAGAGTACCTGTGTTGGTCTCTGCTGAAGAGCTGGTGCTCAACAAGCCTGTAGTCTCTAATAAACCAAGGGACAGAGTCGAAGTCAGAATTGTGCTGCTGGTTTCTGTCCCAGGATGGGTGGAAAGTGAGGCTGTTTTTGCAGAAACACCAGGTGAAGCAGATGGATTCAGATCAACTTTGCTGGTTCCAGTTCCAAGTAGGGTGAAGAGAGAAGATGCTGTCTGAGTTGGAAGGGCTGAACTAGGCTGAGATGGAAGAGCTGTACTAGGCTCTGCACCAGGTCTAATGGATAGTGAGGCCGTGGTCTCTGATACTTGAGGAAACACAGTTGAAACAGGAAATGTGTTTGTCTCTGTGCCGGGATGGGTGATCAATAAGGCAGTGGTCTCTGGCATACCAGGAGAATGAGTCAAAGTTGGAATAGTTGTACTGGTTGCAGCCCCAGAACTAGTGATTGGTGAAGTCACCATCTCTGGTACACCAGGTGAGACCATTGTTGTCAGCACAGCTGAACTGGCTTCTGTCCCAGGACTGGTGGCCATTAAAAGTGTGGCATCTGGTCTACTGTAGGAAAAACTAGTGGTTGTTCTGGAAATAGGTGTGCTGGTCTGTGCAGGATGAGTGACCCAGGAAGCTGTTGTATCTGGCTCACTAGAGGAAACAGTCAGAGTTGGAACAGTGGAGCCAGTCTGTGCCCCAGGATGGGTAATCAGTGAGGCTGTGGTCTCTGGTTCACCAAGAGAAGGAGTCAACATTGGAATAGCTGCACTAGTGGCTGTTGTAGAACTTGTGACCTGTGAGGTCACTACCCCTGGTGAGATGGTTGTAGTTGGAAAAACTGATCTGGCTTCTGCTCTAGGACTGGTGGCCATTGAGGGCTTAGTGTCTGATCCACTATGGGAAAAGTTGGCAGTTGTCCTAGGAACCGTTGTGCTGGTCTCTGCAGAATGAGTGAACCATGTGGCTGTAGCCTCTGGTGCATATGGGGTCTCAGTCAATGTTGGGAAAATTGTACTGGTGTCTGTCCCAGAACTAGGGATCAGTGAGGTCACCAGATCTGACATACCAGGTGAGACAGTTGTGGTTGAAACAGCTGAACTGGCTTCTGGCCCAGGACTGGTGGTGGCAACTGGGAGTGTGGTGTCTGACTCCCTATGGGAAAACCTGGGAGTTGTCCTGGGAACCATTGTGTTGGTCTCTGCAGGAGGAATGAGCTGTGTAGCTGTTGTCTCTGGTTCATATGGGGTCTCGATCAGCACTGGGAACGTTGTAGTGCTGTCTGTCCCAGAACTAGTGACCAGTGAGGTCAGTGTATCTGATGCACCAGGTGAGAGAGTTGTTGTTGGAATGGCTGAACTGACTTCTGCATCAGAACTGGTGACCATGAAAACTGTCGTGTCTGATTCACTAGGGGGAAAACTGGGGGTTATTCTGGAAACAGGTGTGCTAGTCTCTGCAGAATGAGTGACCCGCCAGTTTGCTGTATCTGACTTACCCAGAGAAACAGTCATAGCTGGGGAAGCTGAACTGGCTTCTGTCCAAGAATGGATGAGCCATGAGGCTGTTGTCTCTGATTCATGTGGGTAATCAGTTCGAGTTGGAAAAATTGTACTGGCCTCTGTGTTAGAACTAGTGATCAGTGAGGTCAGCATCTTTGATGCACTAGGGGAGACAGTTAGAGCTGGGATGGCTGAACTCATGTGTGTCTCAGAATAGGTGATAAAAGAAGTTGTGGTCTCTGGTTCACCAGGAGAAAGTGTCACAGTTGGAATAGTTATACTGGTGTCTGTCCCAGAACTAGCGACCTGTGAGGTCACCATATCTGGTACATTAGGTGAGACAGTTATTGTTGGAAAAGCTGAACTGGCTTCTGCCCCAGGACTGGTGGCTCTTGAGGGTGTGGTGTCTGGTTCACTGTGAGAAAAATTAGAGGTTGTTCTGGGAACTGTTGTGCTGGTGACTGCAGGATGAGTAACCCATGAGGCTGTTGCCTCTGATTCATGTGGGAACTCAGACACTGTTGGAAAAGTTGCACTGGTGTCTGTCCCAGAGCTAGTGACCAGTGAAGTCAGCATACCTGGTATGCCAGGTGATATAGTTGTTGAAATGGCTGAGCTGGACTCTGCCTCAGGACTGGTGACTGTTGAAGGGATAGTGTCTGATTCATTATGGAAAAAGCTTGGGGTTGTCCTGGGAACAGTTGAGCTATTCTCTGCAGGATAGGTGACTGATGAGATCGTTGTAAATGGCTCACCAGTGGAGACAGTCAAACTCGGATAAACAGAGCTTGCTTCTATCCCAGGCTGAGTGACCCATGAGGCTGTGGTCTCTGGTGGACCTGAGGCAACAGTTAGATTTGGAAACACACTGGTCTCTGACCCAGAACTAGTGACCAGTGAAGTCACCAGCCCTTGTACAGTAGGGGAGATGGCTAAAGTTGAAATGGCTGAAATTGTCTTTGCCTCAGAATGGGTGACCAATGAAGGTGTGGTCTCTGGTTCACCAGAAAAAATAGTCAGAGTTGGAATAATTGTACTGGTTACTGCACTAGAACTAGTGACCAGAGAGGTCACCACTCCTGGTATGTCAGATGAAACATCTGGAACAGCTGAGCTGGTTTCTGCCCCATGACTGGTGGCCATTGAAGGTGTGGTCTCTGGTTCACCAGGAGAAAGAGTTAGAATTGGAGTAGTTGTACTGGTGACTGCCATAGAACTTAGCGACCAGGGGGGTCACCACTCCTGGTACCTCAGGTGAAACAGTTGGATTTGGAACAGCTGAGCTGGCTTCTGCCCCATGACTGGTGGCCACTGAAAGTGTAGTCTCTGGTTCACCAGGAGAAAGAGTCAGAATTGGAATAGTTGTGCTGGTCATTGCCCTAGAACTAGTAACCATAGAGGTCACCACTCCTGGCACCCCATGTGAAACAGTTGGAGTTGGAACAGCTGAGCTGGCTTCTGCCCCATGACTGGTGGCCATTGAAGGTATGGTCTCTTGTTCACCAGGAGAAAGAGTTAGAATTGGAATAGTTGCACTGGTCACTGCCACAGAACTAGTGACCAGGGGGGTCACCACTCCTGGTACCTCAGGTGAAACAGCTGGAACGGCTGAGCTGGCTTCCGCTCCATGACTGGTGGCCACTGAAGGTGTGGTCTCTGGTTCACCAGGAGAAAGAGTCAGAATTGGAATAGTTGTGCTGGTCATTGCCCTAGAACTAGTAACCATAGAGGTCACCACTCCTGGCACCCCATGTGAAACAGTTGGAGTTGGAACAGCTGAGCTGGCTTCTGCCCCATGACTGGTGGCCATTGAAGGTATGGTCTCTCGTTCACCAGGAGAAAGAGTTAGAATTGGAATAGTTGCACTGGTCACTGCCACAGAACTAGTGACCAGGGGGGTCACCACTCCTGGTACCTCAGGTGAAACAGCTGGAACGGCTGAGCTGGCTTCCGCTCCATGACTGGTGGCCACTGAAGGTGTGGTCTCTGGTTCACCAGGAGAAAGAGTCAGAATTGGAATAGTTGTGCTGGTCATTGCCCTAGAACTAGTGACCATAGAGGTCACCACTCCTGGCACCCCATGTGAAACAGTTGGAGTTGGAACAGCTGAGCTGGCTTCTGCCCCATGACTGGTGGCCATTGAAGGTATGGTCTCTCGTTCACCAGGAGAAAGAGTTAGAATTGGAATAGTTGCACTGGTCACTGCCATAGAACTAGTGACCAGGGGGGTCACCACTCCTGGTACCTCAGGTGAAACAGCTGGAACGGCTGAGCTGGCTTCCGCTCCATGACTGGTGGCCACTGAAGGTGTGGTCTCTGGTTCACCAGGAGAAAGAGTCAGAATTGGAATAGTTGTGCTGGTCATTGCCCTAGAACTAGTAACCATAGAGGTCACCACTCCTGGCACCCCATGTGAAACAGTTGGAGTTGGAACAGCTGAGCTGGCTTCTGCCCCATGACTGGTGGCCATTGAAGGTATGGTCTCTCGTTCACCAGGAGAAAGAGTTAGAATTGGAATAGTTGCACTGGTCACTGCCACAGAACTAGTGACCAGGGGGGTCACCACTCCTGGTACCTCAGGTGAAACAGCTGGAACGGCTGAGCTGGCTTCCGCTCCATGACTGGTGGCCACTGAAGGTGTGGTCTCTGGTTCACCAGGAGAAAGAGTCAGAATTGGAATAGTTGTGCTGGTCATTGCCCTAGAACTAGTGACCATAGAGGTCACCACTCCTGGCACCCCATGTGAAACAGTTGGAGTTGGAACAGCTGAGCTGGCTTCTGCCCCATGACTGGTGGCCATTGATGGTATGGTCTCTCGTTCACCAGGAGAAAGAGTTAGAATTGGAATAGTTGCACTGGTCACTGCCATAGAACTAGTGACCAGGGGGGTCACCACTCCTGGTACCTCAGGTGAAACAGCTGGAACGGCTGAGCTGGCTTCCGCTCCATGACTGGTGGCCACTGAAGGTGTGGTCTCTGGTTCACCAGGAGAAAGAGTCAGAATTGGAATAGTTGTGCTGGTCATTGCCCTAGAACTAGTAACCATAGAGGTCACCACTCCTGGCACCCCATGTGAAACAGTTGGAGTTGGAACAGCTGAGCTGGCTTCTGCCCCATGACTGGTGGCCATTGAAGGTATGGTCTCTCGTTTACCAGGAGAAAGAGTTAGAATTGGAATAGTTGCACTGGTCACTGCCATAGAACTAGTGACCAGGGGGGTCACCACTCCTGGTACCTCAGGTGAAACAGCTGGAACGGCTGAGCTGGCTTCCGCTCCATGACTGGTGGCCACTGAAGGTGTGGTCTCTGGTTCACCAGGAGAAAGAGTCAGAATTGGAATAGTTGTGCTGGTCATTGCCCTAGAACTAGTGACCATAGAGGTCACCACTTCTGGCACCCCATGTGAAACAGTTGGAGTTGGAACAGCTGAGCTGGCTTCTACCCGATGACTGGTGGCCATTGAAAGTATAGTCTTTGGTTCACCAGGAGAAAGAGTCAGATTTGGAATAGTTGTACTGGTCACTGCCATAGAACTAGTGACCAGAGGGTTCACCACTCCTGGTACCTCAGGTGAAACAGTTGGATTTGGAACAGCTGAGCTGGCTTCTGCCCCATGACTGGTGGCCATTGAAGGTATGGTCTCTCGTTCACCAGGAGAAAGAGTTAGAATTGGAACAGTTGCACTGGTGACTGCCATAGAACTAGTGACCAGGGGGGTCACCACTCCTGGCACCCCATGTGAAACAGTTGGAGTTGGAACAGCGGAGCTGGCTTCTACCCGATGACTGGTGACCATTGAAGGTATAGTCTCTGGTTCACCAGGAGAAAGAGTTAGAATTGGAATAGTTGTACTGGTCACTGCCATAGAACTAGTGACCAGAGGGGTCATCACTCCTGGTACCTCAGGTGAAACAGTTGGATTTGGAACAGCTGAGCTAGCTTCTGCCCCATGACTGGTGGCCATTGAAGGTATGGTCCCTGGTTCACCAAGAGAAAGAGTTAGAGTTGGAATAGTTGTACCATTCACTGCCCTAGAACTAGTGATCAGAGAGGTCACCACTCCTGGTACCCCATGTGAAACAGTTGGAGTTGGAACAGCTGAGCTGGCTTCTGCCCCATGACTGGTGGTCATTGAAGGTGTAGTCTCTGCTTTACCAGGAGAAAGAGTCAGAATTGGAATAGTTGTGCTGGTCATTGCCCTAGAACTAGTGATCATAGAGGTCACCACTCCTGGCACCCCATGTGAAACAGCTGGAGTTGGAACAGCTGAGCTGGCTTCTACCTGATGACTGGTGGCCATTGAAGGTATAGTCTCTGGTTCACCAGGAGAAAGAGTTAGAATTGGAATAGTTGTACTGGTCACTGCCATAGAACTAGTGACCAGAGGGGTCACCACTCCTGGTACCGCAGGTGAAACAGTTGGATTTGGAACAGCTGAGCTAGCTTCTGCCCCATGACTGGTGGCCATTGAAGGTATGGTCCCTGGTTCACCAAGAGAAAGAGTTAGAGTTGGAATAGTTGTACCATTCACTGCCCTAGAACTAGTGATCAGAGAGGTCACCACTCCTGGTACCCCAGGAGAAACAGTTGGAGTTGGAACAGCTGAGCTGGCTTCTGCCCCATGACTGGTGGTCATTGAAGGTGTAGTCTCTGGTTTACCAGGAGAAAGAGTTAGAATTGGAATAGTTGCACTGGTGACTGCCATAGAACTAGTGACCAGGGGGGTCACCACTCCTGGCACCCCATGTGAAACAGTTGGAGTTGGAACAGCGGAGCTGGCTTCTACCCGATGACTGGTGACCATTGAAGGTATAGTCTCTGGTTCACCAGGAGAAAGAGTTAGAATTGGAATAGTTGTACTGGTCACTGCCATAGAACTAGTGACCAGAGGGGTCACCACTCCTGGTACCTCAGGTGAAACTGTTGGAGTTGGAACACCTGAGCTAGCTTCTGCCCCATGACTGGTGGCCATTGAAGGTATGGTCTCTGGTACACCAGGAGAAAGAGTTAGAATTGGAATAGTTGTACTATTCACTGCCCTAGAACTAGTGATCAGAGAGGTCACCACTCCTGGTACCCCATGTGAAACAGTTGGAGTTGGAACAGCTGAGCTGGCTTCTGCCCCATGACTGGTGGCCATCGAAGGTATGGTGTCTAATTTACTATGGAAAAAAATGGAAGCTGTCCAGGGGACTGCTGGTCTGGTCTGTGCAGGATGAGTGACCAATGAAACTGTTGTACCTGGTTCACCAGGGGAGATTGCCAGAGCTGGATTCGTTGTACTTGTCTCTGCCCCCAAACTGGTGACCCCTGAGGTCACCATCCCTGATACTCCAGGCGAGATAGTTAAAGTTGGAATGCCTGAACTTGTCTGTCCTTCAGGATGGGTGACTAATGAGGTTGTGGTCTTTGGTTCACCAGGAGAAAGAGTTGAAGTTGGAATAGCCAAATTTCTGTCTGTCCCAGAACTAGTGACCTGTGAGGTCAACAGATCTGCTGCACCAGGTGAGATAGTTGGAATGGCCGAACTGGTTTCTGCTCCAGGACTGGTGGCCACTGAAGGTGTGGCATCTGATTGATGATGGGAAAAACTGGGGATTGTTCTGGCAACCGTTGAGCTGGTCTCTGCATCATGAGTGAGCCATGTGGTTCTTGTCTCTGTTTCATGTGGGGACTTAGTTAGGGTTGGGAAAGTTGTACTTGTATCTGTCCCAGAAATGGTGACCAGATGTGTCAGTGCACCTGGTTCACTAGGTGAGATATTTGTTGGAATGACTGAAGTGACTTCTGCCCCACGACTGGTGGCTGTGGAAGATACAGTGTCTGATTCCCTGTGGAAAAAATTGGGAGTTGTCTTGGAAATAGTTGGGATGGTCTCTGCAGGATGGATAGCCCATGAGGTTGTTGTATCCGGCTCACTAGAAGAAACATCTAGAGTTTGAATAGTTGGACTTGTCTCTGCCCCAGAACTAGGAATCAGTGAGGCTGTGGTCTCCGATTCGCTATTGAAAACAGATGGGGTTGTCCTGGGAACAGCTGTGCTGGTCTCTGCTCCCCGGCTGGTAGCCAATGAGGACGTCACTTCTGGAACATCTGGGGAAACATGTGGGGTTGTGATAATCATGTCTGTAGTGCCTGTGGTGGCCATTTGCATCAATGTATTGAGAGGTGTCAGTGTTCCCAAAGTGGGAGTATAGACTCTGGTGGTCAAGGTGGCTCTGGGAGTGGTCTTCAAAGCTGTGGTGGTGGTCTTCAGAGATGTGGTGGTGGTCTCCATTCTTTTTGTCCCTCCTGTGTGTAGTTCTGTGAATCAGGGAGTGAGCACACAATTTGGACAAAATGATTACACTTACTGGACTAGCAATAGCTTATTTATTCTCCAAATGAGGAAAGGGAGAGAAGTTACCAGGATGTGCCTGGGATGCTTCTGGAATGGGAAAAAGAGATTGTGATTGGTATTCCCCTATCTTACCTTGGTCTGTAACTTGGTTGCATCTTTATCTACATGCAACTCATTCCTCAATGCAATTCATTCCTCCATGAATTCTTGACTGCAGTAATCTATTCCCTCTTCCCATGTGTTTTCTGCACTGTCCGCCTCTGAGCCTTGCTCAAGCTCTTTTCTCTGCCTGAAATACGCACTTCTTATCAGATTCCTTAAGTTCTGCCATTCTTGAAATCCAAATATGTGTGTGTGTGTGTATACACACACACGCATACATATATATGTGTATATATATACTGAGATGCAGTCTTGCTCTGGCATCCAGGCTGGAGTGCAGTGGCATGATCTCAGCTCACTGCAACCTCTGCCTCCTGGGTTCAAGCGATTCTCTTGCCTCAGCCTCCCAAGCAGCTCGGATTACAGGTGCATGCCACCATGCCTGGCTAATTTTTATATTTTCAGTAGAGATGGGTTTTCACCATGTTGGCCAGACTGGTCTCAAACTTTTGACCTCAGGTGATCCATCCACCTTGGCCTCCCAAAGTGCTGGGATTACAGGTGTGAGCCACTGAGCCAAGCTCATAGTAAGTTTTTAACGAGCACTTAAATAATTTAGCTAATGTGGACAAATTTGTGAATATTTGAAGTTGGACAAAGTTTACTCACTCAGCATGCTGTGAGGAGAAAGAGAAGTGGTAACATCCACCTGGTAACTGTTAGACAAAGACCCAGTTCAGGCAGGGAAACCTATGACAGCCACATACGATTCTCTCTCTAAAGAATACAAGCGTTTTGTTTCTCTGGAGTAGGAAACATGGTCACAAGTGGCATTACTGGGAGGTAAGCAAAGCTAAACCTACCTTTAGGACTGGCAGGTGATGCAGATGTCTGAGGGCCTTTGACTGGTCTTATGGTACCTCTGTGTGTTGCTTCATTGGGTATTTTTGTGATGCGCTCCACAATGCCATCGGTTCCTGCAGGTGAAGGTGGGGAGGAAAAGTGGGGTAACTCATCTCATTCAGAAGAGCACTGCCTAAATTGATCCACTTCATTGGCCACAAACACTCCTCAAGGAAGGTACTGTCCATCAGTACAGACTGGAGCCAGGACTATATGCCATAACTGGCCACACCCATCCATAGATCCATCTACCCATAAATTTGTCCATCCTTCCTTTCATTTATCCCTAGATCTGATCATCTATTCTTCAAATTTTCTTTCTTTTATTCTTTCTTCCTGCCACCCATACTTACTTTTGTCTTTCCTCCCATCTTTTCTTTCTCTTGGTTTTTAAAATTTTGATTAAAAAGTTTGTATTTCAATAGCTTTGAGGGTACAAGTGGTTTCTGCTTACATGGATGAATCATACAGTGGTGAAGTGTGAGATTTTAGTGCACCGTCCTTTCTTCTTTCCTTTCATCTTTACTTCATTTCATCCTTCCACCCTTCTTTCCTTCAATCTATATCTCCTTCAGTCCTCTCTTCCATCATCTCTCTTTCCATCCTTCCTTCTGTGCATCTATCCTTCCTCCTTTTTATCTTTCCTTCCTTCCATTCATCCATTTCTACCCTCTTACCATGCCATTCATCACTTGCTTACTGAACACCCTGACTCAACTACTGAGTCACATAGTAACATCTGGGTCAGTAGCCACCGATGTGTCTAAATTTACTGTGAATTATAAAACTAATGTGAAGGAGGAAAGGGAACAAATCACCCTCCTGGAGATTTTGTCTAGTGAGGCAGAAACTAGAGTCGTTGGAGGGCCTCTTCGGATTTGAACAAAAGTTGGTGCCAAGTTCAACCCTTTCAGAGAAATGGAATCCCCAAGAGTTTTCTTCCTTTATCTACTGACCTCTTGGAAGTAGAGTTTCCTCCTTTTAGGCTCTGGGTCCCTCCTACTTTCTTAGGTACTTTGTTCCCTCAATTTTCATTAACTCACCTTTTTATTTCACTTATCCCTTTTGTTTCTTGCTCAAGTCAAAGGGAGAAACACTCCCTTATATCTCTGTAGTATTTTAGCTGTTCTTCTAGTACCCTATACCTCACTGATGCTCCCTTCATTCGAATCCCTGAGAACCCCCATGTTGCCAAAGCACTTCTCACCTCAGTTCAACTTGGCGAGTCTGTAGTATTTAACAGAACTTAACCTTTCTCATTCCTAAAACTCTCCCCTCTTATGGATTCTGTGATGCTAGAACTTACTGGTTTTTCTGCTACTTCTCTGATGACTCCTGTTTAGACCAACAGTAAGGAGCATGAATTCCTAGTAACACACAATCTGAGTTCTTATCCTAGTTCTGTAACTTTCCAGCTTTACGACCTTAAGAAAATTACTTTGCCTCCCTGT